CGTGAAGCCACCGGCAAAAAAGGTTGCGGCGTTGGCCCCGAAAACCCCACCCCACCCGCCCCAGGAAGAAGACCCGATGCTGCCGACCATGGACGACTTATTGGATCTGTATGACACTGACTACACCACCCCGGCGTCGCAAGAGAAATTACTTAATCTGATTAAGGGCATCGATATGACCGCAGGTAAGCAGATCCTTAACGATATCGTTGTCCATGGGGATGAAGTCTACTGGGAAGATATTGTGGGCTTAGATCTGGCGAAGAGCTCATTGAAGGAAGCAGTAGTGTACCCGTTCCTTCGACCAGACTTGTTCCGCGGGTTGCGTGAACCTACTCGAGGGATGCTTTTATTCGGTCCCCCTGGTACTGGTAAGACGATGTTGGCTCGTGCTGTGGCCACGGAGCTGAAGTCGACGTTTTTCCTGATCAACCCTTCGTCGCTCACGTCGAAGTACCTTGGTGAATCAGAAAAGTTGGTGAGAGCATTGTTTTTGCTTGCAAAGAAGCTCGCGCCCCTGATTGTGTTTATCGACGAAATCGACTCGTTGCTTTCGCTGCGGGGTGACGGAGAGAACGAGGCCAGTCGTCGGATCAAGAACGAGTTCTTGGTGCAATGGTCAGAGCTTTCCGCCGCTGCTGCGGGGCGTGACACCGGTGACGGCGACGTCAGTCGAGTACTTATCTTGGGGGCGACCAATATGCCGTGGCTGATTGACGAGGCCGCCCGGCGGAGATTCGTTAGACGGCAGTATATCCCCTTACCCGAGCCAGTGACGAGAGTGGCTCAAATCACTAAGTTATTGCAATACCAGAACCACACCCTTAGCGAGGCGGACTTGCTTGAGCTCGAGCGGCTCACCGAGGGGTTCTCCGGGTCCGACATCACCGCGTTGGCCAAGGACCTGGCCATGGGCCCGTTGCGACTGTTGGGGGACAAGTTGTTGATGACGCCCACAGAGCAGATCCGTCCCATCAACATCGAGGACTTCCGCCAGTCGCTCCAGTACATCAAGCCGTCGGTGTCGCAAGAGCTGTTGTTGGAGTACCAGGATTGGGCAAAGAAGTTTGGGCTGCTGGGGAATTAATAGCATACGGGATAGACGAGCGTATCATGCGCTTACAATGAAAGCATAGAATTATTACGAGTAGTGCCCACCTACAGCGGTATCCCCGACACCCCCCTATGACGGGGTGACCACCCCCTCGGAGAAATTATTCGTACCCCCGTCGTATTGGCCAACGCGTACGAGTAACATTCCCCACGGTTGATCCACCGGCAAAGCATGGTTAGGAACACGTGCCCCGCTGAGTCAACCCGCTCCTAATGACTTGGTGACAATCGATAAGCTTGTCTCCACAGCCCACATACCCCACTGGTCCGGAAAAATGTAACCCTCTTTCCCTGCACCCACGCTGCACGAGGGAAGGAGCACGGGGCTATTGTCTAGAACCCCGCTCGAGTGCGGTTTTGAGGGGAGGGCAGTTTGCTCTAAATTGAGTCCTCAAACATTAGACAATGGGATAGAAACGTGCTAGTCAATACCGACGCTGTTTCATCAACTAGCTTTAAGGGATCCCGTTACCTTCGAGTGGTGCATGTAGCACGTGTCAATGTGATCCCATTCACAGAAAGGCTAGGCCATTGCCGGCGAGATGCCGTCCACAAAGGCACAGGCGATGGCCACCACTCGTGGTGTGGGCCCAGATGCTGTCGATTCCATCAGTGTCTTCTACATTGTCGCTTTTGTCGTAGCCAATCTATTTTGTCTTAAATCGACGTCGACGGAAAGTATGGATCACGCCGCAAGGCTATAAATAGGTGCTCTTTCTTGATTTCACTTGGGAACGCAGTAGACATTGCAGACTAGACAACTGCAGATCGCCAATTGTGCTTGTGGCCACTTGGAATTTCGAGCACGTCACAAGATGTACTATGATGGCAGGTGGAGCCAGGCACTGCATAGGACAGGCTTAAGACAGACATAGGACGGGAATCACTGGAAAGGCATTGACGATTGATATAATAAAATGAAGGTGTCTCTATTAACGGCAAGAACTTTGTTTTATTACTGGTAGATCTAATTCAATTTTTAGTTGTCTACATTGCGCGTTAAATCAGAAAACCATGCCTTCTCATAACTTGTGCAAGCATCTCCGTCTGTCTAAAAGACTGAAGAAGCAGAAACCGACAATTTTGATAACAATCAATGGGATATGCGAGAATGCGAGCTTTTGAGATAGGAAATTGCAATTTTTTTGGTTTTCTTTCCTCGGTACTGCTCAAGTTTTGCTTAAATCGTCACATTTACCATATTCTAACTTACCCTTGAAATCGCCTATGCACAGTTTGGCCAGTTTTTAGTACCATTAACGTAATCTCTTGTGGTGTATTTGGTTTAATTGGTTGAACTGAAGCTACTCGGTCACCATTCTCGACTTTACATCGTTCATTAAGTCATCTACAATATCTACTCATCATCAATCAAACGAGTTGATGAATAAGTAGAGACAATAGCGCCGAGTCAATACATTCACATTGAGGTGTCGTCATATCCATCCCTAATATCACATATTAGGCCCCTGTGAAAGCATTTGAAGGTGAAATTGTTCGATATCACCTCATTGCACAATCACCAGGTCTGCAAATAGCCCCCAATGTTTGTGAAACACAACTATAATATACTCTTTTCAACAGTATCTAGTTTTCCGTCCTTCAACTATTGACTAGTGGTGTTGATAGACCTTTTGAAAGTATAGTTCAACCACTCACCCAAGAGGGAGAAAACTTAACAGCCAGAAAAAACACCCAAACTTTGCCATCTTGTACAACGATCAGACGGTATATTGGCTTCAATAGTAGGTAGTGCCTTTGCAAAGGTTGACCCTTTCGTATTGCAATATAGTCATTTTAGCCAAATTTTGCTTGCATTAAATTGGATCATCGGGATGATATTCCTTCAAGCATTATATTGACTATGGAAGTCAAGAAGAAATGAATAGTTATCTCTTCTTCTTGAGAGCACACTTCTTTTTAACCCAAATGGTGTTTGATGTGGAGCAACTTGGAAGTTTTTCAGAAATCACGGCAATTAGTGACCACTCCCAAATGCAAGCAAATTGTACTATTTTCACTCAGGGGAAAGGCCTCAAACACGTAGTAAACAATATTGAGAAAATTTTCTGGGTTGCCTTGTTTACCGGTTGTACTAGAATAGTGATTGATGTAATTGTTACTGTTCCATATTCGTACTTGAAGCAAATGCGACCATGGAAGTCGCCCCCTAGTATTTGATAGGTGAATTCGTTGCATCAGAAATCTGAGATTATTCCCTAACGACTGATGACTACCCCTTTTCGGCAAGCAATTAGGCGATGCAGGCTTTCATTATCAGCTCAACAATCGCGGCCGACACTTCCATTGGGCTCACGATAATAGAAGTCTGTGACAATTGGGAAATATTGGGTGGGTACAAGTGAAAGTCATTGGTAACTATGGTGATGGCGGCAATTTCGGAAGAGAAGATGATGCCGATGGGGAGTTATTCGGATGAGTAAGGAGGGCGATGGCGTTGCTCCCGCCTCGATCACGTTACCGTTAATTAGTTACGAAGCATTTAGGGTCATCTTTGGTCACTTTTTGGTGCCGAAATCAGCCCCCAGTGCCGGTAAGGGCAGTAAGAGGGCGGGACGCGCCTGCCCCTGCCTCAGCTGCATCACCCGAATATGGCACGATATTTTTTCTCGCATCAGATTTGGCTTTAGCCCTCTGTCGCGAGCCCCGAGCTACTCGCTTTGACAAAGTACTCCCTGCATCGACAGCACAATAAAGGAAAAAATACAATTATGGGGCGGGTGGAGGAGGAGAGGCATCTGAAGTACCTGCCGCCTATATAAAACACACTCAAGCCCCCATCCAGTCTTGCTTTCTTTCTTCACCCACCCTTGACGCTCGCTTATCTCCTCGCCCCCCTTACACTCGCTTATAACCCAACTTTACGTTTACAACCCCCCTTTGCCCACTGACGAAATTCAAACCATTCTCAACCAGTTGCAATGTTGTCATTAATGAGCCACACCCCTCAACCGTTGGACCCCAAGCCCATCAACGCCGCTAACCTGGGTACCACCACTCCGGTACTTCCTGGTTTAACTACACCCCCTCAACCGGCACCAATCACGCCGCAATTGGCTCCGGGGGTACCCCAGGCGCCGTCGCTGGCCCCGCCGATGATGATGAATCCCCACTACCCGATGGCGGGGGCGCCGCTGGTGCCCTATTACCCGAGCCAGTACGTGTACTACCCTCCTGCACCAGTGGCACCGCCGATGATGGCCCCGGGCTCGCAGTACAGAGGACCGCAGGTGCCTTATTATTATGGCTATTCTGCCGGCCTCATTCCCCCGCGACGCAAACTGAAGCAGCTGACGACGTGGCTGCCGAAGGAGGACAAGCTTTTACGAGAGCTTAAGGAGGTGCAGAAGTTGGGCTGGCGCGAAATCCTGACATTTTTCCAGGGGCGCACCCCTAACGCTTGCCAGTTTCGGTGGAGACGGTTGATCAATGGCAACTCGGGCACCGCCGTGACTCCGGGTCAGTTGCGTGACCTGGTTGGCAAGAAATCGACGCTGCTGTCGATTAACTTTTTATTGAACTAGTCATAAATTACGAGTTACGAATATAATTGTCAATAAACTAAATCTCTAGAATTGAAAATTGTAGTAGTGTCACTGTTTCGGCTATTCTGATCAGCTTTGAGGTGATCGAGAGATTGATCGTGTGCTTGTTTATACGATATTGGTTATGCTCGTTCCTAAGTATTCAAGGCCCAGGGTCCGTCATCATCTGAGTGATAAGACTCTCATTGCTTGCATCCAGTATGTCCGAAATTCTAGCTACTTACATAATCTTTAGCAACCAATATGTTGATGTAAATGTCGTTCTGTAAACGCAGTGTAGGGTCTAGACGTAGTGAAGTAAGGGGTAATGAGAGACATGATTCGACGCGATCACCGACTTTCGGCCCGTCGGCATTCACCGTGAAGTCTTGATACAATGCCACCTTCCATGTTCATTAGCCGCCAGTGCATCCCCCAGGGTGCCGAATATTGCATCAGCTTCGGTACTGACCTCGAGCTAGACCCGTGTCAGATTAGAATAAACCTAAATCATCGATGAACAGCCCCGCCCGCCTCGCATCGTTGCTAGTTGGTGGCTAGGAGACGCCACTTGGCTCGCGGAATGTGCCAACGATTGGTAGCCGCCCAGCAGATCATCGCCACCGTTGTCGAGGGCTAAATTCCAGCTCATTGATGGAGCCACGCTGGGCTGATTGTCGCCCGTATCAAATGGCCCGAAACTACCAACCTAAACCCACCTGGGTGTGCCTCATGGTTACCGATGACGGTAGCTCATCTATCGCCTGCGACGAGATCAGCCCCATTGGGACACCACTTTTACCCAATGTAGGGTCAGGTGGTTTGCCCCTGCATTACCCGTCGTAGTGCCCGATGATGAGGCTAGATGCGCTATAGGCCCTCGGGGCCCCTACGTATCGTATACCCCATGCTTAGCCGGATTAACCCAAACGGGTCGACCAAGTCAGGTAAGGTAAGCTCTAGCTAGTGGTGGCGGTGATATACATTGTTTAATACATAGTGCCAAGGAATTTTTGAGGCGTCGGCGTGCATTGTGTGCCTGCCACTAGCCAGGGCGCGAAATAAACCGAGACGCGCGTCGCACGCCTCAGACCCAAAACGAGCGACGACGAGATCATCAAAGATTTTAAACTTGTTTCACAGCATCGTCACTGCAGTCAAATGTAAACATCCTGCGGGTGATGGGCACTGTGCTCACCTCTACCGTGTCTGACGCACTCAGCACCCCTGAGGCGACGACATCGCTTAGCGCTTCCTGCTGACGTGTACTTGCTATTATAAGCGGGCCTGACGGTTTCAGCACTCATTTAAAGTTCATGCTGATCCGGGACCCATACCCCTGTGAAACGCGACGTCTCACTATTATTCGACGCTGTTGTAAAGACACAGCCGAACATGGCTGACTTGTGGCCGTAAATAACACCGCTTCCGGTTAATCCTTCCATTTAATCATGCCCATTGTAACCTCACACGGAAGGCAGAAGATGGGATCAATCTTAATGAAGCCTGGCGCGTCGGTGAGGGCGAGACCAGTGATGCTGAAACACGTGTGGTAGATATCGGTCTGGTTGTCGGGTCTGTCGCTGAAGCCACCCTTTTCCGGATCTTGGCACGACAATATGAACGACTGCAACTTCTTCAAGTCGACCCAGTGCTTTTTGTCGATGATCGCTAACAGCAGAAGCACCCACCACAGATAGCACACGTCTTCAAGCTTTTCGGGGCGTCCGTTGAAACCTCCCAGAGGCAATTGGCGTTCTGAAAGCCAGGCGGCAAGCTTGGCGTCGTCGACCACCAAATCTAGACGGTCCACCACCGCAAGTGCGGCTACACACACAAATACTTGGGCAGCGTGACTCTCACTGCCAGGAGCCATACCAAATCCACCGTCGAAGTTTTGACATCTCATGATAAATTCAACACTGGGATCAACCACCGACTTGGTCAACGCTCCTAAAAGCAGAAGCGCCTGTAAAGCAGTGTAGACAAAGCGGGTGTCGACTTCGCCGAATCTGTCACCTTGAAATGAGCCGTCACTCAATTGAAGCCCTTCGATAAATTTGACCACGCCCTGTTTCTGTTCATTCGTCAATTGTTTCAATTCAGAATCATATATTTTGAGGATTTGGAGGCCACTGAGTGTACTCAAAATGTGAGCGTCGTGACCAGGAAACGCACCAAACGCTTTATATTTGTCGTCCCAACAACTGAGGACGAATTTCTCCACTTCCGCTCGGGGTAACGCTGAGAGTTCGTCCATGGTGGCGAGCGCCATGATCCCCCAATATATGCCATTCATCCGGAGATGTTCGCTGAGCCAGTACTCATACAGTCGGTGTTCTTCTTGCAGCTTGACATAGTCAATGTGTTTTTGTTTAAGGAATGCTTCCATTGAATGAAGATTCTTCAAGATTGATGCTGAGGTCTTGGTGATGAGAGAGTGGAGTGGCGCGTAGTCAAAGTTCGCACTGTTTAGAAGTCTACGGGCTCTCAACGGAAAAAAGACCAGGTGGATGCTCATGAAATTCGCATCGTCAACATGCCGCAAACCCAAATATAGGGCGTGGAATACGAAGTGAACATCACACGTGACAATAATAAATCATGTAAAACAACAAATAATAAAACGTCACGCTCCCAAAACCTCGTTTAGAGACAATGAGACAATGCACTGTACATCTGGAACTCCAGATTTAAAAATACATGGTAGTAGACTATACTCCTTCAAAATGTACTCGTGTGGCTTCCAAACTATATACGGGTAATAGTGTCCTGAAGATTTTGAAGGTTACTGCTAACGAGACCACGACTAATCTCATTAACAATACTAAAAAGCTTATTGTCACTGTCTTATTATAGTCGTCATCACTAGGCAAGAAAATATTCGGCCGAGCTCACAAAACACCCCTGCAGACGACGACTAGCGTTCCTGACAATACAATCATCACCGAGACCCTCCGATGGGCTCGCCCTTACAGCGTGGACAATGGTAATTTTTTCAGCAATGAAGAACCTCAAGCACAAAGCGGCGCAGATGAGGATAGTAAACACCGTAATTGAGCTCGCGAGGCATCGATATTAATCGGCCCAAGTTAACCACGCGGCAACCCATGTACAATAACTCAAATTGGTCAAACAGAGCATCGAGCATAACCATAAGCGTCGGCATCGGCTCCAAGCGGAGAGCGTGGTTGTAACGAGCATTTACCACTCGCAGCGTAGGGAGGAAAGGCTCCAAGTTACCTTGGTCAAGCACCGTCTTCACGAGTCGACGAGCCTGTTCGACGGTACGAGGAAGAAGAGTGCCCTTGCCTTGGCTTGCCACTTGTCGGATCCGTTCATCTTGATCACGAGGCACCGCATCTTCAGCTTCGGCTTCGGCTCTCATCCGTTCAAGATCGTTAGCGAAGATGATGTCCAGACGCTTAAACTTATTCATGTAGTCCTGTTTGATCACGACGATCTCCTGAGAGCAGTAGTTAATGCGTACAGGATTCCATGCCAACTCTAGATTGTCTCTGAGTGTCCGTTGAAGTCGCAGAGTCACTTGTTTTGATAAGGGTTTTTGAGGCACGACGTTGACAGCGGTGGCGCCCTGAGACCACATCAGTTGCCATGGATCGTTGCTTCCAGGGATAAGCACAAATTTGCACTTCTTTACCTGATTCAAAGGCTCCAATATCAGTGCCAAGCTGTCAAACCCTTGTTTGTAGCGCTGAGAGTTGGAGGAGCTGCCATAACTGATAGTGGTGGGAACCACGGGCGTCAGCACAAACGACCCTGTCATGACAATCGCCAATGGTGCACGACGTTCACTGTTGTCATTAAACAAATCATTGGTTTCGTAAGCTTGAGTCAAGTCAGCTTCAAGTTTATGGAAAAACTTGCGAAGCGCCGAGAGTACATCGGGATCATCAAGATGACATTCCGATCCGAGGAAAATCATTTTATGACCAGTGTATTGTTTCTCAAGTGATACCAATTGTTTGATCATTTCTTTAGGAACGCGAGTGACGGGTTGGTCGGGTTCCGCATCCTGATTGATACCCATGAAATCAAGGTGTCCAAAATTATCAAGCGACGTTTCTCTCCGTTCGGCGGTGGGCAGCGCCATATTTGACACGTAAAAACACCCCACCATCGATGTCAGGCCATGGTGCCCTCCCAGAGCACTGTAAATGCCTTCAACGATAACAAACATCCCCGGTCCGTAGAAAGTCAGGACGTTCTTATATGTCTGATCCAAATTAAGTTCCACGGTATCACTAGCATCATTGAGAATCCAGTTGCCCTCGGCATCAGTGGCCAAAAGTCCGAAGAGGAAAAATGTGTTCCCATCCCGCCCAAGCATGTTCTTGATCATCGAGATCTCATGGGTAGGGGCAGTCTCCCGAAACAGCAGGACACTGGAAAAGCTTTTCTTCTGGAACATCTCATTTCTTGATAGTCGATCAGCAATAATCAGATAGCGTTGGGTGAACATTTCAATGGCAGCCTCAAGGTGACTAGGCTGCTCGTTTAACGTGTAGAATTGTTTTCGGGTTCGATCGTAAGCATAAAACGGTTGGTCAGGCGGATTGATGACTCGGAAATACTCCTTCCAATTGAGAGCGAGTTGAGTGGCCGAAGGGTCATCGCTAAGTTCCGGAGTTATCCGTCGCTGTGGCTGAAGCTCCATCAGCTTAAGCACTTGGGTGATACCATCTTCGTCCAAGAAGAGGCCCCTGTCCTCTAGCTTCCATATGCGAGCCACTTCCTCGAGGAATTCGAAGGTGTCGCGTCCTTTCCAGTTGGCGCCAAATTTGAGCGACACCGCCTCTGTGAGTTTGGCGAGGGCGTCGGTCTTAATATTGAGCCCATGCTTCTTCGAAAGCACCCGGTAGGCTAGCGGTCGGAGATTCGCTGGCAGAAGGCGTACCGGTAACGAGTCCATCGACTGAACCATGATCGCGCGCGTCCCACGAAACGCGTCTGATAGACTTACGAATAAGCAAGATGATGAACATCACAAAACGAAAAATTAGAGAGGAACATTGTATTTCGAGATCATTCCCACACGACGGAGGAAGGCATCATAGGCACTTTAGAATAGTCTCAAAGTCTAAGTGATGTCTAAAAAAGACGTGGGCATTGGTGACCTTAATCCCATGGTCCTGCAAAGTGATATTAGCAGTTTGCATAGTCATCTCTTCCATTTGAAGAGATCCAGAAAGTTTATTACTATGTATTTCTTGAAATAGACTGTCAACTGATGGGGTTTCCCTTGCTCGGCACTTGTATCACGGTTTCACCGATATAGTCTACATCAATTGTAGGTTTCGTATCACATGTTTATGGTTTACTATACAACAAGATATAAATAGTCTAGTGGGTTCCCTTAAACGCATTTTTCACCCATAAGAGAAGGTCGTAGATGTACAACTGCGAGCACCGGGTCTGGTACGCCCACCACGTGCCTAACCGCTTCAAGTTACCCACCACCAGCCACAGACTGTACTGGTCCCGGAGCCCGTCCATGGCCTCGTCGTATACAGTCCTGGCACAGTACTTCGCCAAAATCAAGAACGTCCGCACCGGCCCCAAAGGATTGCGTAACCCTTCATCCAAGTGACGAGTCAAATCGTTAGTCTTCAAGATCAAAAGCACAAGTCTAGGCATCGTGCTCAAAATCTCCATCAACCCTTCTAAGATGCCTTCTTCTTGGTTCAATCGCAGCTGAATGTGGGAAATCTCGTCTTCCAGGCGCAGTTTCGACATGTCGAAGTTGAGGGCAACTTCGGGAGCTCTCCCAGTGATGGCAGCAGCAAAGATCTGGAACTTGATGTCTTCAGTGATGCCGGCAAACTCCTCAGCCCAATAGCGCATAGCGGGGATATCGTTATCAAGCACAGCAAGCCAGAAGTGCGAGTATTCCCGCTTCATCACAAGTGGCAACGTCCGGTAGAGCCCATGATCGTAAAGCACGATTTCGAAGTTGAAACCAGTGGTGCTTTCCTTCGCAGGCACGTGTCTGATCGACAAGTTACCCCCGTGAGGATCACAGTGAAGACCAATGCCAGGGACAAAAATCATCGTGTTGAAAATGTGCAGCAAACACAGCGATACCTGAGCCGGATCGATATTGTGTTGTTGGAGGTAAGCGTAGTCGTCAAGACGAGCACCCGCAACGTATTCCATCACCAAGATCCGCTTTTCTGCCAGAACGATCTTAGGGATTCTCAAGGCGGTAATCCGAGCACGACCCTTAAAGTCTTCCGCGGTGTTTTCAGCATTCAAAGCTTCCTTGGTAAAGTCGAGTTCATTGTAGATCAGCTGCTGCATTTCATCGCCCAACCACAAAAGCGGGTATTCAGGGAAGAACCGTTCCATGGCCCTGAACACAATATTGGTGACGTAAACATCCAACGGCACGAACTCCGAAAGCAGCGGGTGTTGCACCTTCACCGCCACCATCTCTCCAGTCAGACGGAGGCGGGCCACATGCACTTGAGCCAACAGCGCCACCCCCACGGGGTTAGGGTCAAACTCACTGAACATATCGTTGATCAGCACTCCCATGTCGTGCTTGAACATGTTTTCAATTTCTTCCATCAGCGATCTCGGGCACCGGTCTTGCAAGGGGATCATCGTTTCACACCATTCCGGAGGCAACAAGTAGGTGAGAGCACTGATATGTTGACCCAATTTAATATAGATCCCACCGTTCCGTTCAATGGCCTTATAAGTGATTTCAGCAGCTTTCTTGTGAGTCTTGGACAACGCTTCCCGGTAAGCTTCCTCATTAGGGTATTCAGCACCAAGACAGTCTTTGTAGAGCTTGAAGTTACGGGCCACAGCTACAGCGACGACCGCACACCGTTCGTAGCAAATGAAGATGTGGCGGGCTAAGTCACTAGTAAGGAAGAGCACCACACCCGTACCACCGATGATAAGACCCCATTTGAGGTATGGGTGGCGTTTACCACTTGAACCTTTACCTCCAGAACCATGGCCTGAGTTAGGAGGAGGTGGTGGCGGCGTAGAGGGAGGAGCCTTAGCTGATTGGGTGGCAGCTGTAGGGCTTGCTTTTCCAGTAGCAGGAGGTAAAAAGTCTTGCGCTTTGGGAGCAGGTAATTCGTCTTCCAATTTGGGAGAAGGAAGTTCATCTTCCAATTTGGGAGGAGGAAGTTCATCTTCCAATTTGGGCGGTGGCAATTCCTCCTCCGCCTTAGGTGGTGTCAACTCGGTTTCTGGGGTTGCCACCTTAGCAGTGTTGATGGTGGAAGCAGGTTTGGCAGCAAACAGGGCTGGTTTCGGCGTGGCCTTGATTGTCAGCGCCAGGCCCGGTTTCGGTCCCGAGTGGCGCTTAACAAACAGCCCGTCGCCGGCAAAGTCCTTGCGGACCTTGGGGAGCCACCGTACGCTCTGCCGGTTGAGATTGATGGCACTTCGGCGCCATCCAACACGAATCATGGGGTTAGCAAACGATGACATTCACCGCTGCACGTGCGACGCTGATGGCTAGCCAGTAGTGGGTGTTGTCGGCAGCACCCGCACGGAAGTGCCGGCAGTGACGGAAGCAAAACGAGGTTGGTGAAAACTCCATGTGGCAACGGAGCTAAGCAAAATTGCGGACCATTACTACCGTAGACGGACCCGTGGAAGTGGGTCATTGGTCACGAATCACCTCGCAAGTGTTTGTGGGGGCGAGATCGGTTATCGTACCTGAGTATCATCACGGGCCAATTGGTTGATGACGTCAGCCGACTCGCCAAGCCCACACTTCACTCGTATTCACCAAGAAACACGACATGTGAAGCAAATAATATTCCGACCAATTTGAGAATTGGGTTTTTAAATTGATGGAAAGTGATCTATGGAGTAGGCCAAAGTGTTCATACTTCAATATTTCAAAGTATATTTCAATTTTCAGATTACCCCAGGTGGCTCGGTTATCGGAAAAGTGAGAAGATCGGCGAGATTATACTAGCCGAAATCTTCGAGCATAGAAGTGAAGGAAAAGAATCAAATTGAATAACTCAGTTGTATGAAGGTATCTTATTGTCTTTAACTATAACTATTATATATGGGGTATCCCTTGTCTCTGTGTATGTCATAACTCGTGTACGTTGGGAAGCAACCAAGCCTTTGAACTCAAATGGTCTGCTCAAAAGGTTCATCAAACGAAGGGCCAAAGTCAGGAGCAGCGGCAAACATATCGAGCTGAAGCGTATCAAAATCAAGTCCGAAGCCAAAATCGGCAAAGTCTGGCGATAACCCTTCGTCGAAAGGGTTAGGCATTGGCGGGACCTGTACTTGCGACGGCATAGGTACAGCTGCCGGCTGTCTAGGCGTAGCTAGAGCATGTTCTACCGGTACCAGCGGCGACGCGGATGCTCCTGAACGGATATTGCTCTCCAATGGGTTATAGAGGTATTGCCCCGAAGCCGACGTCGAACCCATCAGCGTGTGGTCAAACGGACACTTACGCTTGCGGTTGGCCGATTGAACCTCGAGCTCGCTCTCCTTGACTGCAGTCAACAGCTGGTGCTCCAAAACCCCCAGAATTTTCGGGGTTTCGAGGCTATTATCGACGGGAGTAGTAATATGACTGATGGGACACTTGCGGTAGCCAGATCCAGAACTTCCAAGCAAATCCTTAGCCAGATCCAGTCGTTTAACGAGTACAGGGCACCCCAGCTGTGACCCTGATGATGATGACGATGACAGTGGGCGTTGCATTTGCGCAAACTCCGGCAAGTTGCGATGGATCATGGCGTAATTGGTCGTCAGCAGGGCTGCCGTCAGCACACAGCTCCATTGCTTACGCATGCGAGTGACCATATCCAGCGCATCCGGAGCCTCGCATTCAAGTACAGTCAACACTTCGTCAATCACTTCCAGAGTGTGGCGCACCTTCGGCTCAAGCCCGCGGCTGACCATCACTTCGTGAACGATATCAGCTTGTTTAGCCTTTTCGTTGGGATCCATGCGAAGTAGAAGGCCGAACTGAATTTCAATTGAGCGTAACACACACACTGCTGTCGCCTTCAAGATGTATTGGTGGATGGTATGCTCGGGCTCTGCAGTGATAGTAGTATGGAAGTAGCTGAGTAATCTTTGAGAGCGAAGGACCACTTGCGGCACCACCACCTCCAACCATGCCCGGTTCAGCAATTCTTCACTCTGAAGCATCATAAGGAAAGTGAGGAACAACAGAGTGTATTGGAGCATGACGTTCATCTCAAACCGGCGCAGCAGTCGCAGGACCGATTGCACCTCAGGACCATCCAAAAGGGCATAACTTGCATTTACAAGTTCCTCCACCATCGCCATGGTGAGCCGCGGCTCACTTAAATTGGTGATACCACGATTTATAGTGTAAAACATCCGAGCAATATGGTAGTGAATGCGCAAATCAAGACTGAGATGGGCATACTTGGCCAAGTTGTTCGTTTGGCTAAGATAGTTGAGGTGACACTGGCCGTCGTCGGCTTCCTCGATCTTGATGTAAAGCTTATTAAGTAGTTGGTCCAAGGTTTCCAGCCCGGCAATTAATGGTAGAATGCGGAAGTTGACAAGATTGACAAGCCGCACCATCTCTGCCCACATGTGACTGACGTGGCCACGAAGTTCATCATTGGTGCGTTGTCCCAGCGTCAGTTGGCCAAACTGGACCATGCGGGGATCTTTCCATACGGCAATGGCAGCGTCCTCGTCAAGCAACAAGTTGAAAAACAGCGTAAAAATGCGAGTGAACTTGTACTTGTAGTTGCCGTCCAAATGATGAGTGTGGACACCATGAGTGATTTCGCGATTAATCCACGCTAACACGGTCACAATGAACCCGAGGGTAGGCAGGTGTTTGCTATCGCGGTAGTAGTTCACAAACAAGTCCATAAGCTCACTAAGATCAGTCAGAGGCTTCGGATGGTTGACGACGTCGGCGCCAAAGAGCTGAATGAATTGATGCAGCAATATTTCATTGGGGTTCTGACGGGAGTATTGAGTTAAAAACAGGGTCAGTGCGTCGACAATCATCGTAATCATCGCCACGTAAGCACCCTTAGTCATAATCATTCGAAGCCTTTCCGCACTTGTCATCGACTGAAGGCCCATACAATCAAAAGTCACTCGACCTTCTTGGACCCGAATGACAGAGATCATCTCCAGGCGATAGAAACTAAGTAGATCCCGCAGTTCAAACTGGAATATCAGGTCCAAAAAATAGAAATCCATCAAGAACGAAAGCTGTTTGTCGCTCAAACTTTTTTGGCCCACAATCAGCATCAGCCCCCAAATGTTTCGCAAGGCCACACGCATCTGCTGAAGCTGAGTCTCGATGTCAGTAGTCGCAATCGGTAGCGTCGGTTCAACTTTCACCACCGGCAGCTGCAGCGGCAGTGGCGGGAGGCCATCGATGTCGTGGAGTACGGGACAGCGACTAAGAAGCAGCAGCTGGGCCAGCATCGGCCCTCCCAGAGGGCGTGCCACCGGGGCCGCTACCGGTTCGGCGCCACCATTGTTAAGGGCCAACCGGTGTTGCTGCTGCTTGGTCTTGAACAGATGGTACAAGCGCTGGTACTGGGTGAGTTTGACCCACATGTGGGTGAGCTTGGGGTCGACTTTCACCACATTCATCCATGAGAATACGTCGACAAAGTACTTCTTGTAGTTAACTGGGACAACAAGCAAGTTGTGTTCCGTCAGCACTTCAAAGGAGTCGCGCAGCTTTGCCAGTAGCGGCCGAAGCTTATTGAGCACGGTGAGCGGGGTCAGCGGGGTCGCAGCAGCAGCAGCAGCAGGAGTCGGGGCTGATGGTATGGGTTGTGCGGAAGCCTGTTTGAGCTGGGCGAGTTGGCATTTGAGCTCGCCAATCTCCCGTTTCTGAGCCGCAAGCATCGCGTCCAGCGCTCGTTTAAGCTCCAAGTACTCCGCCAGCTCTTCCACCACGGTGGTGGAAGTAGTGGGGTTGGTAGTAGCCTCGGGATGGCGGATGTCCTTAACCCAGGGCGGTTCGACGTACTCGCAGAGATGGGCGGCGCCGTTACGTTTACAGCCTCCACACGCGGGCCTGCCCTTATCGCATCTGACTTTGCGCTTCTTGCACACGAGGCACAGCACGGGCACCCGGCGACGCTTAGGCTTGTTCTCGGGCGATGTCATCTGGATGGTGATATTGGAGGCCCCCATGGTGGTACGATGACGGCCGGGGCCCGGTTTTGCGGTCGGTGGCGGCGTCAAGGGGCGTAATCAGTGGCTGCGAACAATCGCAGGCGGAAGAAGGTTCAGCCTCAGGTGACCACAGCAAATAGGGTGGCTGCCAATGGTAGTATCAGGTCCGAGACACAAACGGAGTAGGCGTCAGGGACGGGGCAGGATAAATGGGTATCCACCTTCACGTTGTAAGTGTGGGTAAATATATGCTGGCGGCACAACGGCTGGGAGTGCTCTCTGAGTGCGATAGGCAGGAAAAAATATCGAATGGGGTGACTGCGGTACCTCTCGCACTGAGGCCTCCCCACGACAGCACCGGCAAGATTAACCCAGTTGATTGTAGGGGCCATCGCTCGTGATGATACCACAAACAATAGGGATGTTGTTAATTATACAGAAAGAGGCCGGAGAATATTGTCTGTCAAGAACACAAAAAAGTCATGTCGTAATATAGGAAGAGTAGCACCCATTTGTGAATTACTAGGCTGGAGGTGGCAAAAGTGTCGGCAGGTAGTACTTAGGGAGTATGGATAATGCAGGGTGTGAGTGAGCGTGAATGACAATGGCATTACGGTTGTCATTGGGAGCACTCGCCCCCTTTACTCCGGTGTACAGCGCCACCGCTCTAATTTAAAGTTTTATTAGTTGTGGTCGCAAACTGGGTCTCCTGGTTACCGATATACGGAAATGGCCTCTCAGTTTTTCGGTTGCGAGCCCCGTTTGGGTTCAGTGGCATTGCTGCACGAGTGTGGCCGCCGCTCCGCGCATTTCGGCCATCACCACGCTCATCCCACATAATCACCACAGGATAACTAATGGTGCTGGCGGGGATTCCGGTGCGACTTTTGAACGAGGCCCGTGGTCATGTTATTCTGGTCGAGCTTATGCTGGGTGACGTTTATCGCGGCAAGCTTCTCGACAACGAGGACTCGATGAACCTCCAACTTCTCGACGTGGTGTGTCAGTCACGCAATGGCCAGAGCGAGCACTTGAACCAAGTCTACGTCCGCGGGCTGAATATCCGCTTTGTTCTGGTGCCTGATATGCTCAAGAATGCCCCCATGTTCTACCAGAAACCAGGCGACAAGCCCAAACCTCCTGTGCGAGGCCCGCCGCCCAACAAGCGCCCTCGTCACTGAACGGGATGTCTCTGTTGATATACAGTGTGACAATGGCTGAAAGTTTAAGTATTGCAGCTTCCCCACTTCGGGCCGAGTACCTTGGAGAAACTACTGTGACAAGGTTTCTGACACAATTGAGAAAAATTAGCCGAGGACTCACAATCATTAATTCCTTTATGGGTGACATATAGCTGGCGGATATAACTCCATCAATGGAACAAGTGAAGGGGCGATTCCAATTCCGCTCTGTGTAGTCGAAGCATATATGAGCTTCCACGTATTATGTACTTTCCATACAAACGTATAAGCTTTGTTATCACACGTGATTGAATGGGGAAACTCGAACTGAGTGCTGTATATGATGCAACTGATAGTGCGGTACAATCTTTTTAAGGACCCCGTACGTAGTAATTGGTATTATCCGCGCACTGGTCAAAGATAGCCCGGCTCATCGCCTGTCTTACCGCTAGTGGATTCCGTTGATGTCGGCAAACCGCAAGCGCTATAAGGATGCTTTCGTGCGTCACCAGCGTGAAAACAACCCGTTTGAATCGGAAAAGATTAATTCGGTAATCCATGCTGAACGAGTGAGGGTCATCAACGAGTATATGGCCAAGAACGAGGCCTTTCACAAAAGTCACCCAAAGCTTAAACATCCTCAAAATCGCCGGTATTTGAAAGATGTAATGCTTACGGCATACGGTCGCGATCTGATCCTAATTGGCATTGATATCGAAACCTATGAGCATGGCAGTAGCATACTTGAAGTGGGACTTGCAATTTTTGATCCCCGAGGCCAGCAAACACTGGGATATCCTCACATCCTGACATACCACCTTATCAACGAAGATTGCTTACATTTGTCAAATGGGTATTATGTCCCAGACAAAAGGGATTACTTCGGTGGCAAGCAGCTGTGGAAAATTCCGTATGCCCTGATTGTCAGCTTCATTCAAGGGGTCATTGACTACTTTAACGGTATCGAGGGGTGGGATGCTGTGCTTGTTGGACATGCTGTCTGCGGTGATATCGATATCCTAAAAGATATGGGTGTTAAGGTACCACAATCATGGCATATTGACACTCAACGGCTTTTTGCCCTCAGTCGAACGAATAACTCGAAAACTAATTTGAGAGTGGCGCTCAAAGAGACCCACATATTGAGTGGGAACATGCATAATGCGGCTAACGATGCTTACTACTCTCTTCAACTTTGTCTTAAGCTTGGTGACCCTGAAGTGCGCACCCTTCTTTCACTTGATAATTTCCTAAGCACCTACAATCCCAACTCCGATAACTTCGACGAAACGGCGCACCAGACGACAATACTGCACCCTATTCCTTACAATATTCTTTCTTTTGCTTTCCCTCAACCCAATTTTGATATTGATTAATACAATTATAATCTGACTACAACAGTTTATTTTGTGCAATTGACAACATATCTAAAACATGTTAGGATATGCCACGCAAGATGGGCCAAGTTAAAAGACGGTACCTTGTCACGAGTAGTCCAAATATATTGGCGTTCATTGAATTCTATTGAGTTTAATATCTGACGCTATAAATACTTAACGCATGGTGACGATCTCTTCAGCCAGAGTGGGGTGGATGGCGACGCAGTTGTCGAAGTCTTGCTTGGTGGCACCCATCTTCACCGCCACACCGAAACCTTGCAAGATTTCCGCCAGGTCGTCGCCGAATAAGTGCAAACCGACAACCTTTTCCTCAGGGCCGTGGCACACGATCTTGTAGTGGGTAGGGGCCTTTTGCGATTCTTCCAACATCGCGTAGTACATGGCGGTGAACTTCGATTGGTACACCTTGATGTTCTCCTTGCCGTACTTCTCGATGGCTTGTTGTTCCAGCAAACCCACCAGCCCGGCTTCCGGGTGCGAGAAGATCGCCAGAGGCACGTTTTCGTACTCCAACTTGTCCTTGGCAAAGGCTTCGTTGCCGCTGAACAATCTGTTCAGCAATCTCCGCCCAGCAGCGATGGCTACAGGGGTCAATTCGAAGTTACCAACAACGTCACCCAACGAGTAGATCTTGGGGTTCAGGGTTTCCTGCCATTCGTTGACTATCACTTGGTTCTTCTTGTTGACGTTGACCTTAACCTTGTCGAGGCCAATGCCAAGGAGAGACTTACGACCGATAGTCCACAACAAGCAGTCGACTTCCTTGACGTCGCCGTTGCCGAGGGTGACCTTCTTGCGGCCATTGCCGAGGTCTTCGACCTTTTCCACCGAGCCCGAGTTCTTGATGATGTTGATCCCGAACTTGTTTTGGTAGAAGTCGGTGATCCCGTGGCTGATGACGTCGTCAAACGCCCGGAGAGCGTACTCGTGGCGAATGGCGATTTCGACGTTGGAGCCAAGCAGCTTGAACACACCCGCAAGCTCGACAGCGATGTAGCCAGCACCAATCACCAACACGTCCTTGGGCTGTTGTTCAAGGGCAAAGAAGCCGTCGGAGGTGATCCCCAATTCCTTGCCGGGGACGTCAGGCACCGACGGTTCCCCACCAGTAGCGATAAGCACCTTGTCGGCGGAGAACAACAACTTGTCTTCCTTCTTGCCGGCTTGGTTGTCCAAAAACTTGATTTCTTGATCGTGCGAAAGAGTCACCTGGACGTCGCCGTTTTCGTTGGCGAACTCGGCCCAACCGTACACGTACTCGACGCCTTCCTTTTCCAAGTTGCGTTCGTAGATGCCGTTCAATCTCTCGACGTAGGCGTCACGCTTGGCTTTGATCTTGGGCCAGTCAAAGTCGCCGTGCTTGATGTGGGTCTGCTCCTTGCTCAACCCGTAACCGTACAAGTGCTCGGTCTTGTGGGCCAAGTCGGCGGCGTACCACATCACCTTCTTGGGCACACACCCGACATTGACACAGGTACCGCCCAACTTCTTGTATTGAGCTTCGACAAGCAACACTTTGGCCCCGTACAGTGCCGCCCGGCGCGCCAGGGCGACACCGCCGGAACCACCGCCGATGACGAGGTAGTCGTAGTGTTTGGTAATGTTGTTAACCGGAGCCATTGCCTTCGCCAGAGTGCTGAGATGCCGACTTATAGCTGAGAGCCTGAGGCTAGAATTCATCGGAATTTCGCAACCTGGCGGGGGCCTAGCAATGACAGGGCTACGTTCCACGTGATCTGACTAATCGCGTACGCCCCACCACCAAAGCCCGCGTAGTCTAGCCTTTATATAGCAGCTGCAACTGAACGGCGTAATTTGTCAGCCTTCTTATGGCGATGTTTTAAACCATTGAAGTGGTAGTTTCGGCATTGTCAGCGATTTCCCTTACGAGACTGTAAGCAATGTAATTGTCAAAAAAGCAGCCAAGCAATTATTGAGCAATTGCTGTGGCGATTGCAGAGCCAAATGTGGTACCCACAGTTTAGCCGTTAGACATACAGCTTCAAAAAACCAAAACTAGGTTATTAACTGCACTCACTAAACTCTGTGATTTCTATCTCCATTAGTTGTCTACAGATATCATCAGTGGCATCTTTTAAGATTCTCATACTTGGGATTTACCAAAATGTAAGCTTTTATTAGGATAATTATATATTAGTCGTTATTCGTTAATGCTAATTACGAAGGCGGGCCCGGAGATGGCGGCACACGTAACCTTGGAGCTCGTCGTTCAACTCCTCAATGCTAATGTCAGACACATCAGGCTCGTCCTGATCGACGTCATCGTTCACCGTCCTCGAGTACGAGGAGTCTAGTTTGCGGGCAATCATGCCCTGTAATTTTTCGTAGTCGACTTCGTCGTCGGCTATCGGGGGTGGCGAGCGGCGCCGCTGTTTCGTCGGCAGGTCCACCACGGGTGCTTCAACTCGTGACGGACAGTGCTGCGACGCAAACGACCTCGCCGTCTCTGCCAATGCGGCTAGGAACGCCTTCTCTTCGGCGACAATGCTCGTCACCTCCAGCTTGTCTTCGTGGAACAGCTGGTGGATGTCGGCCAGGTTGTCGATGGCCAGGTAGAACAGGTTATTAGTGATGTACTCGTGGTTGAGGCGGTTAGCGTCGCCAAATATCCGCGTGTACACCTCGCGCTTCTGGTCGATTTGTACCTGGCGCTTGTGGTTGACCGTGGCCAGCTGGGCAAAGATGTGTTCGTGGTGGCGGTGGACGCGGCGTTTGTGTTCGAGCACGTTGCGCTGGGCGTCAGCTTCAGTGGCAGCACTAAGCACCACCTGTAGTTCGTCTTTAGTGTACCCTGGGATTGCTTTGATGATGGCTTCTGGGCCCAGAGTGGTAGCAGCATTTGTAATTGGGGGCAGTGGCGCCACTGGGGGCTCGTCGTCGTCGATGGCCATGCTATCGTCGTCGTCGCTGCTGCTCAGATCGCTGCCAAAAATAAGGCTCTTCAGTACTCGCTCCGCCAGTTGCCACGCTGCTACCTGCGATTCGCGTATCGGGGCGGCGGCAAACGCCAGGTAATCGTAGCCTGCCATCGGCAGCGGCCGGTGAATGACAAACAGCGGGTCTCGCCGCACCAGCACTACTCGCTCCTTCAGCAGCTGGGTCAAATTGAGGAGTTTCAGCTTGATTAGTCGCCCCTTCTTCGACAGCGGGTGGGGCAAGTCGGGTTTGCGGGTGTGTAAGTGGCTAGCGGCTTTCTGCGGCGGCGCCCAGGTTCGTCGGCGGTTCAGCGGCGTGCTCATCATCGTCAGGTTGCCGCTGACGGTCCGATTGAACGTGTCGTGGGTGATGTTACTGTGGTCAAACGAGTGGGACAGGACCACCCTCGTGGCGCCGGCGGCGAACTTGGGGAGGTTCTGGTACTTGGTGGGACCGCAGGCAGCATTGCTGTGACTCGAGTTCATCGCAGGTCCCGTCCCCGGTGGCGAAAGCTGGGGGTGTGTCGTGGTGTATGGGATACTCAGGTGGGTAGCTGGATCCCAAAACGGTCAGTGCGATCAAAACAAAGGCGCTGGGCCGCTGCTGTCGCCTCGGGTGAGTGAACTTGAGCCACGGGACGGTGGCTACGACAGGGGAAAATGTGGGGCTATGGTCGATTAAGAGCAATCCCCTGGCTTTTAATAGTCAGCAGATGAAATTCAGATTTACGGTAACTGCTGGGGAGCGGGGCAACAGCAACGGCTGACTGGAACAGAAAGTGCGCGAGATGGCTGGCTAAATGGCTAACCGCGCGCAGGTGGGGAGAAGTGATGCGAAGGTGAGGCGAGTGCTCGTTTATACTTTCGCCGAAATTGTTCAATTTTGTAAAGTGTAAGTTTGTGGATGTCTAGGTGTGTATGTTTTAGTGAAAATTAGCAGCTTGGAGACTGGCCGTTGTAGTAAATTAACGCGAAACGGAATTATTGTTGTCACCAAAATAAGGTTTTCGAGTCGAGGCCGGGGGGTCATCACGAACCCGGAGATGCTGTTTCTATTTTCTGCCATCTATCCAGCAATCGCGATAGAGAAGCAAGGATAACGGAATATAATCAGTGAGAATAGTAGTAATAACTTTAACCACAAACGTGTGTCAACGTCCAGAGTAAGCTTAGCGATGACGAGGGAAAGTGCCACCACAGATGCCTTAACCAAGTAGCATTGTGTTTAAGCGGTTGCCGCTAACGATAATGGGGTACGGCAAGGCTTAAGCCATCGATACGGTATCGTTACGTCACCAACACCCATAGCCTTTGGCGTCAGTGTTAGTGAGCATTAGGGTTGCGACCCTTGTCCCACGTGACCTTCTTCTTTCTCGTGCGCACTGCGAAATCTCGCCACGGCCGCAGGGTGCGAAAACATTTTCGTGCCCGCTGAAAAATCTTTCACCACCGCAGTTAAAGATGGCCACCGAATTGACCGTTCAGTCCGAAAGAGCTTTCCAAAAGCAACCCCACATCTTCACCAACCCCAAGACCAAGGCTGGTAAGAAGACCAAGAGATGGTATAAGGAAGTCGGTCTCGGCTACAAGACCCCCAAGGCCGCCATCGACGGTTCGTACATCGACAAGAAGTGCCCCTTCGTCGGTGAAGTCTCGATCAGAGGTAAGATCTTGTCGGGTACCGTGATCTCGACCAAGATGCACAGAACCATCATCATCAGAAGAGACTACTTGCACTACATCCCCAAGTACAACAGATACGAAAAGAGACACAAGAACGTTGCCGCCCACGTCTCGCCCGCTTTCAGAGTGCAGGAAGGCGACGTCGTCACCGTCGGCCAGTGCCGTCCCTTGTCGAAGACCGTCAGATTCAACGTGTTGAAGATCACTTCGTCCAACACCAAGGCTAAGAAGTTCCACAAGTTCTAAGTGGGTTTAGGGGTAATGTTAATACACATGTAAGATAGATTGAGAAATCACTGAGAAGGTAATGTAGAGAAGGATATTAATATTGATATTTTCCTGTGATTAATGGTTTTTTTTCGTGATTGATCGTTTCTCGTAATCGTAACTAGTTTAGAAGTTGGAAGGGGTGTCCTTCTTCATCGCCACCAACAGCGGCAGCCCCCAGGCGTTGAGTACTTTGAGCAACGTCCCGTCTTCGTGCATGGAGACAAAGTCGTCGCACCCGCCGCGAGACTCGGACTGCTGGCCCACAAGCACGTTGGGCACGGTGCCGCGGCCGGTGACCTCTTTAAGGTAGGTTTGCAACTCGCGGCCGTGTTCGTGCTGGTCCAATTCCACCACCACGTACTCGGGAGCAAACTCGTAGTTGTCTTTAAGCAACTTCTTAATCCGCTTCGAGTACGGGCAGTACAGCTTAGAGAACACCACCATCGGCAGCAACATGCGGATGTTCAAGAAATCCTGAGCGGGGTCATATTCCGCTTCAGCCTCGGCACTGGCTACGGAGGCAGATTTAGCGCCCGAGCCTCCGGCCAGGATATCAAGCACCGCCTGGTCGTCGACGTCGGCAGCACCGGCATCGGCACCGGCGAGCTTGCCGATTTCGTGGTTGATCAACTCGTCCTGCTTCTCGTTATTCATCAGATCCAAAATCAGGTTCATTTTCGCCACCCGGTTGCCGCGGGCGTGGTGCCGGTCGTTGATGGCGGCGTTGGAGCGGTACATGACGAAAAGCAAGAGCATGAACGCCGCCACGGAGGCAACCACGCGGATACGTTTGGCAGTGTGCATGGTGTGTGTTTAGGAGGAAAACCTGCTGAGATTCAGCCGAGGGAGCGTGGTTTCAAGGGTATAAAAGGGCGTTGTCCTCTGGGGTAGCTTGCAGGGTTTTTTTTCCACTCTGGCGTTGGTACCGCCTCAGGTGCGGAAGCGAGCGTGTGCAGGAGCAAGGATCGGACACCACCCCCAGGTCTCACAACAATAGCACCCCCGCGGGGGTGGGTAGTGGGAGTAAAATTAAAGAATTTTGAGGGTAAAATTCTGAGTAGACGACTCTCAAAATATGGAGTTTGTGGATGGTGGGTTTGAGCGTTGGTGGACTAGTGCTAGCTTTGTCTAGTCGACTAGTCAGAGACACCTGCCGTATTTTGGCATAAGCGCGACGGATCTGTGCAGTCGCACGCGTCGATGGTGTTTGATGGCAGCCAGCGCGACAGGTATTGAGCGAAATTGGAACTACGGGGATTCGAACCTGCAACTCAAGCCATAATTTTAGTCACCACAGGGGAGAGGGATGAGAGATTTTTCACTTTTCACTATCACAAAATCACCCCGTTCGGCGTTTCACAAAGCGAGTTTATCGTGGTGGGATGATGACCAGTTAACCGAGCGACCTAGACTCTCGGGGGATCTCATCGCTATTGTTATTAGCGCTTCACAAAACGTTTATGTGGACGGGGCAAAGCAAACTGCGGATGTGGGTAATAAAGGCCACTTGCCCCCCGATACCCCCGGACCTCGCTAACGCGGTTATCAATCTTATTTTCTTGGCTAGCTTAGGTAAATTCTCCCGATCGTATCCCTTGTCGGCGCTTCGAGGTTGCTTGATTAGCGCCGGAGCTCGCGGCCGACACATGGCATCCCTCCTCCCTCGCTCTATGGCGATCAAACTCCGAAACGAAATTGGAAAAAGCAACGTGCCATCGACCACAATACCGAGCGGTGACGGCTGTCCCCCACACGGCCAATTTCACCAAAAAGAAAAGATAGGAAACCTAAGAGACGTCGTTCTGTGAGCAACGTTACGGTGGATTTGCTTAAAGCCTATTGCTAGAAAGAGAGGGGAGGTATCGGTTCACAAAGCCGGCCTGCCGCTGCACCCTGCACACCTATAATCGTATCCCACAACCAATTTCATACGCTTGGGCTCACCCCCTATCATACCGCCAATTTCGCATTATTGGGGGTTTTGGGCACATACCGCCGCACCTACTGTCGGACCCTCGGAAAACGAGTTTCGGGTTCTCATGCTTCCGTTGTCGCATTGATGTCGGAAAAAAGAGTTACGCTTGTCGTCGTTGCGGTTCGCGGTGTCGGAAATTCTCGAGGTGATCGTCGGGTGCGTGTCGAAAATTATTCAAACGTTGTCGCATTCACACGCGGTTTTTTCAAGATTAGTGACGGACGTGGTGTCGCTAGATCTACATGTTTAGCCTTCGCCAGAGCGTCGAAATTTCGGTTCCCAGAATTCCCACCACAGGTCGGACAACGATTCTCGAAATTTCGACAATTTCTCACGGCAAGTGCGAAATTGAGTCCGACACGAACTGCGACGACGTACAACCGCGAATCCGACAAGCCAAGCGTCACCGCTGCCTTTTTTTTTTCCGACTCCCGGTGCGCAATCCGAACTCTGTAGTCCGACATCCGGTCCGACACTGTAGTCGCACAAACCACCAATTTATCGAACTTGGCGGTATCTCTCGGCGATTTACATGGGACATCGAACGTACCGGGTGCAGACATTATGTTATGCACCGTTGCTTTTTGTCGAAAGCACGCGACGATAAGCTTGGTGGCGGGTGCCAAGCACTTGAGGGAAAAAAAGATGCTGTAGAGGTTGCAGGATGGCATCGGAGATGCAAGGTGCTAACCGCGACCACCACGTTGACGGCAAATGGCAAAAGAAAACTGAGCAATTGTCCCGTCGTATACCCATTGACCCTGACCCGGGGCGACGGCATTCGTCACTGGGGGGACGACTTTCGCCGCACTATCGTGCAGCCTGCGTGCATGGCTCCCTGCAATCGCACCCGACACCGGACACCGGGGTTGGGGCTTGGTCCTCGTGGGGGTTCAGCGCCCGTCGAGCCAATTTACCCGGTGTCTCCGAGACATCACCGCTAATATCCGCAGGGGCAGGCACGCCGATTTACCGAGACGCCCTAGCCACCCCTTGACCCCATCATTCCACACCCCATGGATAAGAAAATTCTTGTCTCGTTTTCATCCTTACAAAGTTGTGCCCTGCAGGCACCCTGCGCGTTTGGACTTTGTGCGATTTTTCAGAAGCCACGGGGGGGCCCACGTGTGGCACGGTTAAGAGGGAGGGAGCGGCCAAAGTATAGCGCAAATATCGCCGGGTCCACAGGCGGCGCGTAATCGCCGTGGGTGTGATTGGCGAGAATAAAACGCCTCTGCCTATTGTGCGACGACGCCCGTCATTTCGGTGCCGTTTCTGGCGGCGAGGCTCCCATGAGGTGAGGGTGGGCAGGTGTCGCACCCGAATTTGGCGATGGCCCTCGTGGGCCCCCCCCCTCGGCCAAACGAAACAACGCCGTGGCCCCGTGGGGTGAGCGATACGGACGCCCGACGACGAAAAGAAACCGGGCGATAGTGACAGTAGGGCAAGCTAGCAACGCCAATTTCACCGGCAAACGGCAAGCCTGTGAGCGTGGCAGCAAAACGGAGTTGCGGTTTTCAGCGGAGCCCCGACCTGAGTCACCATGGGGCTGTGCCTCGTGTGATCCCCCGTCTGGCAGCAGTGAACAAACGGGGGTTGCTGCAACTAAGCTGCGACCTAGCTCTTTGTTAGTAGTGTCTGGCGGGCGGCGCCGCAGCTGACCCTGCCGGGCATTTTGTCACACGAGGCCTCACCCGTTTTGGTGGCTTTTTTCTACCAACAGCGCCCAGACCTTCTACAGCATCGCCAAGACACCTTTAGCCCATCAAGTAGCCGGAAGCCCCAGGGGAACCAGAGGTTAGGCGACGACGAATTACTTGGCACTGTCACCACTGACCCTCCCGGGCCTGCCGCTAGCAAAATTGAGCAAACCTGGGTCCGAGGGGGGGGGGGGGCNCCGAGGGGGGGGGGGGGTCCAGTATCAGCCACTCGACTTTTTTTCTGGCGCCGCCCCCCACCCCACGTGGGAGTCGTGGCCTGCGCACGGACCTAGCGATAGGGCGTCAGGTAATTTCCCATGCAGCCGATGCGAGTGAGGCCTTCCGGGGGTCCGCTATAAATAAGATGGCCCCTCCCACCTACCACCTCTGTAGTACTTTCCTTAGCCAGCTCATTCCTCATGACCAAGCACGAGATCACGGAGACCGAGCCCTACCACGAAAACAACGGTGGTGGTAAGACCGCGTTCAAGGACTATGTGGGTAAGTTCCAGCACATCGAGGACCCCTTGGAAAGAAAGAGATTGGCGTTGGAGGAAATCGACAACGCCGGCTTTGGGTGGACTCAGATCAAGATGATCATGATCGCCGGGGTCGGGTTCATGACCGACTCTTACGATATCTTCGCCATCGGGCAAGCCATCACCATGATGAACTACGCCCTCTGGGGGGGTAAGTTGCCCTCGTCTACGGAAACCCTTTTGAAGGTTTCTACCTCTGTCGGTACTGTCATTGGTCAAGTCGGTTTCGGTTGCGCCGCCGATATTTTGGGTCGTAAGGCCATCTACGGGTTGGAATTGATCGTGATGATCTGTGCCACCATCATTCAGTGTTGCTTGGGTTCGTCGCCCGCCATCAGTTTCCCCGCCATCTTGGCCACCTTGAGAATCGTCATGGGTATCGGCATTGGCGGTGACTACCCGCTTTCGTCGATTATCTCGTCGGAATTCTCCACCACCAGATGGAGAGGTGCCATCATGGCCGCCGTGTTCTCCAACCAAGGGTTGGGCCAGATCTTCGCCGGTATCGTCGCCATCGTCTGTGTCGCTGGTTACAAGCACGAACTTGACTACGCCCACGACGCCTCCATGTGCGACGCCAAGTGTAAGAAGGCCTGTGACCAAATGTGGCGTATCCTCGTTGGTTTCGGTTGTGTCCCCGGTTGCATTGCTCTTTACTACCGTTTGACCATTGCCGAATCCCCCCGTTACTCGCTCGACGTCGATGAAACCGGCGACTTGAACAAGATGGCCGATGCTGAAGCCGCCATTGACGTTGAAGCTCAACAAATTGCTCCCCCCAAGGCCTCGTTCAAGGACTTCATGAGACACTTCCGTCCCTGGAAGCACGCTAAGATCTTGGTCGGTACCTGTCTCTCGTGGTTCTTCTTGGATGTCGCTTACTACGGTATTGGTTTGAACACTCCCGTTATTTTGCTGGCCATCGGTTACTCGTCGCAGAAGAACATCTACAAGGGGTTGTACAACGCCGCCGCCGGTAACTTGATTCTTGTGTGTGCTGGTTCACTTCCTGGTTACTGGGTGTCGGCCGCCACCATTGACACCATCGGCAGAAAGCCGATCCAGGTCGGTGGTTTCATCATTTTGACTGGGCTTTTCTGTGGTATCGGTTTCGGTTACCACAGCTTGACCGAAGGTGGTAAGCTTGGGTTGTACATTGTCGCCCAATTCTTCCAGAACTTCGGCCCCAACACCACTACTTTTATTATCCCCGGTGAAATTTTCCCTACCAGATACCGGTCGACGGCTCACGGTTTGTCGGCCGCCTCGGGTAAGGTTGGTGCCATCATCGCTCAAACCTGTATTGGTACTCTTGTCAACCATGGCTGTGCCCCTGACAAAAAGAACTGTTGGTTGAACCACGTGATGGAAATCTTCGCCTTGTTCATGTTGCTCGGTATCTTCTCCTCGCTCATCATCCCTGAAACCAAGCGGATGACCTTGGAAGAAATCTCCGAAAAGTACCACGGCGAAGTGGACGTCACTAAGATGGGCCGCGAGCGGTTCTCCACTGAACACATCCCTGAAGACTCGTACTCGGATGACAAGAACTAATTTATAGACTAATATTGCACTTTGATAGCGTAACGATAATAATGAAACAATTGAATTGTAAAGAAAAATTATTTGAGTAGCCAGTCGCAGTACTTGGGGGCAAGGGTTCCTGTCCTTACGATGTGTACCACCTTCGACTTATCATAAGTCTGTTGTGTGATTTACAGAGGGGATTGTCAACTGCATGATTGACAGGTCGTCTCCAGCTGGGCTTATCTCATTTACACCGTTTGTCATCACTGCCTCGGTCCACGCAAGTGTATGTGCGGCTTACTCATAGTCGACCATGGCGAGAACTATCATTGCGGTCTCCATCACCAATTGTCCTGCACATAACCATGATGACCCAGAGTATAATAAGCCGATGATTGCCCTCGCCAGCAACGACACTAATCATGGGTTACCCTTCCGATCTCAAGGTCGTCTCGCGTAAGTTGACCAGCAACATTGCCATTGGTTCGCTGGCGTTCTCCCGCTTCAACGTCATCAATTTCGGTGCTCGCATGGCCGCCATCAACCACGATGACTCCATCATTATCTGGTCGGCGATGCCCTACGGTCCTCAAGTCGAAGAAGTGATCGGCTTGGTGGCCCAGAAACCGTTCAACATATCTCACCTCATCATCCCCGATAACCAGCACACCATGGCTGCGAAACTGTTTAAGGACAAGTACCCCCAGATGAAGATCATTGCTCCCGAAGGTGTCGACGTTCCTGGCTTGCCTCTTGACTACGTTATCACTTCGGACAATGCCAACAAAATTCTAGACACCGCTGCTTTGAATAACATTGGTATCACTGACCCTGTCATCACTGAGAATTTCCAGTTTGTCTACTTGCCCAGTCACGCTAACAAGGAATTGGTGACTTACGACATTAAGCTGAAAACTGTGTTCGAGGCCGACTTGCTTTTCAACTTGGGCGTGTCGGAACAATTGGAACAATACTCGCGAGAAACCGGGTTCTCCGACCTGTTTAACCCTCACGGCGGGTTGTCGTTCCTTACCAGATACATGCAACCGCATTCCAAAGTGGGTAACGGTCTTACCAGAAAGATTGTCCACATCAAAAACGCGGCTCCCGGGTTGCAAGCGATTTACTCGTGGGACTTCAACACGATTGTGCCGTGCCACGGTAACGTCATCGATAAGGGAGCCAAGGATGCTTTCAAGTCGACGTTTGCTCCGGCGTTCACTAATTAGTTTTTATTGTTATTCTTTGAGTTATAGGAGTTTTGGGGATCGAACTGTGGTGGTAGTTCGTAATAGTACATAGAGGTTCGATTAATGCATAATTTTCGCAAATTTAGCACAGAGAAAATATTTGACAAGAAGGAAACTTAAGGCAATCAATATTGGAATTGAAATGATATTATAAAATGATAGTACAATATCAACAATTTGAATGTTCGATTAATTGCAAATCAAAATAATTGTTAGTTTGTATGCTAATTTTAATTGATTAAAAATTAATGCACTAGTGCAGACCAAAGTAGAATCTACACAATGATGTCGGTCCCCTTAGCTTTAGCTTGGTTGACTTCAAGTTTTGCCAGTTTTGCTCCAAACTGAATGGCTCGTTTGGGTTCGGCCGCTACAAACCCTAGCCCAAATGACCGAGCCACTTCACGTAAATAATGCTTACGTTCGGAGACGACCACCTGTCGACGTCCTTGCTTCTTAGACTCTTTCCACTCCCACGAAAGCTTTAGTTTCTGTTGAGGTGGAATTCTCTTAACACTGGCAATCACGGCCTCATCTAAGTACGGGTATCTAAGCTCCTTACCCCAACTGGCCATAACTCGATCATCTCGCCCGAGATTACGAGTGTGTATGACATCAATATCATAGTCAAGCATCGTTTGAAGCTGATTATAAGCGTCATCGAGGGTGGGACTTTCTGGCTCCAAATTCGAGAAAAGAGCCTCATGTCGCAGGTAACCGGCAAATAACTCATCGGCTCCAAGACCCAGAAAAAGTACAGGAGCTGGAGATAAGTAACCTGAAACAGTGGTGAATTGATCTTCGTTTTTGCAATACTCCTCGTATGTCGCAGGGATATCCACTAATTGCCTTAACGTAATTGAAGCACCACTTTCAGAGGTACCACTGGCAAAGTAAAATGCAATAGCGATAGACAAGTCCATCTCAGTGGCAGTGGGGGCCATAAGACTTTGTACTCGATGATAGCCTTGGAGCCACTGTTTATAAGCGACATTAACTTCAACAAGACGAAGACTGATGCCGTGTAATTGACAAAGTTGAAACCACAGTCGTTTGGCGAGGACACGATCAGGCGACGACGCTGCCCGCTGGTTACTCCGAGGATGATCAAACCCAACGGTAATAAGATCAATGGCTTGACCAGGAGCAGTTTTAGCAAGTAGATGAGCGATTATCGTACAATCGAGACCACCAGAGAAAAGCACTCCCGCAGGCACCAGCTGAGGGTGAAGCGGTTGGATCGTTGCCCATCGTTGTTGTACAGCAGTTTGTAGTAGATCGGTGAAGGAATCACCTTGTGGTAAATTTGATTTTGGGTAAGAAATTTTTTCGAATTGTTTTGAATCGATAGAGTACACCCAGATCTTATTATCAACCTCTTCAAATCCCAGTCCAAGTCCAAGACCAACCAGACTGATCACTAATTGCCGAGGACTGTAGCGTACGACAAGCGAGCGACGTCCCACCCGATCACGTCCAAAATAAACCATTTCGTCGATAGTATCGTAAATGACGAAAGCAAACTCTCCGTTGAGCAGCGAGATTACCCGTAATATCGCCGCCCTGCGGTCCTTTTCTATGGCAAATTCGTCCGTTAATCGTTGCAAGATATCACTGGTATCGTTGGCAGACGTATTACCATAGAGCTCACCATTATACTGGAGAACAACCCCGGCGGCATAGCCAGGTTGCGGCGTGAATGGCAGCCGTAACAGAAGTACCGACGAACACATATGAATTTGGTTATCGACAATATGGTAGCCAAGATAGTCAGGACCACGACAGGCTACCGCATCCACAACCTGAGACACATAGTATTCATTTAGTGGAGCAGATGATTCAGGGTAAGCTGGCGGCTCATCAGCGGGACCTAGTAGATCATCAAGCTGCTGTTGAAGTTGGTTGTATTGTTTCAGTTTTTCTTCATCACTGAGCTTCAAATTAGCCTTGATTTTAGTTTGGCGGCTGTGGATATCTTTGATTTGATATTGGTGAGCGAGTTTAGCTTCGTCGCGTTTGGTCAAGGGGAAGCGAGCAAGATGGCGGCAGATAAAGTGTTGTGGGGATGTTGTGTGCCACTGAGGCAGTGACGACGATACGGGGATATCAGGCGGTGGGGTCACCTCGCCGAAGATCGCGAGAATGCCACACATGCGACCCTAGTCTCCGAGATGAGATGGTGCTTCAATAGTAGAGCATTGTTGATGAATGCAAATATATCAAAAATCTCAAAATGAGTCCAGTAGTATCGTGAAAGATAATTTAGGAGTATTTCAAGTCTCAGATTATTGACCCTCTTGATAAATATTTGATATCATTACTTGCGAGTAATAATTACAATCACCCCATATTATCTCCTATGACAAAATCCAAAACAGAAACCAAAGCTCAATACTACAACTCTCCAGTATTTTTTTTTATCTATGATACATGGTATTTGGTATGTCGTTATGTCGTGTGTGGTAGCAGGCCGGCTGCTATATATACTCTAATGGCCCAACGAGATCAAGCCGTTGCCGCGAGCTCTGACGGTCGATGCCAACGAGCCCTCTTGGTCCCAACGTAAGATATCGTCGAGAGTCGCTTCGGGGCGCCCGCCGATGAAAAGGCGCGGGACGTCGTCGCCCCACAGACTGATGTTTTCGAGGTAGTCAACAATGGCGTCGTGGTTGGGGTGCTGCGCCAAGTCGACTACGGTCATCTCCGGGGTGATGCTGAGCTTGCGGAGGGCCACTTCCACTTGTCTGAGCTTAGCTGAAGGGCGGTCCACCAACAATAAGACGGGGGTGACGGCGAAGATCTCGCGCAAGTCAGCGGTGGGGTTGCGCTCGCCGGACTGCGCCAGCGCCGTTGCCAGTCTCAGCGGCGGCATAGGCAGGGTCATCATCATCGGCGCCAGGTCTGGCAGCCGGTAGAACGACGGCGCCGAGGCGCCGGTGACGGCCCAGGTCAACAAACACATCGCCACCGTCGCGATGATGAGGGCGAGCCACTTGGCCAGTTGGGGCGGCAGCCGTTTGGTAGAGGATCCAGACTTTTCGTAAGGCATGAGCTATGGGTCACAGAGTCGTCGTCGTTGGCGGCATTGCGGGGGTATTTAAACCGTGGGATGCTCTGGAATACCACCTTTGGCGTCACAATCGGTGGGGGGCCAGGGCTCGTACCCGGCAGGAGTTTTCTTTTCCGGGGGGCGCGACCATTGCTAGGGGGTGTGGACTAAATCGCTATTGAAAGGGGAAAGTCGTTGCCTAATGGGGCAAGAGGCTGGTGGCTTTGTTACCCGGCTACGCCGACACCCGTTCCCCCTGACCTACCACAAATCCCAATACGAGAAGATAGAGACATAGCGCATCGGAGTGTGGGTTTCAGTGATCGGGTGGATCATTCGGGGTGGGCGGTGGCAATCTCTTTCTAAGGCGGTGGGTGCTGCTAAATGTTTCATTGTTACGTCTGTGGCCATCTGCAGGACCGATTACGCGGAAAGTGCACTATGGGCGCACGCAGATGAAATCTGGGGTTGCCCACCGTAAGCCAATGGTCTGCGGATACCACCAGAGTAATGCCGAGCCGGGTGTGAAGGTGTAGCGTCAGGTAGATTTATTCTTGGTTTATTTCTGGTGGTTTCTTAGCGGTTGCCAAGAACTAGGCGACCTTCGTAACTGGGAACCGAACGCGGTGGCGATTATTGCCATTCGCGGATGACGGCTTCAGCCGTTGCTACTATTGTGACTTCATCGGGATCGCAGTGTGCGGGGGAGCAACTTGCGATTAGGGCGGCGGGTGGTCGTCGATCTAGACCGCGCGCGCCGACTACGGGTCGCTACTGCCCCAAACAGGTAAGCGACACCCACGCAAGTGGCGGCGGCGACACCGCTCGTACAATGTGGTAGCGAGTGGCACCCATCCACTCTGCCTTGTCTCGGAAGCCTATATCGCAGATATATTACTATTTACAGCTCTCCCCCTGTGGGACGGCTTTCGTGGTGACAATAAGCCGCATTATTCTCTATCTCTATTTCCCTGATTATGATGTCACCGTATCGCGTGGTGACTTGTATCGCATGGTGACTCGTACCCCTGGACTCTCAACCGTCACAGTGGCTTATCACAGTGAGAATGTGACTGATCATGGTTACTCGTCATAGTCGTTGGGCGGAGGGCGCGCGGCGTCGCTCAGCATGTACAAGTCGATGGCGTACGAGAAGGCGGCGAAGCCCGCACACCCGATGGCGGCGGCCTGGGGCCCGCCCTTGATCAGCAAGCCGGCGCCGGTGATGCACCCGGCCAGCACCCCGTTGTAGATGTCGTGCTTGGCCCGCAAACTCTCGATGGAACACTCGACCCCCAGGTACACCATCCCGATGTAGCCAAAGTTCTTAGCGCTCAGCCACATCCGGCGGCCCATGTCTTTAAACTGGTAGCGCATCTGCTCTTTAAACGGCAAGTCCAGAATGTGCTTCACCGCCGTCAGCCCGATGGGAACATCATACGCCATCAGCGCCATGAACAACCCGAAGAAACCCCCCAACGCGAACCCTGAACCCCCCGCGATCACGGTCTTCCCCGGACACAGGTGCATCGCCTCGATCATCTTGCGGGCCCCGAGCTCCCCTTGCTCCTCCTGGGTCATCTCCGCCATCGGCTTTTGCGGCGGCGCCGGGCCGGTGTATACCCCAAATACCATTTGATCCAAGAGGCGATGGTAAAACGACGAATTTTTCGCACCCCCAGTGGTGAACGCCGCCCGCCACTGGGAAGCACAAATGATGACAAATTAGTGGGAAACTAATTTGGAATTCACATCAGACTAATTAGGAGAGTAGTACATCCTTTTATCTGGTGAATTGTCACTTTTTTAAACCACTTTTCACGTTGATGCCCCCCACAGTTTATCACCATCGTGAGGTCTGCGCGCACAGTTAAACTCGAAGCGATGCCGGCTAAGGTCCACGACGACGCCTTTGACAGCGCCGCTGACGGCGCTGCTGGTGGCGCTGCCGACGCAAACATCAACTACGACGACGCCATCGCCTACTGGCTGCTGGTGCCAGCGCTGGTCAACGGCGTCTTGGGAGGTTTTGGCGAGCAGACCAGTGTCCCCAAAGCCGATATCGTGGGGCTGCTGACGTTTCTCCGCAAGCTCCAGACGCGGATGGAGTGTCCCCCGGGCTACCAGCGCCTCACCATCGATATGGGCGCCGGCATCGGGCGCATTACTCGCGATTTGTTATGGAAAGTGAGCGACCGCTGCGATCTCTTAGAGCCCGTGGTGCCGTTTGTCAAACAGATGGAGGCCGAGTTGGCGCCGGTAGCGCAGCGGGGGAAACTCGGCGACATCTACCCGATTGGCATGCAACAGTGGCAGTGTCCCCCTGAAAAGGAAGGTCAATACTGGTTGGTGTGGTGCCAGTGGTGCGTGGGGCAGTTGCCCGACGACGAGCTCGTGGCGTTCTGGCAGCGCTGCCGCGCCGCCCTCATGCCCAACGGGACGATGATCGTCAAGGAAAACATCGCCCCCGTCGACGACGTGTTCGACACTACTGACTCGCTGGTTACGCGTACGGACGCTAAGTTCCGCCAGCTTTTCATCGAGGCCGGTTTCAAGTTGATCGCCTCCGACGTGCAAAAGGGGTTGCCCCGTGAGTTGTACCCCGTGCGGATGTACTGCCTCAAAGCAGCGCAATAATTGCAGTTTTCAACATCCTAATTGAGCATAGACTTTTACACTCAATACATAGACAACCAAAATCAATACATAGACTCTGACCAAAAATACGTAGAGGATTCTAATATATATAGACGATTACAATCAATATACAGACGAATACAATCGATGTAGAGAATCTGACCAAATCAGTACATATAAATACTTTCATCATAAAGTAAACCATAAACTCTGACTACTATCGGATTACAGACGGCTACACTCATTTTCAATAAATACGTGTATCATTAATTAGTTACCATACATGATCGTGAGTTCTGGTTGAAACTTTGCTAATCTATTTTGTTCGAGTATAAATCACCCACGAACTTCGGCCAACACTTGAGTCAACCGCTTAATCAACTCGTCATTTTCGTGTTGTTGACCAATCAGGAACCGGAGAGCCCCTTCACAATTAAGTTCCTTACCCCGGAACCGCACCACCACCGCATTATCAACGGCAAGCTTCTTGTATACCTGTTCAGCAACCACGTTATCCGGCTTACCGTCCTTGTTGAGGATCTCGTAAAGCACGAAATTGGCATCAAGCCCACCAATATTGCGACCAACACCGTCAAGCTTATCAAAAGCAGCACAGAGCTTGGTGCGTTGGTTGATGATCAGATCCTTATACTTCTTCATCGTCACAAGCCCCTCAGTACTGGTTGCCCGCAATGCCACCAGCGACGTCAACAGCGAGATGTTATAAGGCCACTTCATCGCGTTGAGGTAGCGTGACAATTGTTTCGGGGCATAGGTGATCCCTAACCGAATACCGGCTAAGCCAAACGCTTTAGAAAGAGTTTGCAATACCACAATATTGTCGTAAGTGTTGACGAGAGTCGAACACAGGGCCAGAGGTTCGCAAAAATCGATATAGGCTTCGTCCACCACCACGAGCACGGGGTGGTCTTGAAGGCGGTCAGCAAGCTCCACCACTTGGTTAACATCAACCAATTTGGCCACGGGGTTACCGGGGGAGGTGATGTAGACCAATTTCACCGGTTCGGCAGCGACTTTAGCAACAATGCCGTCGATGTCAAGACTCCAAGAAGGATAGTTCAACGGCACTTTAACCACCTCCACATCGTTAATAGTAGCACAGATACCGTACATCCCGTAAGTAGGAGGACACACCAACATCTTCTCTTTAGCGGGAGCGCAAGTACATCTAATTAACAAGTCAATCAGTTCATCGGAACCGACCCCAAGACACAAGTTTTCCGGCACCAAGTCGGCCTTGCCCTTAGGATTGGGGCTAGCGTTACGGTAGTCACAAATCTGCTGCTTCAATTCCACCTGGTGAGGGTCAGGGTAGCGGTTGAGCTCCAAGGAGTCCTCGTCCTTGGACACCGTGTGCAACGCGGGGCCGTGGGTGTTTTCGTTAGCGTCAAGCAACACGCCTTCTTTGAAGTCGTCCCGAGCACACCGGTAGGGCTCGAGCCCAAGGATGTTGGGGCGTACGATTTCCTCGAGCTTCACCATTTGTTATGTGTGTAATTGGAAAGGATGAGAGTGTGATAGCGATGGTCGCACTGATAACCGCTACAGTGCGTGTACGGTGTGTGAGTCACTAGGGGAAACTCGGAGTCTGGGGACAGGCCGGAGTCAGCGATCTATGATTTAAGGTACGAGTCATTTTTTCACTCGCTGTGAGATAATGCGATTTCTCATTTTTAAGGGGTGGTGGGGATTCGAACGGTAGCGCTGGACCATACTATACCGTTTCAGTACCCCCAACTGCCTCCACTGGTCCCCTCGACAAAGCCTTTATTGTCCCGGTATCCCCGCGCCTCACAATCGCACGTGGAACGTTTTGCTCGGATGCAACTGACACGATAACCCTGAAACATTTGTGTTTGCTGTGGGCTGTACGCGACCGCGTCAGGTGAAATTGCTGGGTTAAGGGGCTACGGCAGCCGACACCGTGGTGGACAATAGCGCCAACGGTGCATCAAACAGTGGCGTCATTGATGTGGTAACTAACACGTTGATCTTAGGTCATTGACTATAATTGGCATCAATTGAGTAATTGAATAATGCCGTAAGTGGCAATGGTAGAGCGACAGTGGGTGGACCACTTTAGGTCCTGGTGGCGGTGCCGTGATCGACGACGCCTACTTCAATTGAGCGATTTTGTCACAATTGCGGGGACTAATGGGGAGGTGGCATCGTGGGCGCAACACCACAATGGTCGGTGACGTAATGGAGAGTGAAGGCAAGGTGATCGTCATTTTCGGCGAGTCACCCGCCAATTTCACCCCTGATTGACACTGCGATTTTGCCAATAGCGACGTCAGATTACGCCATCAAGATCGCCGCCCATCAGTCTACGCTCCATGACCACCATTGCCTAGGCAAAGCTGTACTACTCATACATCTCGGTGGTGTGGATCCGTTCCGAAATCCGTAAGCGGACGCCATTAAAACGGGGCTGAGATTCCATGCAGCAGAGGATAATATATGCATTCCATCCCTAATCGGTCCAGGGGCTTTGTCTGACACGCTAGTCCGTCCCCGTGACCCACCCACTATAAAACCCCAGAGCAATTGCCGCCCCATCCTCTAATTATATCCTCTTTTCACAATGGTTTTGGGTTTCGGTGAACACAACAAGCACGACAGACGCGACAACGATGACAACAACGACACCTTTGGCAGCTCGAGATCGGACGGGTACTCGCTGAACCAATCGGGCTACGGCAACACCGACTCCTACGGCTCGTCCAACAGAAACGATGACTCGTACGGCTCGTCGAACAAGTTTGGCTCCAGCAACGATGACTCCTACGGCTCGTCGAACAAGTTTGGCTCCAGCAACGATGACTCCTACGGCTCGCTGAACAGAAGAGGCAACAACGACGACGACTCGTACGGCTCGCTGAACAGAAGAGGCAACAACAACGACGACTCGTACGGCTCGCTGAACTACGGGTCTGGCTCGTCGGACTCGTACGGCCTGTCCTCGAACAGAAGAGGCAACAACGATGACTCCTACGGCGGCTCGCTGTCGTTCGGCTCTTCGGGCAACGATGACTCCTACGGGTCGCTGAACTACGGCTCGTCCAACCGCAGAGGCAACAACGACGACTCGTACGGCGGTTCGTCGGACTCGTACGGTTCGTCGAACAGAAGAGGTGGCAACAGCGACCTGTACGGCAACGACGACTCGTACGGCTCGCTGAACAAGTTCGGCGGCTCGTCGTCGTCGTCGGGTGGCTACGGTGACGACTCGTACGGCTCGTCGGACAGACGTGGCGGCTCGTCGTACAACAACAATGACGACTACTAGATATGAGCAATGAATGATTGGCTATTGGTTGATTTAGACTAAATTGTAGAAACAATGGATTAGTGAGGAGGTTAGGTAAATATCGACAATTGCGGATTATCCGAATCAATTAACCTCGAGGGCGTCAATTTAACCACTTCGGGATAAGCTCTACGGGTAAAATTTAAGAGTTCTAGGGGTGGCAACCTGAAATTGTTATCAATGATGCGTTTGGTTGAGCCACATTATTTATTAAGGTTGGCAGCTTTGAGAAGTTACCAGTGTCTGATGCAAAAAGGTCATGCCGTATTGTTGCCGATTGTGTTAATTACCCACCTCTACCAAAATAGAAAAATAACCCTGGCCCGATTGCCTTTTGTAATCTTATTCGAGCTCAACCGCTTTCGCCTCACTCAGCTATACTTTTCCTTCGACAACTCTCACGTGGAAACAGTGCGCGTACGCGGCGGCGTATTTGGTTCCACCGTGTTATATTGAGGGGCGATGAACGTACAAATCAGCTACGACACCAACACCAAGAAGCTTGGGTTGCCCGAAGAGGTGGCGACCCAGCTTCCTCAGGTGAAGCTTGAGATCGACCAGCTCAACATCTTGACGCTGGAGCTCATTGCCTCGGGCCACGACGTGCCCCAGGTGCCGTCGCCAGAGAACTTCAACCGGGACATCAGTGTCAGAGTGAAGAAGTTGTACGACCTGGGGGTGCAGTCGTTCAAGATGGGCAAGTTTGACGACGCTGCCCGCCAGTTCAGCTTGGGGATCGAGATGATCCTGAGAAGACCTAAATTCGAGCTGTTCCAAGGCACGCTTCAGGAGTTGTCGCTTTTCCTCATGCTGAGAGCTGACGCCTATCTCAAGACCGGTCAATACTTGGACGCTTTTAATGACGCCGACATGTTGTTGGGGATGATGATGAACACCCCCGATAACTTTTTGAGACGGGGTGTGGCCAACTACTTTTTGGGTAACTATGAGGCTGCCCGTGCCGACTACCAGCGCGGCCTCGCCTTTGACCAAAACAACGACCGCTTAATCACTGAGTTGGAGATCTGTCTCGACAAAATTCTCGAGGAGAATGGAGACTACTTGTAATACGCCTCGGAGCCGGCTATGGGGCTAGTCACATATATATATATATACACATGTAATCGCACATCGCACTCTAGGAAAAGGAACCGTCACATTGTTGTTTGTTAGCGATCTCAGGAGATCGCGCGCCATACAAAAAAAACCTTATCTAAAACAGGTCGATTTCACCACTACGCCCACCCCCAATACCCCACAAGATCCTCTGATCTTCTACGTCATACATGTCCACCCGTATGGCCGACGAGGTCGTGTACTTGCTGGACACCGACAACGAGGAGCAGCCCGTGAACCCCGCACCCAAGCGGCCACGGGTGGCGCCCGACGCGGCGATGATGTTTGGCACACCCAAATATGAAATCCCAATAGCGGAGGAAACCCGGGAGTTTGCCGATGTATCGACAACGTGGTCTCCCGAAGTTGTTCCCGACGCCCAAGACCGGGTGAAGACGCCGTTGCCCGCGCCATCTGACTCGATAGTGGTGATTGAGCTGGACGATGAACCCGAGCTTCCGCCGCCGCAACCACAGGATGACGATGATATCATCTTTGCCAGCGATGACGAGCATATCACGGCTCTTCCCATTAATGATGATGGCGACTCCTACAATGATCAGTCGTCTTTCTTAGCGGATCTGGATGGCGATATCGTTCTCCGCGATGCCTCGCCTGTCAACGTACACCACGTGGTGCTGGATGTTGAAGAAAGCGACGACGATATTGTCGAGATTAATAGTGCCGATGTTGACCCGCTGAAATTTAAACTGATTCTGTGGGCACCCGAGGTTGATGAGGGAGAGGTGGAGGATCCAGACTCATCCTATCGCCAGGATTCTTCTTTCCGACAAGACTCGTCAGTCACCCCTCAACCTGCCCCAAACCCCCAACAGGAACAGATCCAGCGTGAAGTGGCCAACCGCATTGAGGGGTACCAGCAGAACCGTCTGTTACTTATCCAAGGTGTGAACCAATGGCATCAAACACTTGCTAATCTCAGAACCTTCCAACAACGTATGTTCGAACGTTTTCGTCATTTGTCGCAGTCCTATCTGCAAGGCAATCTCGAGGCCAAAGATGAAATACAACAGGTACAGGCACAACTTCACTACGCCAAGAATGAAATCAAGCAAAAAGAGTCTCTCTTGGAGAGTTCACGCAAGCGGTTGTTTGAAGTCGATCAGATCATCCACAACCTCCGCACGTCTCAACGACTCCCTTTTGCTTACTCTGCCGCGCCGGCAGTTGCCCTTCACCACCGTCCCATCGTCAACAGTAACGTTTACGATGGTGGCTTAGGGTTAAAGGAGGATGTTGATCTTCAGACGTTGCTCGATAATATCCGTTCAGATGAAGACCTGGAAGAAGGTCTTGAAGTCACTCCCAAGGAGATGAATGTTCTGTTATTGAAACACCAGCGCAAGGGGTTGACGTGGATGCTTCGCATGGAGAAAGCTCGGAATCAAGGTGGCATTTTGGCCGACGATATGGGGCTTGGGAAAACTATTCAGGCGATTGCTCTCATCGCTCGCAATAAGCCAGATGCGAAGGTTGCTTGTAAAACTACCCTTATCATTGCCCCAGTCTCGTTGTTACGTCAGTGGTCTGAGGAAATCAAGCAAAAAATCAGAGTTGAACATCTGATATCGGTTGGAATATTCCATGGGAACACTCGCAAATCGCTTTCACTGTTTGCTCGTTTCAAGCGGTACGACGTCATTCTCACGCTGTACTCGACACTTCAAAACGAATTTAAACGCCATTATGCTGCCGAACTTAGCAAGGCTAAGGAGGAAGGGCAAGCGTCTTCGTGGTTACCATCCCGCTCCGATAATTTGAATGGCACTCGTAAGTACGAACTGCCCTTTTTCGGATCCGGTAAAACGTTCTTCCGCATTATTCTCGACGAAGCCCAATACATCAAGAACAAAAACACCATTCAACTGCGGGCAGTTGCACTGTTAAAGGGTTCATATCGGTTCTGTTTGCTGGGTACGCCGATGCAAAACAGCATCGATGAACTTTATCCAATTTTGAGATTTTTGGGTATTCGACCTTACTGTTTCGAAGACAAATTTCGGGTTGACATTGCTTTGCCCTTGAAATCGAGAAACAGACAGTATGACGATTACGACCGTGAGCTGCTGATGAAGCGTCTTCGAGCATTATTAGCAGCAATCTTATTGCGGAGAACGAAGACGCTGACTATTGATGGCAAACCAATTCTTGAATTACCCAAGAAGCATTTGAATCGCCTTGACGTCCAGTTAGAGAAGGAGGAGAGTGAATTCTACAAACGGGTCGAATCCAAGATCCAAATGAGCGCCCGTAAATTACTCGGGAAGGCTCCTGTTGAAGGTCTGAACGGAATTTTGGCTTTATTGACAAGATTACGGCAAGCATGCTTGCACCTGTATCTTATCGAAATTGGTGAATATCGTCGTCAGCAACTGGAAGAGGCATCGAGATTTATCAAGCAATGGCAACACAATTTCACCGGTCTTTATGACGTCACCAGCAGCATGGAACCTCGGGCTGTTGCGATAGTATCCGACCAATTAATTTCCCCGAAGAAGCCGAAGGGTGAAGATGAAGACACAATGTTACCGGGTTTTAATAATGTCAAACACGATCTTTCTGAGGCACCCTTGACGCAAGCAGGTTTGAAGTCAGACCAATTCGACGTGTTCTTGGACTCAAAGGAGATTAAAACTGATTCAATTGAGTCGACTCTGGCGCAAGCTGAGCAGTTTCCAGTTAAGCCAGAACTTGAGTCCGATGAGACGGAGTTGGCTGACGTACGTTGTCCAAATTGCAATAATTGGTACACGCCTGGCCAGGATACCGTGATTGTTCACCGCAAATGTGGTCATATATTTTGCATCGACTGTGTCCAATTGTTATTTGAAGACTCGGGTGAGTCGACTTACAAATGTCCCACATGTACTGAACAGGGAACCTCGGGGAAAATGGCGGATGTTGCCGTTCGCGATTGCATCGACTTCCGGATCTACGATTTGGTATGGAATCAGCAAATGCCGAAAGAGCAATTTGATATGAATTGCAAACTCTGGTGGCTGAAGCTGAAGCGGGTGCCTATCGACACTATCATAGACACAGTGATTGCTGATCATGATGGCGCTTTCCCCACTCTGGCGAAGATGACTCAGTGCATCAACAAGGTGAAAGAAATCTTTGAAAAGTATCCCGGTGAGAAGATAATCATTTTCAGTCAATTCACCACGTTATTCGACTTAATGCGGCGCAAGTTGGATGACAACGAAATCAAGTATTTGCGTTACGATGGCTCAATGTCGGTTGATGCTAAGAACGATACTGTCAAGCGGTTCTACCAGGATGATCAGTATAAGGTGATGTTCCTTTCGCTTAAAGCGGGTAATGTGGGGTTAACTTTGACTTGTGCCTCCCACATTATTATGATGGACCCTTTCTGGAATCCATATGTCGAGGATCAAGCAATGGATCGTGCTCACCGTATCGGTCAAACACGTGAGGTCCACGTACACCGTCTTTTCGTCTCGGGTACGGTGGAGCTGAGAATTTTGGAGTTACAGGACCACAAGCGAGAGCTCATCGGAGCTGCGATGAGTGAGAGTGGTCTCCAAACAGTGGCGAGAGCGTCGAAGCGCGAGATTGGTTTCCTTTTTGGTTTGAACAACTTGAAGGAATGAACGTTATAGAGTATTACATAATTAATGAGTATTTACGAAGAGGTCTTCTTAATATTGCGAACCCAGTCCTCAGGCGTCACCCATTCACTTAATCGTTCTTTGAGCAACACTTCAAAGTTCGCTCCAAACTTGGAAAGGGATTTAGTCAAGTAAACCAACTGTAGAAGTAATCCGTCAATACTACCGTCATTTTCGGGGTATGCCTTGGTTTCAGCAAGATTACCAACGAGAATCTCCGTCAAGGTATCAGCTAGCTGGTGGCAAAACTGCGATACCAACAATGGGTTAGTTGCCAGTGGGAAGAGCGACTGGTACAGATATAAGGTGGCATATCCATGCTCTCGGAACACTTCCACCAGCCGCTTTAAATATGTCATTTTGTTGGACAATTTGAGTAATGGTTTCAACAGCGCCAACTCCTGTAGAATAAATCGGTACCGGCCTTGGAGGAACAATAATTGAAGCGATTCAGAAGTGCCTATGTCGAGCTTGGTAAGGATTTGGAATATCTTGCCAAGCAGATGGGCCTTGACGTTGGTGGAAAGTAGACGGATGAGCCCCTTGACCATATGCTGAAGCTCAGCATCTACCTGTGCCTGGATAAGCTTGAACGCTTCAATTTGAGGGAATCTGATGCAATATGACCGCACAAGCACCAGAATCTCTAATGCTTCGTGGTAGTTACCCTGAGTGATACATAGCCGAGCAAGACTGGGAAGTTCCAACAAATCTAGGATGGAATCAATATGCTGAATTACTGAGGAGCTGGTTTTCACCTGGCTCATCAATTTGTCGATGTTTGTCAGTCCAATCTGGAGTTTAGGGATTTGTGTGAGCTCTTCTGGGTATTTGATGGTTAAGTTCTCAGCGACAGTGGTGACGTCAGTCTCCAATTGAATGAGCACATCACGGTGATTGCTTGTGAGTTCACCGAGCTTATCATTGATCTGCCGCTGCTGCTGGTCGAGCTCTGCGATCTCTTCCACAAGGGTTTTGGTACCGCTGGCAGCACTGGTGGTGGTGAAATTGTCGGTACACATAAGGCCATCATTGACGAGGAGTTCTTCAAGGTAGGCCTGACATTCTTTCGCCTCGTCTGGAGTGAGGTTGGTGCCTCCAAGGGTCTGGAGAAGGAGGGACATGTGGCAGGGTCGCGCGAGGTTTCCAACCGTGTTGTCTTCAAGTTGGATCACGAAATTGGGGAAAGCGAAGTTCAAATATTTAATTTGATTGAATCACGACATAATGATTGATTTAATTGAATGTTTGGTAGTTAGGACTATTTTTGTAAGCAAGCGTGAAGTTGAGGTATTGAAAATCTCGCCAAAGTCTACCCTAAAAAGATTCCTTCATAGCAATGCAATACGTAGACTCAGCAGTATCATAGATTACTCACGGAACCGTGTTATACGCGTTTACTGTCCTATATCCGTGTATTTTTTACACATGTCCTCTCGCCCTCACAACCTCGTGGCTACGATAATTCGCCGCACTCGCAGTGACGACGACACACACCATGGAGGGTCTCTTTTTCAACGTCGACTACGGCTACTTGGAAGGCGTTGTCCGAGGGTACAAGGCGGGTCTTCTCAAGCTGAACCAGTATGTGAACCTCACCCAGTGTGACTCGCTCGACGACATCAAGCTTCAATTGCTGGCGTCTGACTACGGCAACTTTTTGGCCAACTACCTGGGACCGATGACAACGACCGTCATATCGGAAAACATGAACAAGGTGCTCGTCAAGGAGTTCCGCTACCTTCAACAACAGTCGCTGGGCATCGCGGCTGAGTTCTTGGACTACATCACCTACGGATACATGATCGACAACGTGCTGTTGATGATCACCGGCACCTTACACGAACGCGACCGGCTGGAGATCTTAGCCAAATGCAACCCGCTCGGGTGGTTCGACACATTGCCTACATTGCTGATTGCCACGGATATGGACTCATTGTACCAAACGGTGCTTGTGGACACGAAGTTGGCTCCGTTCTTCCAAGGTTGCCTTTCAGTCGACGACTTGGATGACCTTAACATTGAAATCGTCCGGAATCGGTTGTACAAAAACTACCTCGAGCTGTTTGAGCAATTCATCGCTAAAAACTTCATCGACCCCGACCGTGAGATCATGTCGCAGCTTTTGGGATTTGAAGCCGACAAGCGTGTCATCAACATTGCCTTGAACTCGTTAAACAACCCGGACTTGTCCGTTGAAGACAAGTTGTCGTTGTTCCCGTCGTTTGGCTTGCTTGAGCCTTATCACAAGGACTTGGCGGCGTGTGACGATGGCGAGCAGTTGAAGCTGATCGTCGACAATGTGGGTGTGTACGCCGAGGTATTTTCTGAGACTGACGGCTCCGGCAGCAAGAACCTCGAGGACTGGTTTTACCTCATGGAAATGAAGCTTTGTAAGGATGCATTCACCCAGCAATTCACGTTAGCGTCGGTGTACTGTTGGTTAAGATCCAAGGAACAGGAGATTAGAAACGTCACCTGGATCTCCGAATGTATTGCTCAAAACCAAAAGCAAAGAATCGACAACTACATTGCGGTATATTAGCCCCCTAATGAATAAATGATTTACAACCGGCAACGATGGTAGTAGTCGATTGCAATCGACCCAGGCACTAAATTCCGATGGGAAATTGTGGTCCTCTATGGTACATTGTCATTAGCTATATACATGGTCATTACGCCGCCAACGGTTCGCCGGCTTCGGGGTAGGCCGGGGCCATTTGCGGTTGGGCAAACACCCGTTGCATCATCATCCCCACACCTTCAAACACCCCCAACAAACAGGCACAGGTGATGGCGGAGTTTCTCGTGTGTCTCCACCCACCTCTGATGGCAAGAGCACCACCGGTGAAAAACCCAGCAATCACGGCGTTCCAGGCGTCTTCTCTCTTACGGACGGCCTTGACGGTACAGTCGAAAGTGGAGAACAAACCACCCCACACACCGAAGTTACCACCGACGACGGGCGCACGAGCCTTGATCGCTTGGAGGGCACCTTGGCCCCGTTCACCGTAGGGCGAGTTTCTGAAACCCTTAATCCCGTGCCACACACAACCACCAATCACACCCATGGAAAATGCACCACCAAAGTCATTTAAAATAACGATAGGACAGGGGTCTCTTGCGTGGTCAGCACTCATCTCGGGTTTTCTTCAGTAATGCCAGTGGCGGGTGGACTGAAAATTTTAGAGGTGCGAAGGTCACGTGAGGCTTTGGAAGTGTGTGCGGCGTTGCTATCACCGAGTAGTCATAAGACCTATTTCAACAATTGAACAGAATCCCAGAAGGTACATTGAAACATCAAATGGAATAGATAGCTGACTGTAGAACGATCTTCTACTATTTCGAAAATTGCATCGCGTGACCGTTCAGGTTGCCACAAAGGATCCGTTGGGAATATGATAGGGTCGCCGTGCTTGCAATCAAACACATAAGTCACAAACTCAATTGAACATACTGACATGAGAAGATTAAACTCATTTCCGAAGGCTGATTATACAGCTTGTCGACGGCGAGTAGGTAATTATATTGGCATGAAACGTATAACAGGATTCGTGTACCAGAGCTCGTAACGGAAAATTCCGTAACGCTTGGTCCCACTGTCACTATGATCGCTTCTGCGTGTACTGATTTTGGTTAGCAAACGACCTAAACTCGCTATTGATAATTGCACGCATAAGAGACCAGGTCCAAAGCTAATGCCAAATTGGCGATTAAACTCGCAATGGCTAGGCATTTTTTTTTGAAAGAGAGAGTCTAAAATGTCTCAAGTACATCATCGTCATTCCTTAGGTGAGAAATCTGATATACATACTCTTCATTGTTTCGACCTACAAGCAAGGCGAGCTCGCAGAAGTCTTTAGCAGAGATGTCATTCAAATCTTTCAGCTTTCCGGACCCAAGATACTCATCCGTGTTGTTTGGATATTGAGATGCTATAGACCGGAACGAGGTTTCTGTTTTGATTTCATTGAATGAAGTTATTTGCAGCCATAATACCGGTCTTACGATTCGGACATGACCTATACCCGCACCTGGGACCAGTAGGCGTACTCGGGCTTCCACCCTGCCGCCCAGGAAATGTACAACAATTTTCATGATCACGATCTGTAATATACACCACTAGACGATTCGATTCGATAATACACAATATCTGAAACCGTATAAACTAATTTGTGTTACCAGTCAGATCTGGCTTCCAGAAATAAAAGTCTGGGGAGCGCTCCAAATGAGCTCATAACCTGATTTTAAACCAAATTGAGACACATAAAGCTTTGGGCTCATATCCTCTCATTTTTGGCAATTCGAACTCCACGTTGATCATGTTTCGGCGTAGCTATGCCCCAACTTTGTTCTGATCTAAACCTTGACTTATGGGCTCTAGAAGCAACTTGCGATGTTTGCAGTAGTCGTAATAGTGGTGCAACACCTCCTCGAAGTTGGGCGTTTGTATGCAGGAGCATTTGCGAGAGATGCTGAACATGACACTATCAGCTCGACCACAAGATTCTAGAATGACGAATTCACTCAGCTTAACACCACTGTAGTCTCTATGTACGTTTGTTTGGCTTGACAAGTCTCCTAGTGGGCAGCCCAACTGTTAGCACACTTATCACGCTTCCGAAATTTAATACCTGCACATAGGAGTTCAGACTGCATGTCGTGTGTGAACTGACCAAGTGTTTTCACCGCTTATATATCACTCTAAGAGAATACAAACAACACCACTGTAATAATCACTAATGAAATAGTATTTAGGACGGCAAATAGAATTTTCGGATTTTTCATACAGAAAAACTAAAAAGTGTGCTAAAAAATCAGGATAAATCGCTAAAATCAAACTGATAGCTCCATAAAATTCTTTGGCATTGGAAGTATAGCTGAGGTGATTTTGGGAGAGTTGACATCAAAATTGGCGTCTCTATGTGAGTTTACCTGGAAAAAAAAACTTTTTTTTTTTTCTAGCAAAATTGTTTTTACACTATTTTGAGTTTGTAAAGCTGTCTATAACGTGTAGTAAGAATTGAAAATGACTTGTAATGTTTGTAGCAGTAATGAGAGAAGTATAAAACCCGCCTAGGTTCAACGCCTGTATGCAGGTACATGAAAGAAGATGCACGACACAACAAGGTGAGCTGTAAGACGCATCTACAGAGATTTCGGCTCCATTTTGTTTGCAACATTACAGTCTTTGTAAACGTACATTTAATGTGATTGGTCAAAGTCGATGCCAACACAAATTCTGACACAGATATCGTACGTCCAAGTTTTAGGTTTTGCACACAAGCCTCGCATGTGCATATGGACCACAAATTTTCAACTAGGATTTTCATCATGTATATGACGCTCTAGAAAGAATTAAAATACACCACTGTGATGTATACGGTACAAATCCCATTTATAATAGCAATTGGGATTTTTCTGAATTCCGTAAAGAAAAACTTCAAAGTGTGATATGAAATCAGAGAAAATTGGTACAGACTTGTAACTAGCACCATAAAATTCTTTGGTGCCAGAAGTATCGTAGATAAATATCTGGGCAGGCTGACGTTTGATTGAGTTATCTGACAGGCTGTTATGTGCGTTCTCAAGATGATCCTGCATGTGGCGGATGACTTTCAAGGCAAGACCAATGATAAGACAAGTTGAGTGAGTTTTGAATCTAAATCTATATTCCACACGGTTTAAATATATGTGTAATAAGCATCAGAAGTTGATTTCAGACAAAAAAAAAAACTTGAAAAGAAAATTTGAAATAATTTTAGACGAGCGGCCAGTGCCTTATATGCAGGAGTTGACGACTGGCGCGGAATGTTATATACAAGCCGTTATACATATGCATGATGATGTAATTGGTGGGGCTGTGACAAGCTCAGCAACACGCTTATTGCTCCGCTAAAACCACTATTGTTTCAATTTCACAAGAACGTTTTCAACGAAAGCGGAGTTTAAATGAATACTGAGGTAGAAATATTACCTCCAAAGTGTTCTTGCACTTGTGAGTTGACACTAAGGCTTTCAAACTATCTTTCAACCTGTTGTAAGAAACGTTAAAACGAGTTGAACACCTTTTTCACTATATTAGCAGATTGAACTACTGTCTCTGCTCTCTACATTACACTAATACTCCATCAGAGGCGGTGTCACTTCCTCTGATATCATTTACAGTTAGTAGCACCACGATTACATGAGTACTGCATACAACAACTAATGCAGGTAGGGCTAGTAGGAGGCCGTAGCTGAAACTACTTCAAGTTGAATGTTAACTTACCCAGAGAGTTATCTACCATACTTCTGGTGTCAAAGAATTTTATGAAGCAAACGAGAAGTCTGTAGCAATTTTCCCTGATTTTATGTCACATTTTGTATTTTGTTTATGGAAAATTCAGATAAATCCCAATTGCTATTATAAATTGTATTTGTACCCTATACATCACAGTGGTGTAATTTGTTTTGTTCTCAGGTTTGATATAGGTGATGAAAGACATCATTGAAAAATCATGAATGATATGCACATGCAAGGCTTGTATGCAAGACTTCAAATTTGAAAGCGTGATATATCAGTCAGTAACTGTGGCAGCACCTATCTAAATTTCTCAGACCAAATAGACATGTTTCTATATTACAACAATGCTTGTTAAAATGAGCTAATTTTTCTATAAGTGCGAGGTACAACTCACCTTGTTATATCTTGCATATTGGTTGATGCACCTGCATACGAACACTGTAATAGATGAGGTGTAAAACCTATCATATCACTTCTACCAACATCGCAGATCAATTTCAAGGCTCTTTGAATGTAATAGACTACACTACGAACTCAAAGTCGTCCGAAAAAAATTTTGCAAAAAAAAAAAAAGTTTTTTTTTTTTCCACCGTAAAACTCACATTGAAACGCCAATTTCAAAGCCAACTTGTCCAAAATCACATCAGATATATTCCCAAAGCCAACAAATTTTATGGAGCAAATTGAATGATTCTATCGATTTTTGCTGATTTTATATCACACTTTTTGAGTTTTTCCTCGAAAAAATTAAAAAATTCAAACAATTCTCATTTGTTATAGCTAGTACTATTTGAATAGTAAACATTACAGTGTTGTTGTTCGTTTTCTTCTAGGGCGTCATTTGCCTCATGCAAGAACTTGGGTAAAGGTCTTCGTATTTCCTGTATATATATTCTTTGTGTGCAGGCATAAGAGTTGCAGGCGTGTCAAAAGCTGTGTTAGCTCTTAGAAAAACCTGTCGAACCAAAAAGACATGCTTACAGACTACAATGGTGCTGAGAACAATGAGCCGAACACTTTAGAAATCTCGAACTTGCAACCATCTCGCACGATGCACCTGCAAACTAACATCATCCCTAGCCGAGGTGTCTCGCTGTATTGTAATTGCTGCAAACACCGCAAGTCGCTACCAATGTCAATTAACTGGATTCTTAGAGTGATTTTGCAAATGAAAGAGCCACTCCATTAGATATTCCAAGTCGTCTAACCTAAGCTTCACTCGTCAACTGGATCGGGTAATTGAAACTCTATGGACATTCTAACCGGAAACTTTGAGTCCCACAGGTAATAAGATTTTTCTTTACTTCGACGTGGATCGTCATATGAGCTAACCCACAAACATCACGAAGACTGGTTATTGGATCTGACAACTTTTGTTTTATCGTGCCGGCCCAAGATCTAGTATCGTGTTGAAGCAACATTGTGGTGTACGGTTCGAATGGCGATGTTGCGTATCGTGGTTTTCTTGAACTGAGAGAGATCAACAATACTTTGCTTATAGTCAACCATCTCATGGCTTCATGTGTAGGACACAAACGCATAGTATACGTTAACGACTTTGATATCCTGTATACTGCCATGCAGTCCGGTACATGATTCCGGATTGGTAACAATTGTTACGTACCGCTTAATGCTTCGTGCTATTCTCCGACATACCACTATGAGTGAATGAAGATATCACCATCGTAATTTGTAAAATTTTAATAATAGTATATCAAAAGGAAAGAACTTTAGGGAAAAAAATCTGTTGAAAGCTTGAAAAATTTGAAAAAAAAACTTGAAATAATTTTAGACGAGCAATGTGGTCTATTATATACAGGAAATACTTCTGTTACCAATCCGGAGCGCAGGGTTTGCAACTTGATTTAGTCGTGACAAGCTAAGCAGAACACATTCAGCTCAATATATTCAGCACTGCCACCCTCACTCTAATGAAACGCCGTAGACAAGTAATTTCTTGAAGTTAACATACACGCCGAGGTAAGTATCTTCCTCACGAGGCTATCTTGAATTCGCGAATCAGTACAGTCTAAAGCGTACAGGCCATCATATTGTCCTTCCACCCCTTGCAAGGCGTCTTGAACATCGGATGCAACTGCAATGAGCCGTTATAGTATATCACGCTTAAGCATTAAACAAGGAAATAAACAGAGAAGCTCTTTAGCCTGATATCAATGTCTATGTCTATGTATCTATAAATATCCTCTAGGCCGTGAAGATTACTTGTCGTTTCGCCAATGGATCGTCCACTTCGCCCTCAGTACCACCTAAATCAAGCTCATCGTTGTTAAACATGGTAGCATCATCGTCAAAATTGCTCGCCAAGTCGACCTCGACCGAGTTCAGTTCATCGGCAAGCTCGTACTGCTCGAGCTCGTTAATATAGTCAGTGTCCAACTCGGGGCCGACAAACCCTTTTTTCCCATAAGCCAACCATCCGACCAGAGCGACAGCAACAAATGCTGCTACCACCAACGACGCCCAATTCATATTAACCGCGTTAAGCCCCCTTATCACCACGGGGAGACACAAAATTCCCACCAGGGCAAACACCCACAATACCGCCAAAAAGTTGACAATCCAGCCAAAGTAGCGTAACCGGAACCCCAGCCCTTTCACCTTTTTGCGTCCGTGTAACATACTGATGAAAATTGGAATACCGTTAGCCAATGCCAAGGACATCACCAGTGCCCCCAAAAATGCACTAAACGCCAGCGTCAGCACCAATGATAACAACAGCACGATGGCCGTAACCACCATCAGGAGGAAAAGAGCGTTTTTAGGCATCTTATACTCCTCGACGCTATCAACGGTGACAAACTTCTCTTTGTAGGGCAACGCGCCATCACGAGCGAGAGCGTATACCGTACGCGAGGCGGTAGTCAAGGCCCCAATCAGTTGGAAGATGACGGTCCCCACTAACAAAATGGCTAAAAGGGTCAGGATGATGTATGACTCGGTGGCAATGTGGAACACAAGATCGATGGGCATGATGTTGGGGTTCTTATCGAGTAATTGATCCATGGACGGGAGAACCGTTAAGATGGGGATGATGAAAATGAAACCCACCACCGTAGCCATCAAGATGGCACTAACAGCGCCTTTGGGCATATTCTTTTCCGGGTTCTTCACTTCGTCGGAAAGACTGAAAATCATACCGTAGCCACTCATGGTGAATGAACCTGCCTGGAGACCAACAATGAACGCCATGGCGTCGGGCCAGCCGCTGCGCGAGTTGTCGAATGCCGTCAAGATCTCCTTCGGCGAGTTGTGCGATCGCAGGTAGAACATGAGCATGAAGTCAATGGCGAGCACCGTGTAGATGGTCCAATAAATGCACGCCTTGTTGATCCGTTCGAGGTGGCGTGAGAACTTGTAAATGATGAAGCCGCTGAGGGCCAAGATGATGAAATAAACCAACAACGTAAGGAACACGTTACCGGCAAGGTCGAAGTTGTGCATCCCCAACACCGAGAGAATGAACTGGGAGCCGGCAAACATGATCAGCACGGCGTAGGTCCAGTTGCCAATGAGCAAAAGCCAACCGGTAAACCACAGACTGGCGCGCGAATGGCGGTCGCTCAGCAAGATCGCACTCATGTGGTAGACACCCCCGGCTGAAGGGTACTTCAGAATGATCTCTGAAAGACTGAGCACCACCATGGTCGAGAAGAACGACACTACTGCCCACCCGTAAAGTAACGTGACGTTGCCGCCACATATAAGCAGGATGCCGAGGGTCAGGGAGATGCCAAAGGGGACCCCCATCACCGTGAACCCCAACCCGATGACCAGGGTCACCGTGAGTTTCCGCTCGAGATCCTGTTGGTAGCGGAAGTGTTCCACGCGCTCCTCGGCGTCGTCATCCTCGAGAATGGTGGCGATGACTCGTCCGGCCGGGGTGTGAGAGAGCTGTACCGCTTCTTCTTGGAGACGATTTATAGCACTATGTGCCACCCGGCTCACCTGCTCGATGCCAGGGAGCCGAGCGTAGCCTTCGTCTGACATGTCAATGGAATCACTCCCCGTCCGTTAGGTCGCAGTAGCTAATATAACTCGCGGCAGGCGATAAGTCGTGTCGCAGCCCGAGTGCGGTGACAGGAGAGACAGACATGCTGACGATTGTGTGCAGGGGCTACCGACACTAAGAAGGGATAGCCAAGGTCCGAGATGTGAGCGATTTAGCCGACGAATTGGGTAATGAGAAGTTATTTAAGAGAGCAGCATTTGCTGTTGTCGCTATGAACTATGCTAGTGACATGGTTTGAGCAATACGGGGGAAATAGGAGGCGAAGCTGAGGGGTGTCATTAGCATCAGCGACTTGACAAGAAAAGCACCGTTACCCGATCTACTGATTTTTTTCGCGCACACTATATGGTGCCAGTGCTCGCGACCACACGTGCTCCATTAAGTGTGGCAACTGCTAGCTACCATACCCAAGAATCTTGTTCATGCCTAGAAATAGTCCTCTAAAATGTATTAGAATGTAGAATATGCATTAGTATAGTTGAATAGATACGGAGATTGGTGTAGTTTCAACGACAACGAGTCTAACTCCACACGTTCTTGAAGAGATCGTCGTCGAGACCGTTCAAGTTCACCGCTGGTTTCGCTGCCGGCGGGGTCAGCGACCATCCTCCCAGAGGCACGTCGGACCATTCGTTGTTCCATGACGGTTGGGGCTTCGGCTGGGGCTTCGGTTGAGGAGGCGCTTGAGGAGCCACCGACTGTTTGGGAGTTACCGACTGTTGGGGTTGCTGAGACGACGAGAAGCTCAAGCCGTTCAACGAGCTCGTTACCGAGTTGAGAGTGCTCAGCAGGTACGATTGGGGTTGTTGGTAGGGCGACTGGGGCTGCGCTGGAGGCGAGTAGGATTGTTGGACAAATGAAGACGACAGCGCCAGTGGCGACGAGTATAAAGATAAGATCAGCTTTTTAAGATCGGGTCTCGACCCCATCGAGCTACCAGTAGACTGAGGCCGCGGGGGCGTCGGGGTTTGCTGAACGGGGGCTTTGTGAGTGGACGCCGCTCTGTGAGGTTGAGGTTGAGCTGGTTGAGCCGGAGGCGTGGGTGCTGGCAGCAGGAAGAGGTCATCCAAAAGGTTTGCCGAGTTCAGTGCCTGCGATGGTGCCGCCGACTTTTGCGGGGCCGAGGCTCTGGACAGGGTCAGCGCCGAGGTCGGAGCAGGCGCCAGCGTCGCTGCCAGCGGGGTGGGGGTCTTCATGGTGAGAGGGTCAGGGATAGTCGTCAGCGCCGCCCATTTCTTCAAGTCGTACTTGGTTCTGATGTAGTTTTCGATCTTCAGCGCGTCGGGGACGTAGTTAGCCGGCAACTTCAGCTCCCAGAACGCGTTGCACTTGGCGTTGCCCCACTTGATCATGTTTTCTACCTGGTCGTCGGTCCAGGCGTCCAAGTCCACCAGCTTCACCTTGGAGATGTGGGTGCCCATGCCTCGGTGGATCCCCAGACACCGGATACACAAAAAGCACCCGAGGGACCACGAGGCCCAGCGTGGGTTTTTCAGCACCTTGCAGTCGGCACACTGCTTGTTGGGCTCCTCCCTAAGAAGCTGCCGGAATATCTGCTTGTGTTTCTCCGAGTGGGTCTTCTTGGAGGACGGTAACGCTGACATGGGGTACGGCGACGTGGTTTTTCGTTTCGCGTGAGGCCACATCGCCTTAGCCCGCCGAGGGATCGCGCTGGGATAAGCGATGTTGAGGGGTTTAATTTGATAGGGATGAAGAGAGAGGATGGTGTCGTATCAGAGTGGTCGGATCAGGGTTAGTTATTTCGAAATTTAGGGGTGGTTGTGGGAATGTAGAGTGATCTGGCGTGTTATGGTGAGGCGCCAGTCGAAACTTCGAGCACACGAGACGATGCCACGTGATGTACACGAACCATACCAAAAGTAACAACACAAATGTCTGGTTTAGGAAAAGTATACGTCAGCATGACCATGGGATATGAAGAGCAATTATCAAACCATTATATTCAAAATCTGAACCAGAATCCCTAATGTGTTCGCTCTACCATCCGTTACCTATGTTTTCTCTGTGATTGCCGTGTCGCGGCCGGCTGGCGGCTGCCTGCAGGATTCGCACCCCGAGCACGCTTTCGACGTTCGCCCCTCGTCGGTGGCCACGCCATAACTTTGGACATAGGGTGTTTAGATTGGTAGCCCAATAAAAGTACTTATCCTTCCTATAGTTAGAATAGCTAGATAGGTATTATGTCTGACGACGAGGCGATTTTCGATGATATCTAGTACGTTGACCTTTCCCGACCCTTCCGATGGCCCTGGCGATGACCTTGCAAGCAAAACTACTTACACCCAGACATCAATTGATTACAAAATGGACATACTAACAGTTTTAGTGCTGACGACGACAATGGTGACGATGCTGTTGAGACGAAGCCCGAAGAAACCTCGGCTTCTGCCGAACCGCTGACGGCAACCCCCGCTGCTACTACTGAGACCAACCCGACGGATTCAACCCCGGCGGCGCCTCTGAACGAACCGCTGGCCACTCCTCCCGTGACTGGTAACTCCACTCCGCCGATAGTCGACACGGCGGCGCCCTCAGCGTCGCCTGTTCCCCCGGCGTTTGGTGCTGGTGCCGTTGGGCAACCGCAACAGCAACAGTACGGTGACCAACTGCAACAACAATATCAACAACCCCAACAACCGCAACAACCACAACAACCCCAGCAGCCTAATTTTGGCGGCAACTTCAACCAGCTGCAGCAGTTCCTGCCGGCGCCTCAGTTCCACCAGCCGAGTAATATTGGCCGTGATACTGGTAAAATGTTTATTGGGGGGCTTAACTGGGATACTACGGAGGAAGGGCTCAAAGCCTACTTCAGTAAGTTCGGTGAGGTGGTCGACCACACGATTATGCGGGACAATAACACCGGCAAGTCGCGGGGTTTTGGTTTCTTGACGTTTGCCGACCCCAAGCTGGTGGAAGACGTGATCAAGCAGGACCACATTTTGGACGGCAAGCTTATTGACCCCAAGCGGGCGATTGCCAAAGACGAGCAGGACCGGATTGGTAAGATTTTCGTCGGGGGGATCGACCCCATGGTCAACGAGGAGGAGTTCCACCAGTTCTTCTCTCAGTTTGGCCTGATCATCGACGCCCAATTGATGGTAGACAAAGATACTGGCCGGCTGAGAGGGTTTGGGTTTATCACCTACGACTCTCCCGACGCCGTCGATCGAGTTACGGTAAATAAGTATTTGACGCTTAAAGGGAAGCTGATGGAAGTGAAGCGCGCCGAACCTCGGGGCGGCCACGGCCACACTCCCTACCACCAGCAGCAGCAACAGCAGCAGCAACAGTACAACCAAGGGTTCGCCATCAACGGGATGCAATTCCCCGGCATGGGGGCGTACCCCCAAGGTGTCAGTCCCGAAATGATGCAGGAGTACTGGCAACGTATGCAGCAATGGTATATGTACCAACAACAACAAGCGGCGGCTGGCGGCGACGGGCAAACCGGCGACGCGCAAGAACAGCCGCTTAACCCTCAACAACAAGAAGAGGGGCACCAAGGTCAAGCACCTAGTGCCTCCGCGTACTCTGATCAGCAAGGTAACAATGATTCAAGTGATTCTGGCCGCAATAACAACGCCCAGCAGTCTCGTGGCGGTTTCGGCAACGACCGCTACGGCGGTGCCCGTGGTGCTCGTCGTGACCCTCCTCGTGACTACCAGCTGGGCTCGCGTGACCGGGACCGTGACCGGGGTGGTCCTCCTAAGGGGCCTCGTTCCGGGAGACCTCTGGGCCCCCGTGGTGGCCGCAGCCGCAGCCGTCGGTCTGGCGGTGGTGGCGGTGGCGGTGACCGTGACCGCGACCGTCGTGGGTACCACCCTTACCGAAAGTAGGAGACGAGTTACGTTTGTGTGATTTGCGAGAAATAAACGTCGATTAAGCAGAATTGTAGACAAATTGATGCAACCACTATGCCTCACATTTGGCAGCGGTACCTCACTGGACTCGGGAGGAATCGCTTTGGGAGATATTTTTTTGCGAGGCAATATTCGCAATTCAGGTACGGATCTGACCTGGCCTCGAGGCTTATCTAGATTTACGTGGTGCGGTAGTCTTTTATTTAGCTCAGTGAATAATCGTTGGAAATGATTGTGGTCATGGGGAAAGAGTTGGAAATGTGGAGGAGTAAACGAGGTGCTGGTCGCAATAGAGTACAGAGCCAAGACATCCCTAGTTACCGTTCGATGGGGGCCAAGGCGGTACTGGCCTCGCCTCACTTTCCAAAAATGAAAAATTGAGGCGAGTAAATTTAGGTTCGATGGCACTCTAAGCCGGTTATAACGGCATAGTGTGGCACGAGAAATAAACAGTAGACACTAAACCAAAAAGCCAAGGTTAACTGCCACCACAAAGTTGGGACAAATGTATTTGATGAATGAGGATTTGCAACATCTCAAAAAGTACGTAATTAAGGCCTAGTGAAGCCTAACGAGAACCCTGGTATAGTCAACGGATTGACTACATTCTTACATCTCACACCCCGTGGTGGCTCGGGATAATCATGGTGTCGTCGTCGCTTCCGATTAGTGCATGAGATAAACAAATCGCGGTGTGGCGGTTTGTTTTTGTGGCGTCTTTGACAACCGCGCTAAATGTAGGGGCACCATGCACGGTTGACACGGCGAGATAAACGATAATGCCTCAGGGCCCTTAGACAAGCCTCTCCAGATCAGATTCACCGATTCAAGTCGCCAAAGCAATAAAGGTGCCACCAGGTGTCAGACATGTCTACCGGTTCCCCCACCTTTTGCCCCAGCGGTGTACCGCCCTCAGAAACTAATAAACGGGCCATGATCCAGCTAATGCAGTCGGATACCACCTCGAGGCGACCCTCACGAGCTCGGCTGCATTAAGCTTATACCAGACCTGTTTTCAGCAGTGGAGAATCTGTTTTCAGCTCCCTAGGGATCACCAGGGGTAATTGAAACTCACCAGGAAATTGGTATAAATACACCACCATATTTCCTGAGTTTGTTCTTCACTTCACTACTCACTCGTTTAACAATGCAATTCAAGACTGTCGCTGTTCTCACTGTTGCCTCTTTGGCTATCGCTGCCCCCTCGGCTGTTGCTGATGACGCCGCCAACGGCGCCGTTTACGGCGGCCAAGGTGGTGTCCAAGGTGGTGCCCAAGGCCAAGGTGGTGTCCAAGGTGGCGTCCAAGGTGGCTCTCAAGGCGGCTCTGGCACCACCGTTGTGCAAGAAGAACAAGGTGGCCAACAACAAGGTCCCGCTCTCAACAACCCCTTGGGTCCCGCTGGTGCTATTGCCGCTGCCATCTGGGGTTGCTTCACCGGTTGGTTGGGCACCGCTTAAGCGGTCTTTGGTCCCTAATCCCTTGGGATTTGAATTACCCCTTCGACTTGTTGTCTGGAGGAGGCTTTTGTGTTGATCTATAAAAAAATATAAAATCCGGCCAAAAAGGTGTAGATGTGAAACTGGTATCAGGAAGTTAACTCGAAACTATCACCTAATAAAAGATTGACTCGATCTGTTCATCCTATGATCGACAGATCGTATTTTCGAAATTTCGCTCGTTTTAGTTCATACCGATGATGTAGATACGTCCCTTCTGATTACGATTGCCTTCCAAAAATCACTAAATACTATAGGTTACTTACCCCTCTTTGAATCAGCAAAAGAGTGAGTCACTTGTATGTCATGCCATAAAAAGTGTTTTGCACCCGATCTTCACTTCCTGCACTTTCCCGCTATCTGCGACTCATCGATCGCGTATTCTCCACAAGTGAGTTGAGTCATCATGCGATTCATCAGAACTCTATCCAAGGCCGCTCGGTTCGTTCCCGAGCTGGGCACTTACCCTAAGGGGTTTGCTGTTGGCGGTATCCACTGTGGGGTTAAGAAAGATGGCAAATCGCTCGATCTTGCCATGCTTCATAACACTCACTCTAAGGATGGGGTCGCGGCAGCAGTGTTCACCAAGAACAAGTTCAAGGCGGCTCCTGTGCAAGTGCTGAGACGGATCGTTGACGAAAAGCACAACCAACACATCAACTCGATCATCGTCAACTCTGGTAACGCCAACGCCGTCACCGGGGCCCAGGGGATGAAGGACGCTGAAGATATGGTCAAGGTGACCGATGCCATCTTCGAAGACGGACCCAACCTGACGCTCGTGATGTCTACGGGTGTGATTGGCCAAAACTTGCCGATCGATAACATTTTGTCGGGTATTCCTCGTTTGGGTTTGGAGAACTTGGGCAGTGACCATGCTCACTGGCTCAACTGTGCCACCGCCTTATGCACCACTGATACCTTCCCCAAGCTCGTGTCCAAGCAATTCGAAGTGGATGGCACTACCTACACCTTGGCTGGTTTGTGTAAAGGTGCCGGGATGATCTGTCCCAATATGGCCACTCTCCTTGGGTTTTTCGTCACCGATGCTCCCGTCTCGCCCGCTGCGCTTAAGCAAATCCTTACTTACTCGGTGGACAGACTGTTCAACGCGATCTCGGTCGATGGTGACATGTCCACCAATGATACCATCGTTGCCATTGCTAATGGTGCCGCTGGTGGTGCGGTCATTGATGTGGGTACTCCTGCTTTTGAAACTCTTCAACAATCGATCACCGAATTCGCTCAACAATTAGCTCAGCTTGTGGTCCGTGACGGTGAAGGTGCTACCAAGTTCATTGAATTGAGAGTGAACAACGCCTCGTCGTTCGAAGACGCTCACAAGATTGCCAACTCCATTGCCAACTCGGCGTTGTTCAAGACGGCGATGTACGGTAAGGATGCTAACTGGGGGCGTATCCTCTGTGCCATTGGCTACGCCGATGTCGGTTCTGACGCTGTGGTCCCCACTACCACTAACGTGTCGTTTATCCCCGCCGATGGCTCGGAACCGTTGAAGCTCTTGGTGAACGGTGAACCCGAATTGGTCGACGAAGACCGTGCATCGGAAATCCTCGCCCACGAAGACTTGATCATTGATATTGATCTTGGTACCGGTGACAGCAGCACTAAGTTCTGGACCTGCGACTTTTCTCATGAGTACGTCACCATTAACGGGGACTACCGGTCTTAAAAAGCATTACTATATTGACAGATTGAAAATTATGACGCGTCCTTAGTATAGATAATAGAGCATACACAAGTGTAATTAGATGAGTTTATTGAGGTGGTCATAACAATAAATCGTAAACTCGATTATCGTTAATGACACCATGGTTTGGCCTATTGTAGGCTCTGCGAGAGGGCTTCAGAAAGTGCTCTTTGCCTCACTTGGCTCATGCGGGGGCGGTGGAATATCAGAGACTCGCCGTGGTTGATCAATGCCCCTCGTTCACCGATGATAAGCAGAGACCGCGCCCCCGGTATAGCTCCAGGAATACGAATAGGTCGCCGCTTTTCACTCAACGGGTTTACCGGTTTTATTGGTCCGTGACGGGGCTGACTCTGTATCTGGCGTAGACGATCAGGTGGTGGTGATGGTTGAGCCTGTTTCTCCTTTGACCGTCGCATAAGCTCTAAAAAGCTATTAGTCAAGTCATCAGCAGGATTCAGGCGAGGAGGGTTTTGGGAAGAAGGAGGGGGAGACCGTCGTTTGCGCTTAGTCGGCAGCGATGACGGTGACGCCAGTAACGAGTTCCAGAAGTTGGAAATCAGCAGCGAAATATGCAGAGGAGACAACACCGGACGCGGTCCTGCCATGGCCACCGGAGCCAGTCGCCCCACCGACGTTGTCACCACCGCCAGCAGTCGTTTGGGAGCTGGTTGTCGATTGATCATGCTGGAAAGTAATTGCTTGGAGCTGCCAAACCCATTAGTGTTACCACTGAACGAAGCACATACTGCCGAAGGCTCGACGATGGGAGCAGTGTTACACATGATAGTAGGCGTATGGTACACCAGTGCTGACACGGTGACGGTGCGCTTGTCGAGGAACAGATCGTGCAGGCTGGTCTTCGTGGGGAGTTCAGGAGCGACGTCGTTGATATCCACTCGCAGCTTGCGGAGATACTCGTCGAGATTAGTGAGCGACGACGCTGACGTTGGGGCCTGCCCAAAGGTATCGTCGGAAGAGATGGATTCGATGTCACTATCGTCGTAAGCAGTGAATTGGGGTTCACGGTTAAGTCCCCCGGGTGACGATTGCGGCATGTCTGGGAGAGCATTGCAGCTGATGAAATGGGCTAAACGGCGCTGGAATTCCCGCTGAGTTGTCGGAGGCTCTTGTTCGTAATGGTCGTCAGTTAAATAGGGTTGGTCAAACAGGATATCGGGTAGCGAAGCTGACTTATGTAGCAGTATTTTACCACCACCTCTTATCGTTCGTTTAAACATCGGCGAGGTGTCCTGTACCACACCATAAACAATGCCATCATCTTCTTCAATGTTGTCTTCAATGTCGTCTTCATCTTCCTCTCCTTCTTCTTTATCGGGAGCGGGAAACTCATTTTGGGTAATATCGGGAGTTTGGAGATCGTCCAAATCCGGGTTAGGTTTAAACTGTGCCATGTTATCGATGACAGGGGTAGTGACGTCCAGCGGTACTGCAAAAGGGTTGAGCGTATAGATACTCAGAAGCCGGTATTTGCTCTTCTTTTTGTTCACCTTAGTGTTGTGACATTTGATCGGCTTAAGCTTTAAATTCAGCATCGAGAGCTTCGCCGACACCACGTTGATATCTTCGGCCAGCGAGTCGTGGAGGGTGTGACTGCTTGAGTCGTCCACGTACTGGTCTGTCTGCTTTGTCTGCTGATTTAGTAGCGGCGAATCAAGCTCACTAAGTTGGTATATCAGCCGTTGGTTGGTAGCAGTGGCGGTGGCATCGTAGGCATCGTTTCGTGCAAGCCCTTTGACCACGTACTGGAACTCTGTAGTCAAATGCTCAAACGTGGTGTGATTGGTGAACCCATCGTTGGACGCGAGGTTAGCTTCTAAAAGGTAACATTTCTCGTAGAGCTGGTTGAGCTGGTGGATACTGGTGACATTATCGAGTAATACATCCCTTATATCGTCGATGTCGTGGTCGTAGTCGGCGATGCTGTCGTGGTACATCTGTATTCGAGCCATCACCAGCGCCGCCAGGTCCATAGTGTCGAGGATCTGGGAGGAGCGGGTGTTGATGGCATCGACGTAGTCCATGATGCGATCTAGCTGGGTCATGATTATATTGACCAGAGGCTAGCGCCGGTTGGAGTTTGGGGAGATGTCGGGAAAGGGGTGGTTATGGAGGCCTGGGGGGCTAACCTGGAATCGGCTTCACGTTTGATGGCGTCCGGTGTGCATATTAGAGATCAGGTGCGAGTCAGCGTGGACTAAGCCAAAAACGATCGAGAGTGGGAGAAGGGAAAACAAACAATACGAGAACAATCGCCGATGCGTGGAGACATCGGTGCGACAAACGATAATGACTTGCAGCCCCAGTGGGTAGCCCTGGCACACCATGTAGGTTCCATTTGGGGTTTAATATGTTGAGGTAGAGATAGAGGCCATTGGTGTTGTGGGGGCTAAAGGGGGGGACGAGTCCGATGCCTATATTAACGAGCAGGCATCGTCGAGGGAAAGTGCATGGTGCAGGATGTCGCATGTGCCTATAGTCGCAGTTGATTCGCTCCGCACCAGGCCACAAAGCACCATATTTTCAGCCGTTACCGTGGTGTGGCCCCGACATTGTTTGTGTTGTCTCCACAACCGATGCGGCAGGGTTTTACGGATAGTCAAGCCACAAACAAAACCAGATAAGTGATAGATAAAAGATATCTGGTAGTGGGATGATTTGATGATGTATTGACGTGATGTATTGAGTTGACGTAAACGTATATAGTGTGACGAGCGAGGCTAGTCCTCCTCGGGAGCGATAAACTCCTTGGCGCGCTCCTGGCGTCTCTGTTCCAGCACCTCTTGCTGCTTGGACCGCTTGTCGCGGAGCTCGGCGAGCTTCTTTTCGCGGGCGCCCAAAAAGTACTCCCCCAGCTCCATCTGGAGATCGACCTTTCTCGGCTGTTGCTGGGGCGGGAACGGGGTGTACACCTTCTTCTCCTTCTTGGCGGCGGTCTGGACCTTTTTGCGGGCGACGTTTCTCTTCTTAAACGACGGCAAGAACCGCAGCCAGTCCTCGGTGGCCAACTCGGGCTTCTTGGCGAGCTCTCGCTTGATCATGAGCTCCTTGATGTAGTAGATGGGGTGGATGTTCATCATACAGTCCTCGACGACGCGTCTCACCTCCTTAAGGCCCTTGAACGGACCCATGGCACTGACGGTGTTACCCTGTACCAAGATATAGCACCCGGTCAAAAGCTCAAGCGCTTTAAGTGTGTTACCGTTGGGACCAACTAACCGCTGGCGCCGTTTAACAAACCGGTCCTTGTTGTGGACGATGTTACCGATCTTGATCACGTCACAGGCGATGTCATCTCTGAGGATCTTAACTGCTTGCGGGAATGGCACCGAACGGGCCAATAACTTAATCAAATCACGGGCTTTGATGATCATCGCCGGGTCAAACGTTTTGGGAGTGGTCTTCACCGTCATCGACCCTTCGACAAGGTTTAATTCACACTTGATGTGGTGGGAGTCGAGCGCCCTGGTGACATCGGCCCACACCAGTCGAAGATATTCTTCTCTGTACTTGGGGAAAAGGGTGACGAAATTCAGCTCTTCGGCAAACGAGAGCCCCAGGGCGTTGTGTTCGGGCTTGAACTCTTCAAGAGCCCATTTGTCGATATCGGGGGTGTCCCAGGGCTTGTCCTTATCGTGGGTGGAAGGCATGATGAGATGCGATGAGGGGGGTGCGGCACCCTATATCAGCGGGGATAACCGTCATGTAAATACGACATAATACAGAATTTGTTAGATTTGATAGCCTCATCCTACTCTTATGGTTTGAATATATATATAGAGTCTGTTAGATTAAAAAGCCTCCTTCCTTAGCTCATTTATCGATCCTTGCTTCCTCCTTAGATAATTGATAGCGTGCGAACCGCATCTCTACCAATATGACCCTGAAGCTGACCCTGAATGCCCTGAGGAAAGGCGGCAAGGCTAAGGTTGGCAAGGCCAAGACCACCAAGAAGGTATCCAAACATAATGCCAAGGCAGCGAAGCATCGGGTGGAAAAGCTCAGCGCCGACATAACCGATGTCGATGAGATCCACCAGCTTTTAGGGGAAGCGTTACGCCAGAAGGAGCCGCCCCGGCTGACGGCTCTCAATATCAAGGAGCTTAAAGAGGACTACGAAAAGGATGTTGCCACTAAGGAGAAGAATAAGGCCGCTGCCAAGGATCTCGAGGACCAGTTGGAGCTCATCACCAAAATGGGATTCTGATTAGTACAAAGTGGAGTTTTATGAAGACATTACCCAACTTCGGATACTCACTACAGAGAAACCACGTTTCAGTGGTAGTATACAGGCTGTCTACATGTCATGAGGATTCGTTTCAGGTGCTATATCAGTATGCTACCTAGATAACAGATGCCTGGATCGGGTCTCCAGGCACCCCCAAAATCACAATCTGGTCCACCAGAGTGACCGTATCTTCATCATCCCCATCAATAAATATACAAAGCAGCAGCACTTTCTGGAAACGCACGTACTTAAGCTTAAGCTCAGCCCATTCACCATCAAACGTGATCAGCTGGACATCGGCAGGATTTTTATCGGCGTCAGCCTCTTCAAACAGGAGCGATTGAGGCAAACTAGGCCACAATTTGATAGTAGACGGTTGCTGGGCGGTTTCGCCATCATCCTCATCGATAACCACCCCTGAACGAGCCTTGATGAATACCGAGTGCACCTTGACCATATTCTTGAGGGGGAAAAAGAACATGAGCTGAGAGTCCGCATCCAGCCACACGCCTTCACCTCCAACGTCAATCTTGAATACTTGCGACCCGTCTCCCTGGACATTGAACTGTTCAAACTTTTGGAAGTCAATGGAATGATTGAGCACTTTAAACCCTTGTTCAAGGGCATTAGGACGACGTTCAAGCGCCTCCCCCAGCTGGTCGATATCGGTTTGGAGCTGGTCGATCATATCGAAGACTTCATGGTAATTGTCGGCACCGGTAAGTTTCGTCCCTTGTTTGCCAAGTTCGTAGAACAAATAAGTAGGGACATTGAGTTCCCCCTCGGCATTCCCCGCTTGGGCCAATTGCTTGAGTTCAGTGGCGGTTTCAAGATTGACCCGGATAATCTTCACATCGGGGTAGTCTCCCAGGTTGGCGAGCTCTTCGACTTTGGGAGTGATCCGCTTGAGTTCTGTATAATCATTGGAATAGCAGTAAACAAACACGTATTTGTTTTCAGCAAGGATAGAGTCAAACTCCTCACGGGTTTCCACGTCAAGAGGCGCCATGGTGAGTGAGGGGGAGATAACCCTCGCACTACGACTTGAATAATGGCGAGATAAAACCGATGTTTCAATTGCCATCAAATGGCAGTCTATTTGACTAAAGCTGAGACGACGATTCTTTTAGTTCAAAAAAATCTACAGGTTGATAAGTAGGTTTTTTAGTTAGGGATGCCACATGATATTGCCACGTCACCGTTGTTTTGTGAGTATATAAGACATATTTCTTGAACTGTAAACTTGTAATTCAAAAAGATTCAAATGTGAGCATTTGTGTTCGATCATAGCGACAGTGTCAGTGAACTTTTAAGGGCTGGAGCGATTAGCTGCGAGACTTGTCGTAAATATTTGAGAGAGCTTTGTCACATCACATATTTGAGTCATCCAGTAGTAGGATTTATACCCTCAAGCTTCTTAAAGTAAGCGAGAGTCAAGTCGTGATAGCAACCAATTTACCTCCACCTTATCTCATTAAAATGTGCACAAAGTATGGGTACGCCTACTACCAAGACATCGAAGAGATAAACAACAATGAAATTGAATAAAATGAACAGAGCCATTGGAATCATTACTTTCCGAATCGATTACTTTTGATTATGAATGTTGAGTTCGGAGGTTAATGGGTGAGGCTATACTACATGGTGGTAGGTGGCTGCACGAACCAGAGGCCCACCGCCCGAGAATGTACATGAGAATGTCTCATGCCGTGCAGCAGTGTCTATACACGACAATGGACTACATAATTGTCTAGACAGTCATCGGCAGTAAATCTAGCCTCATGTTTTCTCTCAGCCTCGCCGTTGTCAAGTGCCCACCACTACCTAGCAACGGTTTATTTACGTTGGCAACCGCGTCGCGTCACCGTAGAACTAACCTAAAAAACGGGGTAGGTTTCTCTCATTTCCCTTTCCAGCACAATAGATGACGCGTAAAACTTTTCGGTCCGGTCGTGCCAGGGCCTGCGTCGGTCACCGTGGTTCCCAACCCGAGGTCTCGTTCGTCTTGGCCCGATCCAGCCCCAATTAATTATCCTAATCCGTCGCGGTAGGGGTTAATGTGTCTACGCGTCTAGGGGGGGCGCTTTTGCCCTGCCTGCAGGAAAACAACACGCGAGAAAAAAACTTACCTTTAACCGTGTACCACTCCGATCAGTTCTACCGACCCGACGCCATGCTGACCCACCTGAGACAGCCGTCGCTCGCCCTGATAATGCTGGGGCACAACCACCCCCAGAAGATTGGGCCGTGGCGCTTGGGCAAGACGTTGGGCCGCGGCGCCACCGGCAGAGTCCTCCTCGCCACCCATGACCAAACAGGCCAGCGCGCCGCCGTCAAGGTGGTGCTGAAACTGGAGTTGAACGACGACTACCCTGACGGCGATGCTGGCGGCCTTCCTTACGGCATTGAGCGGGAAATCATCATCATGAAATTGCTCACTCATCCCAACGTGTTACAGCTTTACGACGTGTGGGAAACATCAAAAGCATTATACTTAGTGTTGGAATACGTCGAAGGCGGCGAGCTTTTCGACTTGTTGGTGGAGCGTGGCCCTTTACACGAACAAGAAGCGATCAAATACTTCCGCCAGATCATCTTGGGGACCGCTTACTGCCACGCTTTGGGCATCTGCCATCGCGACTTGAAACCTGAAAACTTATTATTGGACGCTGATCTCAACGTCAAACTCGCCGACTTTGGCATGGCTGCGCTAGAATCTAACGGCAAGTTGTTAGAGACGCTGTGTGGGCTGCCTCATTATGCCGCTCCCGAAATTGTGCTGGGGCTCAAATACCATGGGGCCGCCCTGGACGTGTGGCTGTGTGGGGTGATTCTCTTCGCCCTTCTTTCCGGCAGACTTCCGTTTGACGACGAAAACATCCGTAACCTTTTGCTCAAGGTGCAAGCCGGCCATTTCGAAATGCCCTACGATCTTTCGCCCGAAGCCCAGGACTTGATTGATCAAATGTTGACGGTGGACCCCATCGACCGTATCACCACTGAAAAAGTACTCCTGCACCCCTTGCTCCACAAATACCCCATCTCGCTGGAGGACTTGATTAGTGTCAAGCTGTTGCCGCATCCCGAAACCGCCTACAAGCTGTTGGGCCTGGAGAAGAACATTGACCGCCAAATCTTAGACAATTTGATGATTCTCTGGAAGGATCGCAGCGCCGACGACATTGTGCGTCTGTTATTGGAGCCCGGCGCCAATCCCGAAAAGACCTTTTACGCTTTATTGTTGCGCTACCGTCATAACAACTCGGACCTGAACCACCTGCTGCCACGCAAACTGCGCCAGCTTTCGCTGCTGGGCCTGTGGCTGCTGAAACTGACCCCGAAAAAGAAGCGGGCATCGCAAATCGCTGTTCTGCGGCCCCTGCTGTTCCAATACTTGGGGCTGGTAGTTCAGACTAGCGACCGCATGCTGAGGACATCGCTTGGCACCCACCGCAACTCATTAGGCGGCGGGCTCTCGGTGGCAGGTGGTCGTACCGACAATAGCATTCTGCCGATTAAGCTGCCGCGCGCGCTGCCGACAAAGAGAAGACTGCCGAAGAAGGACACCAAGACGCAAAGATCGCTGGTGGGCGTGCCGCGCAACATCTACCAGGAGATTGTCGATGCTCAGACGATTGCCAAAGATACCCAGCCGTCGTTGCCTCACACTCAAACCGTTTCTTACGGCGGCCACCAGATCCTGGGTCATCCTCTGCCGATCAAGGAACTGGACTCACCTCAGATCAAAGCTCATAAGATCGCTCATGAACAGGCGGCCGGTATTGCTGCTGCCGCCGGAATCGGTCTGGCGGTGGTCAAACAAGATGCTACCATGGGTCTGTTTGATGATAGCCTGGTCCTTGCCAACCTGACCACGGCTCCCGCCCCCGGTGAGGGTCCCCGCGACGGTCCTCCCGTGGTTGACGAAGTCACTCGCGACTTGCTTGCTCTGGCCCACATTCGCTCGCTGAAGCTGATTGAATCTTTACTTAGAACCGGTCAAACCGGCAAGATTTCGAAGCTGAGCAGCCGCAACCGGATGCTGGTGGCTCTGAAGCGGCGCCTGGCAGCTAGCGCTCCCCCGGTGACTGCGAACCCCGGTGGGTTGAAGCGTAACCTGATCACAATGAAGTTGCTTCTGACTTACGCCAAATTGGCGGGGGAAACCGACTGGGAATATATGGATAAGCTGACCAAGCGCACGCTGGCAACCTTTGCTCAATTGTGTGATAAGATTTTCAACCAAGAGGAAGTTACTGCTGATGAAGAACAGCTTTTGGACGAAGAGGAACGCCGGGCTCGTGAGTATGAACGGTTAATGGAACAGGAGCGCAAGAAGCGTGAAGCCGAACTTATCGCTAGACGTGAATTGGAGAAGCACAAGAAGAGACAGAAGCGGCGCTCGCTTATGTCGCTGAAGAAGCTTTCCATCATCGTCAAAGAAGACAGTCAAGACTACGACACCAACAACGACTCGCTGATCATCTCTCCTGAGGAAATTGCTCAATTGAAGCACGCTCGTTTTGGTGGCCAAGGCTCCGCTGATCTGTCTCGTCGGGCTACTCCCGACCTTCTGCGTCGCCCCGTGCTGCGATTGGACCCCTTGTGGACTGCCTACGATAACAATAAGCTTGAGCGGGCTAAGGACGCTCTTGACCACGAGTTGATCAACGGCAAGCGGCCTAAGCTGTACGCTGGTCGTCGCAAGCCTACGCCTCGTATCCATGAAGATGAGCAGCGGTACTCACTGGCGCTGGACCGTAGGGGAAGCGACCGCTACCGCAACCCTCTGACTCGCTACGACGGCCATGACTATGAACCTGTCGAAAAGCGCGACCGCAGAGTGCTGTTAGGCGAACAACGCGATCGGAGAGTGCTGTCAGGCGAACAGCGCGATAGAAGGGTACTGTCAGGCGAACACCGTGACAGAAGGGTCCTGTCTGGTGAACGCGAGCGTCGTTCGAGTAAGCGCGAATCTCAATACGATGACTACGACCGCTACACTCAGCGCGACAGTTACGGCGAGTTTGAAGACGAGCTTGATGAAGAGGAAGACCGCTACTACGGACGCAGACGTAGCGAAGGACGGGCATCGCGTCGTGAATCTCGCGACCCGGGCTACGACCCTCGCAGGGGTTCTCACTACTACCCTGACGATTACGACGTCCGTCGTGGTCAATACCCTGTGTCCGGCCCCCCTCCACTTGCTGATGATGCCAGCGGCAATCTTGAAATCATTGAGGATCTGGACGATACCTGCGACCAAACCACCGAAATCCACCCGCAGCGTCAACGCCAATCGGTGGTTGCTGCCCGTAAAGCCACCCGCGAGGCGATTGAGGGCTCTGAGGAATATCCCGCTACTGGAGTTAATGGCTTCAAAAGTGCTGGTATCCACGACCGCCCCACCCTTATTGCAAGTGTCCATATTCCCAAGGTAACGAGAAAGCTGCGAGGTTTCTCGGGCTCAACTAAGCGCTTGCTGGTGTTGCTGCAGTACCTGACTAAGGAGCTGTTCCGTGATCTCAGTCTGATTCTCAAGGACGAGGACGCTCCTGCCACCAATCACCGCAACTCATTGACTTCGGGCTTGGCTCTGGCCACCGCCCCGAGAGCACTGTATGCTGAACGCTTTGAGGAAGCAGAAGAAGATTCGGTTGAAAACGGCGAGTACCGCGAACTGGTGTACCGTGAACTGCATTACTACAATGGTGACACACAGGGTCGTAGTGCACTGTACTACGATAGTCTTGAGTTCCGTGAACAGGCCTACAGCCACCCTGAACGAGGACTGGTGTATCTGACGGCGCTGAGAGTGTCGCGCAAGTACCGCGACCCTCGCTACCAACTGGTGGGCCCCCGTCCCAAGTCGCAGCTTCCCAACTTGCCCGATGACAGTAATGAAGACAACGATGGTCTTGACGATCTTACATTTAACCAGCCCAGCATCGATGCCGAAGAGATCAATGGTGACGAAGTACCTCTCGGGCACAAAGGCTCATTACTTGATGCGCCCGAACGTAAGCGCAGACCATTGGATGTTGACGAGGATGACCAAGATGATGGCTTCGATTTTGTCACTGACGACAGCTTGAATAGACCAAGCCGTGTGGATGCGGGTGAAGAGGCTACCGATACTCAGGAAGTCACTGAAATGCCCTCAGTGGCACTGGACATCATTAATGCTGACGCCACTGCTACCACATCGGTGGATGACACTGATGAGTACACTTTTGCTACTCATAAGCACCCTCGCGGTCCTCAGCCTCCCAACTTTGACAATGTCACTGAGGAAGAAGACACCAACGTGTTTGACCACATCAAGTTGCCGAAGAATAATGGTAATGGCACCATCAAGGTCCCTGCCGCTGAGTCCTCGAAGGCTGCCTCCAATGCATCCACCGCCACCACCGCTGCTCCCAAGCCCCGCGGAGTTAATGATTCTACCATGGGCCCAGGACGCACCGGTCGTCGTCTCAAGCCATTGGTGATTGCTCCCAAGAGCGATGCCGCTGCTCAGTCGCCGTCGAAGCAGAAGGTGATGGGGTCAAATGAGAATCCTTCACCTAATGTCAATGGTAGTATCAATGGTAATGCTAATGGCAACGTCAATGGCAATGCTCAACAAAAGAATGAGCAACCAGGTATGTCCAATGGCACTCTGGGCTTGCCCAAGGTTCGTAAGCAACTGTTGCTTCTGCCAGTGGTTCCCCCTAAGATGGGTGCTGTTGCTAATGGTCAAGCTTCTCCTGCCACCACAATGGTTCCTAGTCCGGCTCTAACCGGTAAAACTGCCGTTGACAAAGTAGAGGAACACGTCACCAAGCCTCTTCAGGATTCTACCAACCGTGTTCGCCCCACCGCGAATGACGGGCAACAGCAACAGCCGCCTGTTAATGAAGAACGCCGATCGGGATCGCTGTTCTTCCGCAAGTTGTCGTGGGGCACTCGCAAGGTTACTGAGGAAACTCAACAGGCCAGTCGCAATACTACTCCTGGTTTGAGTCTGCGCAAACCCGTCGTGGAAGAAGACATGCCCAAGAAGCTGTTTTTCCGGTGGTTCTCGCTGGACCAACACGATCCTGACGATATTCGTCGCTTCGAAACCATCCTTCCACGTCCAGAGATGCTGGCCGCGCTCATGCTGTTGTTGACTCAATGGCTGAACTTTGGTGTAAAGGACTTGCGCGAAGATAGAGTGGGTCTTACTATTACTGGGGGTGTTTCACGACTGAACCAGTTCAATTTGAAGAGTTGCAAGTTTCGGATCAAGGTCAGTCCCCGGGGAGATGGTCAAAAGTCGCTGATTGTGTGTGCTCGTGTCAAGGGGCTGAAGACGCTGTGCGACACATTGTTTAATGAGATTGAAAAGGTGTTACGAAAGGAAAAAGTGTTAGACGAAGGCTTAGCCTAATTAAATAAACGAGTAATATGATGCATCAAATTGTAGACAATTGTAAGTCAGAATCGTCATGGTACGAGGAATACAGCGGTGGGTGGAACAACAACACTGAAACGGTGAGAATCAGCCTAAACGATAGAATCAAGACCTATAGTATATACGGTGGCAATACTGCCTTGTGCCAATCTGTCTACAATGATTTGATGGTTAACGCATTGATGTTTACTGTAAAAATCGTAATGGAGTTGCTTAGAGTGAGTTAAGGCATTCTCCATACGCAAAACATCAGTTCAGACATCACCATTCGAACCCGCGACGATCATGCTTATCTGCCAAGACAAAACAGATCACTAAAGTCTTCTTTCAACATTCTGAATTCCACCGAGAAAGAGAGAGAGAGATAATGACGATTTCCATCGCCAGTTATTATGCTTCCAACAAGAGTTATAACAATAAAAAAACAGAGAGAGATCCGCAAAATGCACACTTGATAATACCCGTCTATTCGTCACATCTTTTCGAGCCAACCCAAAATTTGGACAATATTAGATCGCAAAGAAAGTCGAGGATGAAGGGGTGAAAAAAAATAAACCCCATAATATGGTTGCACTTTAAACAGCGAGTGTAGCTCCAAGAACACGGTAACATTATGTTTCTAGTCGCTAGCTGCACATGCTGCTTAAAGCGGTGTTCACTCATTGTAGGAGAGCTGGTACAAGGAGCGAGAAATACTTATCATAGCAGGTACACTATAAAGAAGCGAAAGCACCGTTGGGGCCGACAGTTCAACGAGATTGGCTCAAGAACGCTTCGACAAAATTTCCAGGACTGTAACATATCCAAGTTCGTTTTGGGACTCTATAGTCTGTGACCCGTATGCAATGCCAGGCCTGTTCATAATGCTCGTCAACACTGAAACCAGTAAGACACACAAAACCTGGCTCAATTTTGATGGAGATAGAACAAGCAAGGTCAACAACTCCTTTCTGGCCACGTAATACTGATAAACGTCTCGAGAAAACAACTTTTCATCGAACTGGCGACCTAGAACTGAACTTGGGCATTTGTACCTCACCCAAAATTATTTACCGATTTTCATGATCCCCCTGTAACATGAGTATCGTTAAAGTCTTGTGGATGCCGTAATCAAAACAATCCTCTGCAACCCCTTGACAGTTGACCCCAAAGTTGAGAATGAGAATTCTAATCAATTTGAGTGACGGGACTGGTCATGTGACCTTATCATCTACTTCTGTGTAATCTGTTGGTGAAACTTCTGGTGCCACAAGTCGTAAGCCAGGTATGTTTCTCATGGTGTTTGGTTCTAGCCTGGTATCTCTGGATGGAGATGCTAGTCCCAGCTTTTGAGATCCATCACAATTTGTCCATCATGATGAAGGATTGTCATTTATTCAGGTCCAATTGCAATCGAATGACAAGCATTATGGCTGAAATGAATGTTACAGACCGTCCTATGCTAATTAAAGCATTGATGTGACGGATTGTCCTGGTTTTATTATCACTTAAAGATGAAGCATTACTCGAATTGTCTATAGGATTGCGTCAGCTCAATTGCGCGTACCCTTGTGGGATACCAGCACCACAAAGTTTGATTGGTGCTAAGTCAAACGTTGATAAAACCTATTTTTGCGGAAGAGTCAAAACCATGCATATACTGGCTGGTACCATAAAGTGAAAGCCAAAAAAATTCGCAAATGGCATTGTGGCCGAGTGGTCTAAGGCGGCAGACTCAAGCTTATCATAGCTTCTCGACTGTGAGGTTGGGGTTTCTGTTATCGTAAGATGCGCGTGTTCGAATCACGTCGATGTCAATACTTTTTTGGATCATTTGACCAGATTTTCCAGAGTCAACTACACAATTACTATCACTAATACTTGAAATATTCTATTAATGTACTCGTCTATTCGTTGCTATAAGTTTAGTTTTCCAAAGACTCTTCGTATTGTTGTTCGCTGAGCAAGAGGGGGTCTTCTTCCACGGCTTCAGGCTTGGAGAGCTTGATTTGCGCGATCCACCCGTTGCCCATGGGGTCGACGTTGAGGACACCGGGGTTCGAATCCAAGTCGTCGTTGACGGCGATGATCTCACCGGCGACGGGGGCGTAGATGTCGGACGACGACTTCACCGATTCGACGGAACCCATGACGTCGCCGATTTCGACGAGGTCACCGACTTCAGGCAATTCGACGAAGGTGACGTCACCCAAGGCTTCGGCGGCGTACTGGGTGATACCGACGAAGGCGGAGTCGTCGTTGAAGAGGGCGATCCACTCGTGTTCGGAGGTGAACTTGACGCCCTTGGGACCTTCTTCGGCGTACTTGTAGACGAACGACTGCTTGTTGAGCTTGTGGTTGACGGTGTTGAAGCGAGGGGCGGTGGAGGCAATTGATCTCACCGGCATGGCGGCGGCGGCCCAGGTGGGTCTGGCAAACGCTCTCGAGGCGACCTTGAACATTGTATGGCACTGAGGGTCGGGGATTCCCTGGGGAGAGCAATCTTTTATAGGGACCGCGCCCCGAGTCCGCGTCCCGAGTCAACGGAGAAACGCGAGTCTGGGGTGGCTCCGGCACTTCCCTGGTGGGGTAACCAAGCAAATTTTTCAGGGTTATAGTGATGGACTAGTAGTGGTTTGGCTGGCTCTATCTATATTTGATTCATAACAATATACTCTAATTCTAATTAGGTGGCGGTATCCAGTGATGGATCCTGATCCATTTGTGGGTGATAATGCCTCCCCAACCATGTGGGTTGAGCCAACGCGTGGGAAGCGGTCTCTGGCGGAGGTAGCCTGCCCTCCTGCACATACTGTAAAATCAAGCTAATCGTATTTGCAGCACCCGCGGACTCAGTACAAGAATCTGAAGTCGGGGTCGATCTCTTCACCAGTGTGGCCCTTGCCGAGCTCGCGCTCCCAGTTGTAGGTACCGTTCTCGATCCTCTTGTTGTAGATGCGCAACGTGATCGACAACCCGATGGCCATCGCCATCAGCAACGCCAAAAACACACAGTTACAGATGAACGAGATCTCGAAGCGAGGCTCCCACCCTTTGGGGTACAAGTAGGCGTTCCAGATCGAGGTCGAGTTGGAGAGACAGTTCATCAACGCAATGGCGACGGCACGCTTGGCGGGGGGACGCGGGGTACAGTTAGACATCCACGACAAGATTGAGACGAACGCACAGTAGAGCCCCGGCAACATGATGCACATGGCGAAGTAGCGCGCGGCGATGTTAAGGGTAGCGGCGGTGATAATAAAGGATGCCATCGCCACGCACCCGGGGATCAAAATGTGCCAGAGACGCTCGCCGGTCTTGTCGGCGTGGAGCGACCAGAAGAAGGTGGTGACGACGGCACAGCAGTAGGGAGGAGCAGTCATACACAACGTCTTGACTCTGCTGTAACCCAAGGTCCCAACGAAAGTGGGGAAGAAGTTGGTGACACCACAGGCGGCGACGAGGAACGAGAGGATACCGGTGACCATCCACACCTTGATGTCGGTGAACGCGAGCCAAAGCGCTTGCTTGGTGGTGGTGCCTTGGTCGGAGTCGTTGGAACCGGTGTCTTGGGCGAGCTTCCACATGATCAAGTCTCTTTCCTGTTCACTGAGGAACTTGGTGTTGGAGGGGACATCGGGCAAGATGAAGTAGGCGAAGGGGACGATGAACACGGTGATGCACCCTTCGATGATGAAGAGCCATCTCCACCCGGAAATACCCTTTTGGCCGTCCATCAGCAAGATACCGGCGGCGATAAGCCCCGAAAAGGCAGACGACAAAAGCGACCCCGAGTAAAGCACGGCGTTACGCACGGTAAGCGACTTACGGTCGTACCACTGCGAAAGCGTCAACAATGCCGCGGGGAAAAACCCGGCTTCAACGATCCCCAAAAGCACTCTGATGGCGATGAGCCCCCCGTAACTTTGCACGGCGGCGGTACAGGCGGAAATGGTACCCCACAGCGTCATCACCACGGCGATGAAAATCGACGGGCGCCCGAATTTTTCCAAAAGCAAGTTGGCGGGGATCTGCATGGTGATGTAACCAACGAACAAAATAGAAATAACCGTTTGCCATTGCGAGCCGTGCATGCCAAGTTCCTTTTCGATCCCCCCGAGACGCGCCGAAGCAATGTTGTTTCTGTCAAGGTAGTTGAGGATGTAAATGAGAATAAGCATCGGCATCAACCGCAAGTCGATCTTCAAGGTGGTGCGGCGGTCGAGCTTGTGGAGCTCGTCCTGAGTCATCCCCTGCAACAGCGGGGGGAGATTGTGGTATTTGGGCAACACGCCGTCGTCGATTTCTTCGACGGGCTGTTGTTGCGATTCAAGGTGGACGACATCGTTTTCGTCCTTGTAGTCCTTGAAGCTGAGCTTCTCCGAAACCAGGTGGGTGGAAGACGCAGACATGGTGGGTGACTTGATGGGAGAAAATCTGGGGGAATTTCTCCAGCTTTTAAAACAATTGCAGCGGTGATAGGAAAAAAATCAACGCCCCCGCCATCGGCATCGCCTGACCCCATATTATCTCCCCGGAAAAATAATTCGGCGAGCTTTTTGGCCACTAGTTACAAGGTAGCAGTGAAACGCACCCAGGTTGCATGTTATTTTTCGGCGATTATCTGCACGGCGATTTTAACACCGCCAGTTTGGCACCCTTGCGGTGAGGCGTCGCCCTGCATACAGCTACCGCTATTGTTCGGGGAGGCTGATCATCTCCGAAATACCGCGTATAACGGCGTCAGTAAACAACCTTCGGAGTGGAGGTGTAACACCGACGCGTCCCAAAGATGGCATGACACTGCGGTGTGTCAAATGAGACTTAAGTTGGCGACGCCACCCTAATAATCCGAGGCGGTTTTGGCACCGGCCGTCTAAATGCCGCTTACTGAATTCTATTTTTTTCTTTCTCTAGGTACTTGCCCCACCGGAGTATGCGCCGAGACTTTTCGGCTGCCGGAGACAACGCTGTTTCGGCGACTATCCCCGCCCCCCCAACAGAACCGCCTACCTACAAATCACCCCGCAATGTGCCAATTTGTCAGATTTACCTAAGCAATTTCGGCTTGGCATTGTGTGGGCGTCAAATAAACTTTTTCCCCTCACTGGTCTCGATATTATTGGTGCCGATAAGCAAGCGATAGATGGAGGCTAAACCACTACCGGCGTTACGCCTGTTTTCTCCAGGCGTATTAGGCATAGCGTGTCGATGAGCACTTCGCGAGCCACCTGTGCCAGGCTGTTTGCGAGTGCGTGCACCGCGTGACTACGGCGATTTGAGGTTTGTGTCCATTTACATCGCCACACGGCGGGAACCCTTCCCAAAGCCCCACACTAGTGTCGAGCATATACGAAGCTTTTCTGAGGTATTTTCACACCCAATGTAACAAAGATGGGAGAAATAGAACGGTGCGTTACCAGTTCACGTTTCTGTTGTTCCCCTCTTCTCACCCCGGATTAAATGGGCTAGACGGAAAAATTTCTCGCAGGCAGCTGCTGCTGCGCTTCCCAACATATGATAAAAAAAAATTGGAGCATGATGTGGGCAGTGGAGCAACTCTGCCTGTGGTATTCCCCCGAGTATGCACCGCCCTCGGTAACCGCGACGCGTAGTGGTCTTGTGGGCGTTGTTGAGGATAAGGTGGGGTAAGTTTGCGATTCGCGGGGTCGCCCTCCACACACTCCCTCGCCTCTCGGGTCACCGAGATGTGAATCGGATCGCCCGCGATCTGACACAGCGAGGGCGGCCACCTGAGCGGTTATATAGTGGTGTGTCTCACCTCCAGCATTCCCCCACCCACCACGAGAAGGGTACAGAGAATGTCCCCGAGGCACGGGAGGCGGTGCATGACAGCAAGCCTCTCCCCAGCTGTGCCATGTGCTCGAAAAAACTGGCTTGCCGGCGTTTACGGCTGACACCGACCCATCCTGATTCGGCATGAAGCTTGACGTGTGCTACTCGTGTTCGCTGGTATAACCCCGAGAACCGCTCGGCCCGTGGGCGACCGCCAGGAGGGTTTTTTTATAATAGCGATATTCCTTTTCCCTGGTGGGGAGAAGAGGTGCTGGTTAAAGTTATTTGCGAGTATGTGCAGGGGGAAGAATTCGGCGGTACGGCATTCCTGGCTGGGTGCAGTAGCGACAGCGCCCCCCGTAGTGCGCTCATTGCGCATACACCACCACGAAGATGCCGCCGCACCACGGTACGGTGAGATGAGGGGAGCACAGCGGTTTTGTGGTCGCTCAAGACTTCAACAGGTGAGGAGCACCAGCTCGTTCGGCAGCAGCGGAAAGTTTCTCGCTCTGCGCTGGGGCGTAGGTACGGAGCTTGCGGCAATGATGCGCGGTCATTGTCGCCGGCATCGCCCTGATCGGGGATTGTGCGCGTTCGCCGGCGGTGGGTTTGCGGGATATACGACGACGACGGGGCGCCCCCCAGGGTGCAGAAGGCGCCGTCCCCGCCTGAGTCGTATACTGGCCTAAACCCCCACCACTTGCTTACTGCCAGGCAACGCTGGTGCGACGCTGGTCGACAAGCCGCTTCCAGGGTCGATTCAGACACTGTCAGACACCACCAGGCACACGCTTGGCGTTGATGTTAGAACTAAACACATTGTCATCTAAGGGTGTCAATCACGTGAAGCGCCTTCGCCAAATTTATGGCGAAGCGCGTTTGACTCGGGGCGCGGCGCCCCCCGTATTCTTCGCCCATTTCAATTTCGGAGCTGTGGGATCTACATAGATTGCCGATCCGCTCCCCCGGCGTCGAATGGCCTCCGCCCCCCAACCACAGCTGACGGTGAAGATGTCGAAGCAGGCGCTCCGCTCCACCCTCAAGAAGACGTTGGCGGCGCTCCCGGCGCTGGCCATCGCCGCCCAGCTGGCGCTGGTGGCGCGCCACGTCGCCGCCCTCCCCGAGTACGCCGCCGCCCGCCGCATCGCCCTCTATATGAGCATGGACGCCGAGGCGCAAACGGCGCCGGTGATCCACCAGGCGTTTGCCGATGGCAAACGGGTATTCTTGCCTCGCTGTGAGTCGGCAGCGGTCCCCGGAAGAAAACGGAACCACTTGCGGATGCTCGAGGTGCCGCTGGAAGCAGCGGTGCTGCAGCTTCAGCCCCAAGGCAAGTACCAGTTGCGCGAGCCGCTCTCCGGTGCTGAGGGCCTAGACGAAGGGCTCGACCTTATCGTGGTGCCGGGAGTAGCGTTTCTGGCGGCGAAAGCTCGTTTGGGCCACGGCGCCGGCTTCTACGACGAGTTCTTCCTGGTGTACCAGGCGCGCCACGGTCGATTGCCGTTTTTGGTCGGGGTGGGGCTTGAGCCGCAACTCGTGGATAACGTACCCACCGAAGCCCACGACGTGCCCCTAGATGCCGTCATTGTTGGCGACGCCGTCTTTCGCTAGCATTATTATAGAGAGAAATAGAGTTGGGTGGGGTTTTGGGTTGTGTGCCCTGGTGCCAGATCAAACCGCACCCACACAAACAAACACAGTGTTAGACACTAGATCATAACAACCACCGCCAACTGCCACCACCCACCCGCCCTACCCCTCTTACACAACCACTATTATGACATCGTGTATCACATGACTCTACCTGACTGCTCTGATCTCCTGATCCCCTCTGACCTTCTCTTCATCGACTACTGCCTTTGACCTCTGCTGAGGGCCTCAACTCTCACCTGTCTTCTCGTCTCTACACAATCTCCCTTCTTTCTTCCCAATATGCCTACACAATTCTGCTAAAGAGTACTGCTACTGACTGTGACCTATCACTGCTACTCTTGGCACCACTGTTGACGGTGGGTGTATCACTAGTGCGTTCACCTCTACCAGGCCATCTCCACCGCGCCCGATTATAACCCGCACCGCGATCCCACTAGCTGGGGCTCAACCAGGCACCCACACCCGCCAACCAGCCACCGCTAGCACGCCATGGGTATCAGCGGGCTCTGGGAAGAAGTGTCGGCGGCGTTCCGGCCGCGGGTGACGCTCGAGCGGTTCGTCGTCGACTTCCTCGCCGCACACGGGCGCCCGCCCACGGTGGCGGTGGACGCGTTCATCTTTCTCCAGGGCAGCGGCGCCGTCCGCAACATCTTGATCAAGATGATGAACTTGGTGGCGCTCAAAGTCGGGGTGGTGGTGGTGTTTGACGGGCGCTTCAAGCCGGCCAAGCTCCGCAACGAGGGCAGCCCCATCCCCGACTGGCAGGCGGAGCACGCGGCGTTCAGCCAGCTGACCGAGGACGACTGGGAGGAGGACCTGAGCAGCGTCCGCCAGCTCAAAGCGCATTTTCGGCAGTTTGGCATCGACTACTTCCAGGCGCCGGGCGAAGCTGAGGCCCAGTGCGCCCTATTCCAGAAATGGGGGGTCGTCGACTACGTCGTCACCAACGACCTGGACGTGTTCGTGTTTGGCGCTACCAAAGTGCTCCGCAACTTCAACAAGTACCCCGCCGACATCATGGGCAACTCGCCGCACAATCTCCACAAGGTCGGCGCCTCCAAGCACTACTGGGTGACGCCGGTGCACATGGACGATATCGAGGCCCAGTTTGGCCTCACGCGGGACAGACTAGTGTTTCTCGCCTCGCTCAGAGGCGGCGACTACTCGCTGGGGGTGACCCAGATCGGCATCAAAAACGCGTTGCGCTTGGCTGTCTGCGGCTCAGAGGCCCACACCAAGTTGGTGACCACCACTGCTGCCTTGGCCAAGGACAAAAAGGCTCAAGGAGACGTCGACTTGGACGACGTGGCTACCCTCGCTCGCGCCTGTTTTGGCGACCGCAGCCCCACCAAGCTCTTCCACAACCAGCTGTGGCCCCAGGTGGACCACGACATGATCGACACCGTCGACCGCTTGGTGGCGACAATGGTGGGCCGCTATAACCGCCGGGTGTTTGGCCGCTTGGTTAAAGCGGCCGCTGACATCGTGCTTGACTGCGACTTGTACCGCTTGTACTTGGCGCCGATCGTCGCCCCCGGGTTGTACCGGTTTGACACCAGCACCGTGTCTGGCTGCGACTGCGATACGCTCAGATTGCCCCAGGGGATGGTGGTCACCGAGCCCGGCGGCGAGATCATCCCCCGCTACCACCGCGATCGGCGCATCGGCGACACCTACGTCGAGTACAGCACTGACAACCGCATATGCCACCAGGAGTTCTCGGGCGAGAACACTCACCCCTGCCGCGTGTCCATCGGGAATGGGTACTGGCTCACGGTGAAGCTCACGGTGCTCTTGTGCATCATCCACTGCCACGAGTTGGCTGTCGACTTGTCCGGGTTCTCCGTACAAGCGGAGACGACGATGGAAGGGGTCCACATGCACTGCGTGGTGTACGACGCTCCCATGTTGCTTGAGCGATTCCCTGAGGCCAGCGAGAACCGGACGAAGAAACGACCAGCTACACCGGATAACCACGTCTATATCCCGCTGGCGCTCCTCGACCACTTCGCCCCGCACCTAGCGGAAGCCTACCAGCACCAGCTTAAGGCGCAAGAGCGCAAGCGCAGCCCGTTCAAGACTTTGGACTCGTTCAACATGTGCACGCCCAAACCGCAGACGCCGCCGCCGTCGCTGCCGCCTCGCAAGCGCAAAAAGACCACCACGAAGAAGCCCGCCAAACTCCAGATTGGTCAGCAGAGCATCGACTCGTTTTTTTTAGGCCGGGGTAACTCGCCGACCGCTCCAGGAGCGCCGCGGCAGTTCCGGCTCAACACGCCGCCCGTGCTCGAGGCCCCCTCGTCCTCGCAGCGCCGGTCGCCGTGCTGGGACAGTCTGCCGATTCTCCGGGGCCACCGGCCGCCGCCTGAGCTCGGCGAGATCAAAATACCCTTACTTTCCGTGCCTTTACTCCACCACGACGACAGCGACGACCCCTGGCTCCAACTCCGGTCGCCGCTGTACACCCAGGACAGCGAAGTGCTGCTGGTGTCATAGCTGCCTGGCCCTTATACCAATAATAGACTGCATTACTGCTTTTACACACCGCTTACTATCACTTATACCCAATGAACACTAAATAATTCAATACGATAAGTTGTCGTTTAACAGCTCGAGCGTGAACTAAGATTGACCTCACCAATATAGGCTGATATCATGCCTACAGAATGGCCCCGTTTCCAAATAATAACTAGACAATTATTACACCGATGACTTCAAGTTTGAAGGACTAAGCGAAGACCGGTTTCCATCTCTCCTTTTTTGTGTTCCAGCCTCAACTGACCACAATCAAGGTAGTTTATCTAATTCAGCTCAATGCGATTACCATGGCTTCAGAGCTAAATTTAGTACCAGAACAATTGACACTAAAACTGAATCAAAAACAATGATTTCCAGTCCTCTACACAATCCTATCATGATTATGAGCGCTATAGTGATTTGATGATTAAGCAAGCATTGGGAATTGGCTACGAATCTGGTGCATTCTACCACGAATGGAGATTCACATCTCAATTAACCACCACGCAGTGCGAACGTTGCTTTCAATTGCTAATGCATTTATCGCCACCAGAAGCACAAGGCGTAATATGTCCAGGCTTTGGGACCACGCCCTGTTGCCGTGTCATTGCCCATATTGCCTGATTGCTAATTGACGTAAGTGTTGGTGCTGGTGCGGTACGGAGAATTTGTCATCGGGTGGTGGTCCGAAGGGTCTATCGGAATTCCATACCGAAAAGTCAACACTACTCTATTCTAGAAGCAGTTTTGTTATGGTAAGCAGAGACCGTGGACCAATCACAGCACGCTATAGTTTGCTGACGACACTAACCACAACAGTAGCTACGTCCTTGTCGCCGAAATAACTATCGGAGATATCGCCGGCGATTCTCGCGCCCCCTTATGACGTATTTGCGAAGAGCTTCACCCACGCCCCATGACAAATCGAAAAAAGGGCTAGAGCGGGTCGCGCCACACTTTTCACCGGTATCACCCAATCCGGCAACTGTCACCCCCTATGCCCGCTGCCATCGCCTATCCAGTCAACTAAACACCCTAACTAAACCACTACCACCAGCCCTTCAATTGACCACCTAAAACCTCTCTACGAAGCAAAATTGAGAGCCCGTTTTCTTCTCCGTGTCGTCGTCGGGCGATCACGTAATTTTTGTCACCCCACTAACCGCTCTACCTGCTTTTTTTTTCAACCCCTGAAAGCGGCTCCGTGAACGTGATCGTGCACGCTGCACCCGTAACATCCTCGGTACATCGCGGGCTAGAGGAAGCAGCAGCGGCAGTCTCCAGCACCCCATCCGATTGCAGTGGGCCACCGTAGACGTAATTGGCACTGCTGATTAACCTGCAATTGGTTAGGGCGATGCTTGCTTTGCCACGGTGCCTCTCGAGGGGGGGGGGAAGCCACGTCAGCAAGCTTTGGAGCACCGGGAGTCGGCCCCCCTAAAACGGCAACGACCGATAACCGCGAACGGTGTGGGTGGTGTGTGTAGGTCGTGTGGCAGCCGCAGCAACCCGCCACCAGCGCCGGGCCACGAAAACAGGGCATTGTTGGGGGGGCGTGGCGCCCACGGTTGCTCTGGCGGGTAAACAAGCTGCCCCTTCAGTCAAGTCAATTACTCAGTAGACGGCTTAGTTATTGTTATGGTGCTAGACCTACTTGTCTCTTAGTCGTCCCTTGGTCTAGACTCTGCTAATTTGTCAGGTCGGCTATTTCCGTGGGTCGCATTACGCTGTTGGTGGGGAACCCTGCACCTGGAGCTCCGAGGATGACAAAGTGCACCCTTGCTAGTGGCTGCCCCCCGGCTACGGGATGCGGGGTGCGGGGCCGCCATATATATATGAGACCTCCCCCCCGGCCTGTCGCCCCTTCAATTGACACTCCAATTTAACAAAATGGCTCCTGTCTACACCAACTCCAACGGGCAACCGATTGCCAACGACGTGTTCGCCTCGCAACGCGTGGGCAAGCACGGGCCCCTCCTTTTGCAACTTGATCGACTCGTTGTCGCACTTTGACCGGGAAAGAATCCCCGAGCGTGTCGTCCACGCCAAGGGTTCCGGTGCGTTCGGGGTGTTTGAAGTTACTGATGACATCACCGACATCTGCGGCGCCGCGTTCTTGGACACTATTGGTAAGAAGACGAGAATCTTCACCAGATTCTCCACTGTGGGTGGTGAACTGGGGTCGGCCGACTCCGCCAGAGACCCCCGTGGTTTCGCCACCAAGTTCTACACCGAAGAAGGCAACTTGGACTTGGTGTACAACAACACCCCGATTTTCTTCATCAGAGACCCCACCAAGTTCCCCCACTTCATCCACACCCAGAAGCGTAACCCTGAGACCCACTTGAAGGACGCCAACATGTTCTGGGACTACTTGACCTCGAACCAGGAATCCACCCACCAGGTGATGATTTTGTTCTCGGACAGAGGTACCCCCGCGTCGTACAGAAACATGCACGGGTTCTCGGGCCACACCTACAAGTGGTCGAACAAGAAGGGCGAATGGCACTACGTGCAGGTCCACTTCCTCACCGACCAAGGCATCAAGAACTTGAACAACGAGCAAGCTGGGGAACTCGCCGGTTCGAACCCCGACTTTGCTCAGGAAGACTTGTTTAAGGCCATCGCCAAGGGCGACTACCCCTCGTGGACCGCCTACATCCAGACGATGACTCCCGAACAAGCGAAGAAGGTCGACTTCTCGGTGTTTGACTTGACCAAGACCTGGCCCCACAAGGACTTCCCCCTCAGACGTTTCGGCAAGTTTACCCTTAACGAAAACCCCAAGAACTACTTTGCCGAAGTCGAACAGGCGGCGTTCTCGCCCTCGCACACCGTCCCCTACATGGAACCCTCGGCCGACCCCGTGTTGCAGCTGAGATTGTTCTCGTACCCGGACACCCACCGCCACAGATTGGGCGTCAACTACACCCAGATCCCCGTCAACCGGCCCACCGCCCCCGTGTACGACCCCCACATCAGAGACGGTGCCATGAACGTCAACGGCAACTTGGGCTCGGCCAAGAACTACTTGGCCACTGACGTCCCCGTCCAGGTCAAGCAATACTCGTTGCAAGAAGACCAGGAAGTGTGGGAAGGCGCCGCCACCCCCTTCCACTGGAAGTGCACCGACGCCGACTTCAAGCAACCGCAAAAGTTGTACGAAGTGTACAAGAAGACCGGCCAAGAAAAGGCGTTGGCCCACAACATTGGTGTCCACGCCGCTGGCGCCGACAAGGCCATCCAGGACAGAGTCGTCGAGATGTTCGCCAAGGTGTCTTCGGAATTGGCCGAAAACATCAAGAAGGAGATTGCCGCTGCCTCCAAGTAATTTATATAGTGTCTAATGAGATATGTCAAGTGAAGTTTTGTAATTGTTGGTGTCGTGTTGTTGGCCTATGGCTGGTGGTGGTGATTTTGTGATTACTCGCTATGACCTTGGTGGTTGTGTTAACACCGCGAACTTGAGAGTAGCGTGAAACAAGTGATTTGGTTGTAGTAATGGAATTTATGGCATAGGAGAGAGAAATGGGTTGATTGTATTATGGCTCAGGCCGTAAAAATCAGTTGTGGCCAAAAGTAGTTGCAATTACGATTGCTACAACGTGTTTAATGGCGACCAAACCTTTAGATCTACAAGCGTTAACCGTGCCAGTAATCAAAGAGAAAACCAAAGATAAATCACCACAATGTCTCATTGCCAGCCTAAAGGGAATGGCTTCCTCTTCTGCGTTCTGATTGATAATGTCTACATCAAACGCAGAGCCATATAACTTGCTACTTGACGGGGTCATGGGCAGAATACCTAGCAACGCATCCTCGTTAGCATATTAACGCTGGTGCCCGCAACACTTGCTCAGCCGTGAGCTGACCGTATCATGCCATGTACTTCATAAAAGCCACTTGATGTCATCAGCAAGCATATAATTTATTTACTAGATTCACAGCCATGGTGGGGCGGCAAGTACCGGTTCAGCCGCCCGGAAAAACCGTAATACCGTCTACTTGGCATCGCCTCAATTGCTAGAACCTTCTTGCCAAAACTACTCTGACGTCACCATTTAAAGTGGTAGCGATGGTCTCATTGAATCACACCCTCAATGAGGCGATACTCACCAAGACTAGCCCGTTCACGTTTTGGTCTAGTTTTAGTTTCGTGGCGTTTCTTTTTTTTTTCCTTTCTAATTCTACGCTGTGATTTCTCATAAGACGTGTATTTCATGGGCGTTGCTATATTTGGAGGGCAAGGCTGTGCTGAGGTCACAACTTGGTGGTGTTGCAGGTGGAGGAGCAGCTACAGCTGGAGCCGCACTTGCACGACAGGCCACAGCAGGTAGATTCTTTGCCACACATCGGGGAGGAGATAGGGAGCTGGAGGGTTTAGGGGTGGTGGGTGTTATCTTCTATATATCTCTAGTCGCCGGATCCGCCTACCGCATCGGGTAGGTCGATGCGTGCTAGCGGTAGTGCGAACTTAGTGCTGGCTAACCACTCAATTTTTGTCTGCGCACATTAAAGTGGGTGCAGTCACGTGCCGTCCGCTTTAGCCTAGCCCCCTCCCAATAGCTTCGCCACCAACGACACAGGTCATGGACAGTAATTACCCCTCGCCAAGCCCGGGTTTCCGGTTTTAGTTAAGGGGAGAACGAGGTCGGCTACGCCGATTAGCCGATGGCCGTCGATCACCACCGTTTCTTTCTGGGCCAACATCTCTCGATTGAGGCTGGTCCCACCTCGCTACATAACCGGTTTAGGCATTTTCCCCCGGGACGGATGACGGGACGACATCATCACGCGTGAGACCAGTTACTCGTACGCGTAACTTTTTCTCCCGGTTATGCGGCCCGGGGCTGCCAAAATCGTACGTCGAAACAACCCCATGAAACTGGTGCCGCCCCCGCTCCGCCACGACACCCGGCAGACATCGTCCGCAGCGCCTCCTCAGCGCCATCAACACCTTAGGAGCGCCCTCAATGAACCCCTTGTTTTCGAAATAGGCTAAGATCTCCAGCCATCCTCGCCTGGCTCCGATCCGAGCGCACCCCCTCCCGCGCTTGTTTGTTTGCCAGCCACCCCCGTATAATAACAAATTCACGAATGGGCGCGCCTGTTACAAAAACACCGCGCGAATATTTTTCAGGGGATGTAGTCCAAGCATCGCCCAAGATAGGGGAACATGGCGTCTCTCCGGTCTTGGCGACGCCGCCGACCATGACAGCGCTGCTTCCATACCTCAGCACCAGTAGCCGGGCGCCGAGGCAGCGCCCTCAGCAACGCTACATCGCCGCCTCCACCACTCGTCAGCTAATCACAGCCACGCTCGGCTTCGCCCCCTCAAAGAAAAAATTTGCCCGCTGCGCTATTTTTATTTTGTCGTGGAATTCGGTCGAGGGCGGTGTATGCAACGGTCACTCCGCGGGGCTTGGTGATTGGGCGCTGCCAGCGGCGCCCCGCCAGATATATAATCGCCCGGTGCCCGCCACTGTTAGGCTTCTCAACTTACCAGCGCAGACATGTTCAACTTCTACAACCAGCAAAGAGACATCGGCGACGCCGGTAACGTCATCGGCTCCATTGCCAACAACGCCGCTGACATCGGCCTCACCATCGCCCTGGGCGCCGTCGGCGCTTACCAGGATGTCACCCTGGGCGCCGTCAACTTCGGCACCAACTTCGCCTCCCACGTCACCTCGGGCGCCATCCAGTTCGCCTCTGACGCCAGATCGGTGGCCACCAACGGCGCCTCCGACGTCAGATCGCAATTCGGCGGTGCCGCCGGCAGCGGTTCCGACAGCGCCGCCACCGAGACCGCGTCTACCGGCGACTCTGGCTCCGACTCTGCCAGCGCCTCGGCCACCGACAGCGCTTCCGACAAGGCCTCGTCGTCTGCCGACGCTTCCGACAGCGGTGCCTCCGACTCGTCGGCCTCGGCCACCTCGTCCGCTTCGGGATCGAAGTCGTCGCTGGCCGCCGCTTCTTCCGGCAAGTCGCTGTCGGCGGCTTCCGCCTCTGACCGTGCCGCCGCTTCGGGCTCTGGTAGCCTGTCGCTGTCGCTGGCCAAGGCCTCGTCGCTGTCGTCGGGCAAGTCCGCCGGTGTCGCCCTCGACCCCTCGTCGCTGTGGAAGAAGGGCGCCTTGCTCGCCGGTATCGTCGGTGCCTCGTTCTTGTTCAACATCGTCGCCTGAATTTAGTGGTATGAGTTTACGTGTAATATAAATAATTTAGTCTTTGAATTGGTGTAGCAAAACTGTAACTTTTGGATTGAAAGGCGGTTGTTTCACTCTGTGTTTACAATCGCGTTTACAGTGCGGGGAGTTTCAAACCTGAATGTTTATATTCCAGTGCTGAAATGAATCGTACGTTAAGTCTTCATTATGGAATTGACATCACAACTACGATATTAATTGGCATAGCTTGTCACCACGATGTAACCAGGACCGTCTTGACCCAGAAAATCTTACGGCACTCATTAGCCTCATAACAGCTACCAACTGCACTGGCTGACACAACATCAATGGTTCTCAGTCAAACACCAAAACTATTGACAATATTGGCTCTGCCAGTGATAAGTGAACTGACAATATGGATGACTACCAATGTTGAGATAAATTACACATATCACGGTAAATCACCAAATTACGGTAAATCACCAAATTCTTCCCATTTCACGATATCTAACAAATTCGAGTATATTCGAGATATGCCTTGACAATGCCCTAGCAGTCTCTTCGCAGGTGTACCAGGTATGGTGCCAATTACGTTGTCTTCCAATTCTTGTTGTATTATAAATAGTCTATCCCTAAAACCGATCGAAATTGCCGTCGAACTTGCCCCGGAAGGCGTCGCCCAACCAGTGGACGATCTTGTCGTACACGATCTTGTCGGCGCCGTCGTAGCGGATCAGGTGGTCGCTGTCGGGAAAGAAGTGGACGTCGTAGTTCTCCAACTTCCCTTCGTCAAACCGGTTGAGCAACCACATCAGGTTCTGGAAGTGGACGTTGTCATCGGCGGTGCCGTGCATCACCAAGAACCGCAGCACCTGGCTCAAGTTGTCGGTGTTGCGGATCTGGGAGTAGTACTCGTAGTTGGGGTTATCTTGCGGTTGCATCATGAACCGCTCGGTGTAGATCAGGTCGTAGAACATCCAGTTGGTCACGGGCGCCACCGCCACCCCGTATTTAAAGGTTTCTCCCTTGTCGAACTCCAACGTGCGGAGGGTGGAGAACCCACCGTACAGCCACCCCCACACCGCGGTGCGGTTGGCAAGAGCAAACGTGTTGTTGTGGATGTACTCCTGGGTGACGGTGACGAGGTCGCGTGGTTCCCAGTAGCCGATACGGTTGGTGGCAGCACTCATAAACCGCCAGTCCTGGCCGCCAGTGCCTCGAGGATCAATGGCAAGCACGATACAGTTGAGCATCGCCGAGAACGCCATGCGGAACTCGACCATCAGCAGTCTGTCGACCTTTTGAAGGCCAGGCCCGCCGTAGACGTCGACAAGCACCGGGTACTTTTTCAACGGGTCGAACCCGGGAGGCAAGATCTCGACCATGTTCACCATGATGGGAGTGCCGTCGTCGTAGTGGTCGACGACCACCTGGTGGAACCGGCGCGAGGGGAAGTTGGTGTTGGTCAACGCCTGCTCCATCGCCTGGGTGACTTGAGAATTGATGAACCCGTCACTCACTGCTTTGAAAGCAGGTACTTTCTGGCCCTCCATGATGTTCTCCACCCGATCAACACTGAGGATTTTCTGCCACGGAAGCAAATTAGGCCCCAAGTAGCGTACATCAAGGTGGTCTCCGCGAGGCAGCGCCGCAAAGTAGTGCACCCCTGGCTTGTTAGGGTCGGTGTAGAACTGGATGTCGTTGTCGCCGTGAGGGTTAACAGCAAGCAATGTCGTGTCCATTGTCGAGTAGACGGTGGCAAGAGCAAACACACGTTTGGCTCTAGGGCTATACACCAACTCAGTCTTCTGGGTGATGTGCCAGGCGTCCAGGCCAGTAATAAAGCGGTACTCGGTGGCGTCAGGGGTATCAAAGTACGCCAAGTGCGTACGCATCGTCTCGGTGTTGACCACCTTATCGACGTAGCCAGGAGCCAGGCCGTCATCTTTAGGGATCACCGCTACCGCTTGAGTCTTTTCCACCCACCCGTGGAAGTCCTCGGTGACGTTGGTGGTGGTGAGACTGCGGATTTGCGTACCCACTTGTGGCTGCCACAAACCGCGACACAAAAGTCTCAGGGTGCGGTCAGTGAGCTTGACGAGGAAGTTGTTGCTGTCCAACCAGTCGCCGTGGTAGACGACGTAGTCCCGGCCAATCTTGGAGGTATCGACGTCCAAATCAGTAATCTGCTTGGTCTTAACATCGTACACTCTGAAAGTAGGAATAGGGTTAGGTCTCCCTGGTTTAGGGTATTTAAAGCGCGTGGTCATCGGGTACTGGCGGAACGGCGTATCCTGCGGCGCCAGCTTGGTGGGGTCCCTGACGTAGTAGTCGATATCGTAGTCGTCCACTTGGGAGTCGTCGAGGGTGACAAAGGCAAACCGCAGCGCGTCCGGCGCCCACCACACCATGTTGTCCGACAGCGTTACCTCTTCCTCGTATACCCAGTCGGTGCGCCCGTGGAACACGCTCTCCAGGCCGTCGTCGGTAAGCCGCTCGGTGGTCTGGTCGGCGAGCTTCCACAAATACAAGTCGTGGTTGAACGAGAAAAGCACGTGTTCGCCGTCGGGGGAGAAGTAGGCCCAGTGGAGCTTCTCAAGCTTCGAGTCGTCGCTGATCTGCGGCGGCTGCAAGCACACGATCTCGCCGGTTTCCGAGTTCCACATGAAGTAGAGCGCCAACAGCGACAGCCGCCACTGGCCAATGACGTCGGTGGCAAGCATGTGCCAGGTGCCGCTGTCCACGGGTTTGCCCGGGTTCACGTACACCAGGCTAGGGTAGAAGAAGTTGTTGCGGTACTCGATCTGGCGGGGGAACTCGAGCACGGCTTCCATCGTGTCGTAGTTGACGACGCGGTGGACCGTCGTCGGCTGGTCGTCGATCAAAAGGTATTCAATCGAGAGGGCCCAGGCGTCGTTATCGGTGCGGTTAGCCTCCGGGAACGCCGCGTCGTCAAGCCACTGGAGCAGTTTCGAGAACGAGTAGTAGTGGCCCTGGCGCACGGTGTCCATGGTCACGTTGCGCCGGTCGAGGTCAAACGGCATGAGCTCGCCCAGGTAGGTGCCGTTTCGCCATTTCTGAGTCTCGACGGGGTCTGGGCGCTCGCCGCCGTAGACGAGAAGGCCAATGATCCATATCGCGCAGACGACGAAGATCACGCCCAATAAGAGCATCCGCCCCCACAGGCGGGTACCAGTATACTTCTGAAGCGCCGCCTGAAACCCCAGGTCCTCGTTGAAGTCGTCGCGGGCCTGGTTCTTCTGCTGGTACTCCTCGATGTCGTCCATACACCGCAGAAACAGCAGCAGCAGCAGCCGCAGCGGCACGCCCAGCCCGCCCTCAGCGGTGGGAGGTAAGTCGTCCATGGCGATGGCGGCGCCCTGGTCGAGCGGCAGGTATTTCTGACCCATTAGTCACGGTGTTGTGGGGTCTGGCAGGGTCGTATTGGACAGGTACGATATAAGGTCCTAGGTGTGGAGTCGCGCGCGCGCTAAGGCTGGCTGGTGCAGGACGTTGTTCTCCCTGGGTAATCGCCGCTGCCGAATCCGGCTACGTGGCAGACCCCATTCCAAACGTTAACTAGAAATAGCTAGCTAGAAATGGTTAGCTAGCTAGCTAGAAACATTCAACTTAAGTTACTGTCTCGAGTTTCAGTGTTTGTTTGGGATTAAAGTGACACGTGACACATTCAAAATGAAACTAACACTGATAGAGTATCCCTTAACTGCTTATCTCACTTTCCCAATTCTTTTTCAGTTCTTTTCCAGTCCCTCGACTTAATTCCTTTTCTCCTATCTGTTCTTTATGTCTCAGTCGCGCGCCGAGATAACTCCGCCCCACTTTTCGCCCCACGTGACAATATACCTAGCACAACCCAATTGGGCATTTGACCAGAACGCTCCGATGGCCCTGGTCTACTCCCAGCTCTTCGACTCCACCTACGACAAGGATGAGGGCCTCTATAAGGTGCTTTTCACTACCCCCTTGGTCGAGGACGCCCTCCAGCGCACGATAATGCCCAATATCCAGCGGGTGGTCGAGGAGCGGTCCCAGTACAACCAGCAGGTGTTTGTCGACTTACTCCGCTACGGGGTCACGTTCTTCAACGATGCTATCCAGTACCAGACGCAAACGTCAGCTGACACCGCGTCATCAGCTGATGCCGCCTACGACGGTGACATTACTCTACAAAAACAAGACTCCAACACCAACAATACCCCCGTCAGACGACGCCAATTTGAGGACATTGACGACGAGCTCCGCGCAGAGCTCGTAGCCAATATCCTCCACACTGTCCAGACGTGGTTTCTCGTCGTTTACGACAGTATCAAGTTGTTCCGCCGCGATGGGCCCTCAGACCTTCTCCTCATGCTTTTCGGCGAAAAAGGACCTTTGGACAGCTCTATCATCGAGGACTTGTTGGTACGGATGAAGTGGGTGCTTCGGCAGGCGATTGACGACATTTCTACCGCCGACGACACCCCCGACGAGTACCTCCAATTGCCGGTGATTAAGGAGATTATCCTCGTAGTAGCGCTGATGCTACGGTGCATCTTCCTCCTGCTTGCCCATAACCTGCTGCTGATGCCGATAAAACGGTTACTCGCTACGTTCGACGCTGTTGACTTCACTGAGTCGTTTAACCGGTTGCTTGTACTTACCGCAGCGGAAAAGTCTACTGAAGACGGCAAAGAAACGTTTCTCCCGCCGAAAATCCGTCTCTCCGCAGAAACGTTGGTTATTCTCTACAGCGTGATCGGCTCGTTAGCCCACGTCGAGCGCCACATCTCGTCCAGGGGGAAGCAATTGCTGACCGTGGCCGCCGACATCACCACCTTGGACAACGGCATCACTCCGAGGCGATCCCTCATCACCAATAAGGAATACACCCGCGACTTGTTCCAGCGCGAGATCGGCCTGCGCATTATTCCCATTCTCGCCATGGAATTCAACTACGGCTACCTGTACCGGCCCGATCTCCTTCTCCAGCAGCTTCCGCTGACGCTGTTCTTCGGCTGGCTCACGGGGAACACGTTTGGCAAGTCCAGCATGTACGGCCAGTACGACACCCAGCGGCTTGTGACCAATTTCGAGACTCCCGAGTGCGCTCTGCTTTCGATTTATGGTGACGAAAACGACCCTTACATCGTCGAAGTACGCCACATTCTCCAGACTAAATTTGACCGCCGGCGCTACCAGCTGAATACTAAGGAATTCGACGACATCTTGGAGATGCCCGAGCTTCTCCCCATTTCTCTCGTGTTGTTCCTGTTACTGGATAACCCTACTTTCGTCGAGCAGCTTCTCACTCCCGAACTGCCCATTACTCGCGCCATTGAAGATCTTGACCCAATGGAAGACCGCGACATGGGGGTATTGGAGATGTGGCTCTGCGTGGTGCTGTATGTGTTGCAGTACCACTACCGCCTGCGCCACTTCCAGCTTATCACTAAGCTCACTTTGTACACGGTAGCAAAGTTATGCTCGCTGAGACCTTTACCTCTGGGCATTGTACCTGCCACCATGTTTGGCGCCTACCGCATTAACGAGTTTAAGTGGAAGCTATGCCATCAACGACTGCCTATAGTCCCCATCGATGAGGGCTCGTTTGGTATCAAGCTGGCCCTCTTCTATACTTTGGATGTCCTCCAGAACTTATTACGATTCAATCTCACCAATAAGTTGAAACTTGATAACTTCCAGGTGGCAGTGAACGTAATGTATCAGGTAGTCACCGAGATCAAGAGAGATACCTCCCTCGAGCTTGGCCATTACCATTGGGATCAACTACGCCGGCTGATATTCAGTACCATCCAATTCTTTGTGAAGCAAAGATTGTGGGAACTGTCCCATTTCATTAACCTACACCAAGAAGATAACGTCAAGGCCGTCATTGAAGAGCTTTTAGTGGTGGTCGACTCCACCTTGTGTCCCCGTTTCAGCTATGTCGTTGAGGAGGAGGACCAGCTGATGCTGATCAACTACAACCTCGTGTACAACATTCTCCTTCACTACGACTTGATCAAAATTGCCGATGCCGATGTGCTTGGGTCTTCGCTTGCGGCGCTGATGCCTCGTCTCGCCCACTGTTTGCATTACTTCGAGGAGAAGATTCACCTTACGGAGGAGTCTAAGCTTCTGGGAGAAGAAAAGCTCAACATGCAAGACTACAGTTACGACTCGTACCAGCTTAAGGAAATGATCAATGGCTACCTTCTCGATCGCGATCTTGAGGTGGAAGTTCCCACAACACCTCCTACTTACCTGAGCAAGGAGACACTCAAGTATGCTACTGGCAACTTCGAGTTGCTGGCGACAGACAGTCTTCAAATCATTAACTTTGCGTTGGCACCGGATAACAAGCCGATGCTGCGGTTCTTCCAGGAGCGTGCCGGCGAGGACCAGTATCGTGTAAAGTAGAAAAGATAGATAATAGAATGAGGTTTATAGAGTCTATACTTCAAAGAACAACAAAGGTAGTTGATTTGTTCTCCAAACTTCTTCCTTTGGGGTGGCACTAGTGGCATTTAAGAATGAGCCATTGTGTGAGGCGGGGAAGGCGGTCGTACTCGCCACACTGCCTTTGACGATGAGCGTCGCCACCTGCATATATGTAATTCAGAGATGTTGGGGGACAGCTCCTGGCAGCAAGCATGTGTATGTAATTTTCGCGGTCAAAGTCGCCGATTGTATTAGCCATTAACCTAACGAGATACGGGTGATGTAGAACCTCCCCCCTCTCTAGATGATTCCTTATGCTGGTGTACGACGAAGGAGACGATCTACCCCGTTAATGGTTCATATTCACGATGAGTAAACTCAGCCACACCCCCAGTGCAGCGTAACACCCCGCACTCCCCATACGGTCTGTTTGTATACAGGCTAAAAACCCCAAAGCTACGCACTGAGAGTTTTTCTCACTGGGTGATCGTGGGGCGTGTTGACACTCGTGACGAGGATGGAAACCACTGTTGTCGTTGAAATCGCATCCCGGCGGCAGCGCGGTCTACATTGACGTGGAAACCTGGCCAGGCTCTCCTATGGTCCTACGGGCGACAATTTATACCCTGGAGGCCGATAAGCGTTGGTGACATCGACACATACCACGTAACAACGGCGGTCGGGGCTATGCCCTGCGGGCTGTCAAGAGGACCAACCTCGTCGTCGGTGGGTGTGACCGTATATCTCGTCATGGTTTTGACACTCCGTTCCTGTTGTATAGTCAATAGAAAACTTAGACTAACACTCAGGCCAATCGGATGCACACATTTTATAGTACTATTTGTTTAGTTTGCATTGCCGTCTGATCTCGCCACATTAGTTACACAGTGGTCGATAGAATCATAGTGCTGGTTTCCGTAGAGATGGTACAAGATTAACGTAAACGTTGTGCTTGCAAGCCAATACTGATACCACAAGTGTATACTGCATATAACCTGCAGATAACGGACGCCCAAGTTGAATTCCGACCTCTCAGGAGACACTTCATGAAACCCTACATAGTTGCGACTTTCGCAGTCAAAATTACACATAGAACTGAGCAACTTGAAATAAAAAAGCAAAACAAGAATATATCTTAACATTGCTTTGAGTCTCTTGCTCGGTTTTTTAAGGTGACAAGTAAACTTCAGAACCTCGTCTAAGGTGTATGATTGTATGCAGGTACATTGTACAAGATGCAGGACTTGACGGTCACAGCTCTAACACCGATTTTCAAAGATCTTCCTTCACGTTACTCAACACGTTGTAGTCCATGAGTGTTTCTCTTTGGTTTGATGTGTTTTTGTGGTGATAGCACTACAGAAACACATGGTAAGCTTGCAAATTTGTACACCTGCACACAATAATATGAGTCTGCATAAAATATGCACCACATCAACCAGATAATTTCAACACGTAAATAGCACTTCAAAAAGAAATAAACACCGCCATTGAAATGTCTATAATTCAAATAGTGTTTTTAACAACATATGGAGATTGTCCGAAATTTTTCATGAAAAAAAATAAAAAAACTAAAAAAAATTCTATAAAATCAGGAAAACTCGATAAAATGATCTTGTATACTTCATAAAATTTGTTGGCCCTTGAAGTATAATTGAAGTGATTTTGAGCAGGTTACTGTTACTTCTGAGGGTGTTAGGCAATGATGACCATAGAGTAGGAAAACAAACTGATAGGGTGATTCTCTCTGCTTCACAATCATTTTTGACATTTGAAATATAGCTGATGCGTATTTGAGTAAGTTCATATCGATATTGAAGCAGTTGGAGCAATGTTTTAAAATTTAAGTTACCTGCAGGGGTGTTTAGTGTATGCAGTACACATTAAAAACATGCTCGTGTTCATTCGATATCAATAGCAAGTAATTGATGTTACCACCGTTGTAATTAAAATTTGTGTTAGATGTAGCTGTGCGACATTCGTGAGGTCATATTGAAAACTGACGTACCTATCAAGCTTATATGTGCGTTGACGATTTATCCTGCATGTAGTGAAAGAAACTTAATGTCAAGCTTCTGATCTTGCAAGGCATACTGAGTGAATTCTGATATGTTCTCTATAATCATCACAATCCAAATATGTGTGTAATGATCATGAAAAGATATTTCGGAGAAAAAAAAATTTCAAATTTTTTTTTTTTTTTTTTTTTTTTTTTTTTTTTTTTTTTTTTTTTTTTTTTTTTTTTTTTTTTTTTTTTTTTTTTTTTTTTTTTTTTTTTTTTTTTTTTTTTTTTTTTTTTTTTTTTTTTTTTTTTTTTTTTTTTTTTTTTTTTTTTTTTTTTTTTTTTTTTTTTTTTTTTTTTTTTTTTTTTTTTTTTTTTTTTTTTTTTTTTTTTTTTTTTTTTTTTTTTTTTTTTTTTTTTTTTTTTTTTTTTTTTTTTTTTTTTTTTTTTTTTTTTTTTTTTTTTTTTTTTTTTTTTTTTTTTTTTTTTTTTTTTTTTTTTTTTTTTTTTTTTTTTTTTTTTTTTTTTTTTTTTTTTTTTTTTTTTTTTTTTTTTTTTTTTTTTTTTTTTTTTTTTTTTTTTTTTTTTTTTTTTTTTTTTTTTTTTTTTTTTTTTTTTTTTTTTTTTTTTTTTTTTTTTTTTTTTTTTTTTTTTTTTTTTTTTTTTTTTTTTTTTTTTTTTTTTTTTTTTTTTTTTTTTTTTTTTTTTTTTTTTTTTTTTTTTTTTTTTTTTTTTTTTTTTTTTTTTTTTTTTTTTTTTTTTTTTTTCATCTTCATTGGTGATGTTGTTTCAGTGTTATACATTATCATATTGTTATATGAAGTATACGTGATGTGATTTGAGCTGACATCCTTTGAAACCTGAAGCAATTGAGTAAATTTACGCCTCGGATACCCCTCAAGTTGGACTTGCAATTGTTCTGCACATATGATTCTCGTCTCTGATCTATCCGCTAACATCCCATGATTCACTTAGAGTAGAAGTTAGAACGTAATTGTAGTGTTACGCTTCCAAATATGGAGTTTGATCTTGTAAAAATCATCAGAACAGAAAAAAAANTTTTTTCGATTTATTTTTTTTTTTTTTTTTTTTCTTTACTTACGCTCGATCTGCGATATAAGATTGTCTTTAAGTGTCCAAGCTTAAGCTCGAGTTGGGAGTTTGAATCTGAAAACTGGCATTTTGTTCACGTCATGCTACTATACTTAGATGTTGTGCCTGCAATATTGACCGATACAGGATTGACATGATTATACCCATTTTCACAAGGTATGATAATCTATTAAGTATAGTCTAGTATAAGGTAGTATAGTCTATGAAATGAGTGTAGTAATAATGCTAGGAGGGTACGCCTTCGTAGTCGTGGTTTTCGTTGAACTCGTTGATCACTCGTCGCCAGTACGCCTTACGGTTAGTTTGAATTGGATTAAGCCGAACAAACTTTTCCAAAATCACCAACAAAAGCAAAAACGCACTCACAACGAACGATGGGGCAATCAGTTTCACAAGCTGCTTACGAGTGAATACCCGTTTATAAGGACACTGGGCGTAGGGTCCACCAGTAACGAAACAGTCGGGCACCGTGATTTCGTTCATATCGACCCAGATGGGGAAGTCTATCTGTTGTTGTAATAACACCTGGTTGAGGTTTTGGAGATCCCAAGGCAGCCGTGGGATCAGAAACTCGTAACCGTTGGGACACACGTCATCTTTGTACCCGTCAAAATATGACCGCTTGTCGTCCTTGGGACTTACATGCCACCGTCGCCCATCGATCCGCAGCTGGCATGCGTAATAGTATTGGTTATAGCAGTCAGACACTGCGTAGCCTCCTTCATACAACGCCACGCAGTTGTAAGCCTCGATGGGATCGTTATTGCCCTGGTCAGTCAGAAATCGTTCTCCCGATAGTACTGGCTGACCCGCTGACCACAGCCAGAAACCAAACGGGTAGAATTGTTCCATCGCCGATACCAGCGTGATATTTGATATTAACGGGGAAAAGCCACACCGCAAGTAGTTGTTGACTTCTTCCTGGGTGAACGGAGTCATCCCGTAGTCGGTAATGTAGTACAAAGCGTCCTTGACCGGCGTGAACAGAAGCGATCCGTTATTGATATCGCGACACTGCTCCAGAAGCTCGGGGTTGGCATTGTATATAATGGTGGAGGCGGTGCTCAGCGAGGTGAAAAGCAACTGCTTATCGGCGTCGGTGAAGTTATAGCCGTGGGTCATGTTGGAGACGTGGTCCTGGTCGACGGACACTATCATCCGCTTCAAATCCGTCAACACAAACGTGTCGAAGGTGGGGAACGTCAGCACGTTGACGTAGTGCGAGGCGTTGGCGGTGACGTTGTCGAGGTCGTGCGGGGTGTACATCCACTGCTTCATCGGGGCAAACGACGCTGCCAACGAGTTGTTGCCCACAGCGACGTCGGTGGCGACCGGCAACAGCGTGTTCCGCTTCGGGAGGTCGTAGAGCCGCACCGTCATCCGCAACACCGTCGAGTCCCACTCGGTATTTGTCCTCAGGCAGTAGTTGCTGAACTCCATTAGCAAGTCATTCACGGTGATGTCGACGGAACAGTCCCACAGGCTGTCGATGGCTCCACCACCGACATCGTAGGGCACGGGGCAAAGTTGCCATTTTTCACTGAACTCGTTCCAGTATAAATTGACGGTATACGCCTGCACGCCCGTCGTCAACAAGTTCAGCACTTCCGTCATCGACTGCAGCGACACGCCGCTTTTGGCAAACACCACCAGGGTGAGGTTGATGCCGATATGGGAGAGGAGGTTTATCGGCACCGGGCGGGTGAGATCGCGTTCCAGCCGCAACGCCACGTCCTGGCGGTCCAGCACCTCCGGCCAGGGGGCGTAGGTGATGTTGAAGGTGTAGGCCCAGGCGGTGGCCATCCAGAAAAGCCACCAGTGGCACGGGATCATCGGCTACCGGAGAAGAGGCTGAGACGAGTCGCACTAAGATAAGCGTTGTAAGCCTAGGTCTGACGCCGCACTTACCGCATGGGGACTGAACATGACGGCGCCGCATTTACTCGATCGGGCAGAGGAGTGCGAGAAAATATCAGAGGACAGGTTTTCATTCATTCGTCGTGTATATGGGAACAATAGCCGAGCAAATCTCTACTTAGTGATCTGGAAGCTCCAGTTGAATTGCAAGTGGACGGTGCGGTCGTCGTCGATAAACTTGGTCGTGGCCGAGTAGTTGCCCCGCGCCAACATCCCCAGCGGCGCCTCGACCTCGGGAAACTTGCGCTCGTAGTAGGGCTTGTCGGTGGTGTTGGGCGCGTACGACCCCAACGGCTCTTCAACCTTGTCCACTCTGATCCCGGCCTTCTTGACCGAGTGCAAGTACTTTAAGCCAGTAATAATCTCGTGTTGGACGCGGAAGCGCACGTACAATTGGTACACCAGCTTCTCCTTGATCGAGAACTTGATCTCCTTGTCCAAGGTGTTACCGTTGGCGTCTTCCAAGTTGATGCGGATGGGAGCGATGTTTTGGTCGGGGAACTCGAGCCCCATCTCGGTGATCACCACCGTGCGCTTGTCGCCAGGCTTCACCGGCACCACCAGCGCCCCCGGGGTGATCCCCAACGACGCCTTCCACTTCGCCAACAGCTCGTCCTCGGCATCCAACTTGGCGTACTCGGCGATTGTCTTCTTCTCGCCGACGTTGTAACCCTCGATCGTCTCGGGAACTAGGTCGTCGTCGTGGGACATGGTGTCGACGTGTTTAATTTTCGCAGCGCTGTCTCCTCCTCTTTAAACGGTGGTCGCCGCGCGCATTGGGATTGATTATTCGCGTCAGCATTCCGATTAGACGACAGGAATGGAAGCGTAATGATTGGGGGTTGGGAGGGGTTTTGTGACCGAGATTTTGACATTTTTAGGTGCTATATGATGACCGAAGGTGTAGAATTGTCACCTATATACTCTGATCACAAATCTTAGTGTTTTGACCGGAATCGGTCGCCCTCGTTTCGTCGTGCTGTGGTCGCGTGGTCTAGGCTTTGGCCCGTGTTCTTCTGTGTGCCGGTTACGCGACCCGGTGCACCTCCTGCCAAGGGACAAGGTAACGAGTAGTGATCTAGAGTGTACCAGAATAGAGTTTAGCCAGGCCATGACTAGACAGATTCACTAGTTATATCTGGTTTTCGCTTTAATTAATTATGGTAATTTTCTGGAAATTACAATTACTTCACTACGACGCGTTCATGATCCACCTCCATTTGCCACCCCAACATGATCCCTTTACAAAGGTATAGTTATCGTCATCAAATCAATCTTAGCCCATAATTTCTCATCATCTTCGTCTGACTTGTTCCCCTGACAAAGCTTCCACGAGGTTCCATCAATCTCACTATCTGACAAATTCCCCGCCACTAGCCTTACCAGGACTGCGGAGCGCGCGCTTATGATCCATCCTTCCTCCCCACCTCGATCGCCATGAGCACCCCCGACGAAGTAAGTGCTAGCCCACCTCCAATTTCAATCAATCGAACTCAGTACTAACACCACAGATTCGTGCTAAGCGTCTAGCCCGGTTGGGAGCGTCCCTGGCCCTTGCCCAAACGCCACCATCGGCGTCGGCGTCGCCTCAACCTCAAACACAACCGAAACCAGAGGCCACTCCCACTCCCAAACCTCAGCCAGTTCAGCAGTCTCAGCCACCAGCCCAGCCAGCAGCTCAACCAGCGCCCGAGCCCGTGAAAAAGCCCACTCCTAAACCCGAACAGTCGCTTCTGCAATGGTTCGTTTCGGTACTTCCGGGCCTCTTTGGCGCTACTTTGGACCCCCACGACGGTAAACACATGTACCTTGAGCTGGTATCGGCCGACGACCACCCGGAACTGCTGCTTGACGAGATCTTCATGGAGATCTTGGGGTCAATCGGCGTCCCCACGCTGCTGGTGGTTGAGTACCTCCACGGCGTCTACCGCCACGCCTATCTGACTAGTCGCCGCATGCCTGCTGCTACTACTTCTAACTATGAAGCCAAGACCGCTGTGCTTAAGAAGGTGTCAAAATTAGCGTGCACTTACGCCAACCTGTCGTTTGAGGAGCCCGATATGTTCGCCAATTCCGACCCGGAAGTACAAGTGGAGTGGTTCGTAAACCACCCTCAGGAACTGGGGTTCTTGGTCGACATTGTTGCTCAGGCGGACGAACAGGGCACCGTCGAGGAATTGCTCAACGGGATCGTCCCCATTGCCACCAGCAAGCTTCTCCAGTTGACGGTGGCCACCCCACAATACCTGAACTACATCCTGTTGTTTGAAACGCTCGTGCTGATAAAGCTGGTGGCTCGTGTCTTCAGTCAGATCGACACCTTCGAACCGCAGAACCCCGACGACCCCCTCAGCTTTGAAAACACTACAATTCTTGGTGCGCTTCTCAGATTATCGCCGTTAGGCACTGGGGTGGGTCAGTACTATTTCAGCGATATCCACGACTGGAAGCACCCGTCGCAGCTGGCGTTAATCAATGACTACTCTCTGATTAACGCTGAGAATAAAGTGGTGACCAGCCGGTTATTCAACATCGTCAACTCTCTCGTGCGTGGTGGCCCCGATACCCGCCAAGCGGTGGTGTCGTGGTTCGCTCGTCTCATCAACTTGTCGCACTTACGTACCGGTAGTCACGCCGACTTGACCAAGCTTCCGGGGGATGGGATCATGTTCAACGCCACTCTCGTGCTCATCCGTCTCTCGACGCCGTTTTTGGACTACCCCGTGTACTCAAAGCTCGATAAGATTGCCATGAATTATGTCGACACCGAGGGGCTGGTGCTCAACGTCGATGAAGAACTGAGAGTGAATGCCTCGCTCGACGAAGTCAAAGAATGGAGACTGCAACAGATGGAGACTGAACCCAACTTCATCAGTCACTGTTTCTACCTTACTCTCACTTACTTACACTACGGTATGGGTGGTATCTTTCTGCACGCACTGAGAATCAAGCAGCAACTTAAGCAATTGTACCAACGGTTATCGATGATTGAAGACGAAAGCCAATCTCAAAGCAACGCGGCCATGGCGGCGATGATTCGCGGTAACTTCCTTCCTCGCTTGAAGCAGCAAGCGCAACAGTGGGAACTGCACCGCCACACCATCTTGGCATTATTCGGTCTGCAAGAGCTCGAGCTCGAAATCTTCGACTTTGTCGTCGGCTGCTGCACTTACTTCATGTACGTGATCGACCCCAACCACGCCTACCCTAAGCAAAAGTTGTCGATCCCCTACTTTGAATACAGTGACGTCAGCCAGCTCGACGACGCCGATTTTTTGCGGTCGAAAGCCCCCGTCCCTTGGCGGTTCATGCCTGAGTACATGATTGAGGGTATCATCAACTTCTGCAAGTTTTCCACCGAGTTTATGGCGTGTCCGTTATTGCGCAGTGACGAACGCAAAATCATGGTGTTCATTGAGCTTGCCATCGTGTTGTTGCGCTGTCCTGAGCTTCTCGGTAACCCCCACATGAAGCTGAACCTTGTTGAGCTCTTATTTATTGGCTCGTTGCCGATGCAAAATGGCACTCCGGGCTTCTTTGTGCCGATTTTCCAGCTGAACCCGATGGTCAAGGACAACTTGTTGTTCTGTCTTTTGGACTTCTACGTCATGGTGGAAAAGACCGGTGCCCTGTCTCAGTTCTACGACAAGTTCAACTCGCGGTACCACGTGCTGGTGATCTTGGAGGAAATCTGGAAAGGTGGTGCCCACTACAAGCTGCAGCTTTCGGACTACTCGAAGAAGCATGTTAGTTTCTTCGTGCGGTTCGTGGCGAGAATGCTCAACGACACCACATACTTGTTGGACGAACTGTTCAATGACTTGGCGAAAATTCATGACTACCAAACAGAGATCAAGCATCGGGCTCAAGGCGGCCCCGCTAACGAAGATTTGGGCACCGACGAAGAGTTGGCAGAAAAGTTGGAGCTGTCGGAGCGCACGGCCCGTTCCTGCTTAGGCTTGGCCAACAAGACAATCGAGTTGTTCAAGTTGTTCAGTAAGGAAGTGCCGAAAGCCTTTACGCTTGATGAAGTTGTGGACCGGTTGGCGGCAATGGTTGACTACAACTTGGGGGTGCTTGTTGGACCCAAGTGTCTGAACCTCAAAGTGGATCAGCCGGAAAAGTACTCGTTTGACCCTAAGCGCACCTTGCAGGACTTGTGTGTTATCTACGTCAATTTGAGTAGTCAGGATAAGTTTGTCAAAGCGGTGTCGCGTGATGGACGGTCGTTTAACATTGCTCACTTCCGCAAAGCGCAAAACATTTTGGCAAGCAAGACATTCACTGATCCTAAGTTGTTGGATAAGTTTATTGCATTTGCCGAGGAGGCTGAGTCTAAGCGCCAAGCCGAGGAGGACGAGGATCTTGCCCTTGGCGATGTTCCTGATGAATTCTTGGACCCGTTGATGTTCACGCTTATGGAGGACCCCGTCATCTTGCCCAAGTCGAGAATCAGTATTGATCGCTCCACCATCAAGGCTCACTTGTTGAGTGACCCCACTGATCCGTTTAACCGGAGCCCGCTTAAGTTAGAGGATGTGATCCCTGATGAGGAATTGAAGGCAAAGATCGAGGAGTTCAAGCAGTCGAAGCGTAATACGTAAAATAGCATTTAGATTCATAATAACGAAATTATTGAAGCGCTAGAAGTATTGATTTAAGCGTGGTAAGAATCTCTTAAGGTTTACTCTACCTTGGTTGGTGACAACGCAACTACCATACTAGCTTGAGTTCAGCCGATGCGAACTGATGATGAAAGTTATTATAATATCATTTCCATCTCAGGACAACCACGATTACTTTGTGTCTACTTTTTGAGGGACCTATTACTGAAAGTTTGTATTAGGTGTACGAACGAGAGTTCGAGCTGGGGTGGTGGCTACAACTGCTCCATTACCTTTCTATTACATATACATCAAAACCCGAGTATGAGGACACCTAAGCCTTGATGGCGAACTTTCTTTGGGGGAAAGCGACGGCTCTCTTCTTGGCCTTTTCGGTCTTGAGCGACTTTTCTTCCTTGGTCAAGGCTCTTCTCAAAGCTCTGGTCTTCTTGGCTCTCAAGTCCTTGGGGATGTACTTCTTGCCTTCGTAGAAGCCTCTGACGGTTTCTCTTTGGTTTTGGTTGATGACGGTCAACACTCTGGCGATGTTCTTTCTCACAATGTTGATTCTGGGCAACGAAGCCTTTTGGATTTGTTGCACTCTCAAGGTGGCCAACTCTTGCTTGAGCTCAACGAGCTGAGTTTGCAATTCTTCCTTGGACTTGGTTCTGATTTGGTGAGCCTTGATCACGGACTATAATGTTAGTTTTCTGATGAGGTTGAATATGGAAGAACAGGTCCCCGATGAACACCCTGACAACACGACGCTTGAATGAAACACGGGAACAGTTTCATGGTAAGCGTATGCTTTCACCGTCTGGCGTGGTCAGCCTGAATAAGGGCACATCGTCTCATGGTACCATGTTTGGCGGGTCACTTACCATCTCGATGTATGGGTGAAAAATTTGACTGGAGGTTTACCAATAGTGTGTTCGCGCCGGCCTGCAGAGAGTCGCTGGGGGGGTGAGCCGCAGTGGGAGCCTGGTGCGCGCACGACATCTGCTCGCCAGACCACGTGCACTTAGGGTAGCTAACCCTAACCCTCACCTTTAAGTGACTATATTCCACAGTGGCGTTAAGGAGCATTTAGTGGCACCGATGCCGCCCTCAGCCCCGTGAGTTTGTGGTGATAATGATCGGCCACACGACGCTGATACAAATTATCTGATAACATACAGGTGATTAGCCACATAACGTAAATTAAGCAGTATACGGTGACAGTGATTGGTAAACCACTATAGCCAATTACTCGTAGCCCGTTTGGTAGTAGCACCAGGGCTTCTGAGATCATGATCTCGTGCTAGCCGCCGCTATCGGCAACTACAGGAGGGGAGCACGCCCGGTGCCAGGGGCGGGTGATCGGCCCACACGCCGGCAACAGTCCCAATTGGTCGAAGGTCACTTGATCGTAAGTGGTCACACGTTGCGACGGGAAAGAAAAAAGGGAGGAGCCGCCAGGGCGTGGGTGGGGGAGGAGGCACGATAGAGGACACGAAAATAGGTCGGCCATGCTAGCGGAGGAGTGCCAGTTTCTACTTTACATTTATTACTAGCATGACACAGCGTTTACCAGAAAACCTGCACCGTTTAATAAATCAATGGAATCCCTAGCTCGAGTTCTTCAAGTTGGTGGACAACCATTCCAAACCTTCGTACAAACCATCCCCGGTGGTGGCACAGGTGGCTTGGATGTACCAAGGCCGTTGGCGGATGGAGTGCAACCCCAACTTTTCGGTGATTTCCGCCGCGTTCATGGCGTTGGGCAAATCCTGCTTGTTGGCGAACACCAACAACAACGCATCTCTCAATTCGTCTTCGTTCAACATTTGCTGCAATTCTTCTCTGGCCTCGGCGATACGTTCTCTGTCGTTGGAGTCGACGACGAAAATGATCCCTTGGGTGTTTTGGAAGTAGTATCTCCACAACGGTCTGATCTTGTCCTGCCCACCGACGTCCCACACGGTGAAGGAAATGTTCTTGTATTCGACGGTTTCGACATTGAACCCGATGGTGGGGATGGTGGTGACAATCTCCCCCAACTTCAACTTGTAAAGAATGGTGGTCTTACCCGCAGCGTCAAGACCCACCATCAAGATACGCATCTCCTTGTTACCGAGGAGACTCGAAAACAACTTGGAAAACGACAACCCCATGTTTGATCGTGTGGTGAGTAGGTGAAATGGACAACAAATCTCGCTGAGAAAAATTAATTGTCGCCCGGTACTGCAGATAAACGTAAGTTACCACGTACGCCAGTAGTGCTAGGGCGAGAATGCTAGCCCGCCAACACCACCGCTAGCGCCACTTATAAGTGAATTTTAACTTCTAATTACGATTTTGGTTGCCTGCACATCTATCGGTCATTGTCGTCGTCGCTCAATACCAATTAAGCTCTTGTGTTCAGGCGTGGCTGGGCCAAGCGACGACGGAATTACATATGATCCGCCGCCACGCACCACTACCCCTTTCAGCCAGAGACCGCCACCGACGTAGCCTACGCCTGGACGCCTACACACGCTTTTGTTTGATTCGATTTTTCGTCGAGTTTCGCCGTAAATGGTGCCACTAAGATCATCGACGACAAAAATGATACGAGCAATCGTGTACAGCCGGGTACGACAAAAGCACACTTCTTTTTTTTTTTTGGAATAATGACACGTCCGCGCGGCACGGTGGCAAAAAGCGAGCAGTTTTTGACGGACGCGTGCGATCACAATGTGCGTGAGGCAAATGCGCTAGAATCCCACCTGGGAGTAGGAGGGGTATATATATTATGCTATATGAGGGACTCACTTGCCCAAATTCATCTTGCAATCAGAAAACTTTCTGAGAGCACGCAAAAACACCGCGTAGGACATGTGGCTGTTATCGGGCTCCCAGTAGATTTCCGATAACCGGAGATGCCACGGCGGGTAGTCCTGGAAGTCTAACGTGGGCCCAAAGCTGATGAGCAAGTCCGGTTCCGGCCCCACCAACTCAAGCAATTCCTCGTTGATGAGGTCGACCAGAATATCCTTGACGCTCAACTCGTTGTTTTGCGCCAATTCGCTCATCGTCTTGGTGAGCTCGACGATGGTGGGCTTGCCGTCGCTGCGCAGCAATAAGTGGATGTGTAAATCTCTGTCACCGTTAGTCAATTCCAGTCCGGTGGTGATGTTGGCATGAGGGACGTGGATCTGGTACAGGGGCTTGTGGTCGGTGCCAAAGTAGTTGGCCAAGGTCTTGTCCATGTGGCGCATGAGCAGACTCAAGTCCAGCCGGGTGTTGATGGCACCAGTATATTCGTAGACGGTTAAATGAGAAATGCCGGCCAGAATCAGCCACGCCGCCAATTCCAGAATATCGGCCACAAGGCCATCGACGCCGCCGTTCTCATCGCCGACATCTTTAAGGGTCAAGATGCATGCCAATTTCTTGGGGACTTTAGTCAATTTGTTCACGTCCTCTCGGATGACACTCGGCAGCCGATTGTGGTAGTACGTAAGCGATAACACCTTAAGCACCGCCCGATGGCGCACCACTTGGATGTTTTTGAACACCGCAATCCAAAAGTAGATGGTAAGAAGGGTCATGTACGACATCAACCGGAGAAGCGCCTGCTGCAGCAGCATCACCATCAGCTGGACGAATTTAGCTGACACTACTGTCGACGCCCGGTTGCTGCCCTGGGCCACCGCCGTGGCTGAGGTGGTGACTTGGTCCGGTTGATGCGCCGACGCCACCTGGAGTTCCGCCGCCACCTCCTTCACCGCCACCAGTCTCGGTTTAGCTTCGCTGGCTTCGGCAACACTAATACCAGTAGCTTGTACTTCGCTAACCACCTCGGATTCGTCTCTGTCGGCACTCATGTTGAAAGGGGGCTCGGTTATCTCAAGGGTAGGAGTCAGGTCGCACTGTGTAGTGAGAGTGCCAAATAAAGTGGTGCGGGAGACGCTGGGCCATACGAAATACGAAAGCGCAAATCCGATGTTCCCCACAGTGGCGACGGTTTCGGTTTCAGCACCAGTTACGGTTTCAAGTAGCCGAAAACCATTATGTGAAACACAAACCCCGCTCACAAGTTCGAAACACACCGCTCGCGAGCTTGGCGGTGCGGCATTATTAATGATTTGCATGCCCACTCGGGGTTCAGCCCCACCCCAGCGACATAGTCTAATTCCTGCTCAAAAAAAAACAGCGCTTGGTCATGTTCCACAAAACCCCAGAAGTGACCTTCGGGCCGACCCCGAACCCTTTGCCTCATACTAAACTTTTTTTTTTTTTAAGCAAAGGAAAAAGCCAAGCCCGCCGACGACGTCGTATAAACGCTTGTGTATTTCTTCGCCACTAGCCGACGCCTCTTTTGGCTGCCCCTCACAACCCTTTTCAGCAGGGCCTTCCTTATTTTTCCTTCTTCGTGCGACTTGAGCTTATCACACTACCTTGATCGTGGGGGGATGTGGCACCTTATCGAGAAGCTCCTCTACGATAACCTGGAGGAAGAGCAGTGGCAGAAGATGCGGCAGAAGCTGCTGCTGCGATCGGCGTTTGTGGTGGGGTTGGTCGCGGCCATGGGGGGCTTCCTCTACGGTTACGACACCGGGCTAATAAATGACATTTTGGAAATGGAATACGTCAAGCAGACGTTCCCCGCCAACCGGGTGATGTTCACCGCCCACGAACGGGCAGTGATCACCGCCATGTTGTCTCTCGGCACCTTTTTCGGCGCCATCGGGGCGCCGCTATGGCTGGATAAATACGGGCGCAAAAACGCAATCATCATGCTGGCGGCGTGTGTGTTCAGTATCGGCAACGTCGTCCAGACGGCCTCATATAATATAGCGATGATGTGTGTGGGACGGTTTGTCCTGGGGCTCCTGGTGGGCGTACTCTCCGCAGTCGTCCCGTTGTACCAGGCCGAGGCGTCACCCAAGTGGGTAAGAGGGCTGATTGTGTTCACGTATCAGTGGGCAATCACCTGGGGCCTTCTCATATCGCTGGCGATCTGCCAGGGCACCCGCCACTTCATGTCGGCCGCCAGCTACCGGTTGCCGATCGGGCTCCAGTTTGTGTGGGCGTTATGCCTCTCTTGCGGCATGTTGTTTCTCCCCGAGCTGCCCCGGTACTACGTGCAGAAAAACCAGTTGGAAAAAGCCCTTAATAGCTTATCACACCTACGAAAATTGCCGGAAGACGATCCCGACTTAATCGAAGAGCTTGTCGAAATTAAAGCGAATTACGACTATGAAATGTCGTTCGGCAAAACCAGCTACCTCGACTGCTTCCGCAGCGGGGGCGGGCGCCACAAGCAAGTGCTCCGGATGTGGACGGGGATCGGCGTGCAAGCGTTTCAACAGTGCACTGGCATCAACTTTGTGTTTTACTTTGGGCTTAATTTTTTCAACAATATCAGTGTGCCCAACGCCTACATCATGAGTTTTACCACCTACTGTACCAACACAGTGTTCAGTGTCCCTGGTATTCTTCTTATTGATGTCATCGGTCGGCGTAAACTTTTAATGGTGGGTGGGGTGGGGATGGCGGTGAGTAATCTCATCATCGGCATTCTCGGCGTCACCATCCATTCAAGCAAAGTGAAGCTGGCGGTGTGCGTGCTGTTCTCGTGTCTATTCATTGCGTTCTTCGCCTCCACCTGGGGTGGTGTGGCGTGGGCGCTCCCCTCGGACATTTTTGGTATCCTGATCCGGCAGAAGGCGATCTCGCTTACCACCGCCACCAACTGGTTGATGAACTTCATATTCTGCATTATTACACCGTACCTCATCGACACCGGCAAGCACACGGCGAAGATGGGTACCAACATCTTTTTCTTGTGGGGCGGGCTTAATATTGCCGGTACGATATTTCTGTACCTTGTTGTGTACGAGACCCGGGGCTTGAAGCTTGAAGAGGTCGACTACATGTACATGCACTGCCGCAACGCCCGCGAGCTGACCAAGTTCCAGCTGACCAAGATCGATTACGACAATTACGACAGCACGGCGATGATCTATACCTACCTGGACGCCGCGCTGACCACTAGCGGTTCCCTGGAGCCGCTGCCGCTTCCCAAAGATACCCTCGCCATGATCCCTTTCTCCAACCTGAGCATCGACGGCGATCTGACGAGCGCGGACTTGAGCAAGCGACGCCGGACGTCGCTGCAATCGCTGCCGCTGCTGCTGGCGGCGACCCCCGTTCCCGCATTTATCCCCACCATATGTCCGTTGGCGCTGCCGCCGCTGGACCTGTCGTCCGACCTGGAGTCAGACGACGACGATGCCGCCGTCGCTCCGACTGCTGCTTAGGGACAAAATGTAAACACTTCCCGCTACTGCCGCCTTCCCTTCCCCAAAAATTATTTTTGTCGGGGAGTGGGTGGTAGTGGCCCCTGTATTATAGCTTCTGCGAAGATAGCTAACGATTTTTAATGATTCACGAATTTTACCCCACCTCGCCTCACCGCCCAGTTATGAACCCCAATGGTCTCGCCAATGGGGAAGTCGGTGGTCACAGCCGTTTCGTTGCCATCACTCACCCGTAGTCGTCGGTTACCGTAAACGTTACCAATTGTTCCGACCCGTCGCCTCCGAACACTCGTAGACGTCCCATGACTAAGGCAATCATCACTGTAGCCACACCCGAAGGAACGATGTGCCGAAAAACACCCTCTCCCTTATCATGACATAATTCTTGGATTAGGCCAAACGAGGGTGTTTGTGGCAATGACATTTGCGGCATTGATGTAATGACGTGAGGAAGCCCCCCTACTAGGCAAAGATAAGCAGCACCCCGGCGTATCTGCTCGTGAAATTTTGGGGTGTGGAATGGAAGGCAGCGTGTACCTTGATTTTTTTTTCCTTGCAGTGTTTTCCTTCCCAGTGTTTGGACATTACTGTATTAGCTCGCCATTTTTTTTTTTACTAACCCCGAGGAGCGTTTGCAATAATATCATAAAATCGAGGTTACGACAAACCGAGAGCCATGAGAGGAAGGAAGTACAATGTTGAGTGAGAGTGACTTTATTTTGAAGCGAGCGTAGAAGAGGGTTTGCGGGTGCGGTATTAATAGAGTCACCCTATTTGGTTGCCATTTCAACCCCTTGGCGGTGTCAACTCCTCGGGGCAATTATTACAGGCAAGCGCTAGAGGTCAGGCAGCTTCTGCCGTCCATGCGGCACACATGGGACGTCGACTATTGTTTGACTAAGGTGGACCGGGAAACAGGGTCGCTCGTGTTGCCCGGGTGCAGGAGCGAGCGAAGCACGGACACGGAAATAAACGGTAGCCATAAGGCTCCGTCGCCGGTAAACGAGGGAGGGGACGGGGGAGGGACCCTCTCCCCCAGGTCATCGAATAACGGCGACACCCTGGAGTGTGAGCTCTGGAGCAATCCCCGACCATTATTCGACACACGGCGGCAGCATGAGATGGGAGCAGTACCAGTCACGAGCGTATGGCCCGCCAAAGGCAGGCAGCCATTATTATGGTTGGCCCAGTTGCTGATGAGGTGCTGTCGGTTGACGTAATAAACGGCTCAAGCAACCCTTGCTCTTGCAGAGGGTGCAGCGAGGAACAGCGACGGGCGAGCGCCTCCTCCACCCTCGGAGATCGCTTTGTTTTGCCCTCGGCTGTAGTAGGGAAGTGACCCTAATTCGAGTCAGCCGCATGACATCACCCCACCCCGGATTCCGCCTGACGAAGTCATTTCGCTTCCCCCTAACCCCTAACCCCCGATACCCATTGACCATGGACCACGACGCCTACCCTATCCACGAGGCCCTCCAGAAGGGCAACCACAACATTGCTCTCCAGCTCCTCCACCAGAAGCCTAAGGACGTCACCAAAACCGACGCCGACGGCCGCACCCCGTTGCACTGGGCGGTTCTGGCCAACGATAACGCCATGGTTAAGGCGATAATCGAGGACGACGCGTTTGCTAAGTGGGCCGACGACGTCATTGAGGCCGAGGACGACAGCGGCTGGACGCCGTTACACATCGCCGTGGCTAACGGCAATGAGGAATTGGTGGCGTATCTTCTCGACCACGGCGCCGATGTTAACGCCACCACTGGCAATGGCACCACCACTTTACACTTAGCGGTGCTGAAGCTGCCCTCGGTAGTGCCGCAATTATTGGCCCATAAGGCGCTGTTTCGCCCGGACGGGGCCGGATATACTCCGCTTCACCGGGCAGCCGCCAAGGGCTCGCAACCTATAATCACCCAATTGGTCGAGGCTAAAGGCGCTTCGGTCATTGACAAGCGCGACAATGATGGGTGGACGGCGTTGCACCACGCCATGGCCGAGGGCCACGGTGAGGCCGCCGTCCAGCTTATTGGCCTTGGCGCCGACGCCACCATCAAGTCCCACGACGGCGAGTCCCCCCATGACGTTGCTGCCCCGAAAGTTAGTCAGTATGTGTATAGTTGCTGTGGCTCTAAATAATATTCTGCCCAATCGGGAAAGGCGCTTCCCGAATCTACCGGGTAAACACAGGAGAAAAAAAAAATAGCACGAGGGATATATTAATTGACACTCGCCCGCCTTCGAACCTCCCTCAGTCAATTGATAGAAGAAAATGCTTGCCATTGGTGACACCATCCTCAGAGCGTTCAACTTCGTGTTGTTAGCGTGTGCCATCGGTTTGACCGGTTCGCTTGCCGCTACCACCATCAACCATTACAACCCCCAAGTGTCGTTCGCCGTGTTCGCGTCGGCGTTCGGTTTGCTCACCCTGTCCATCTACGGTGTGTTGGCCTACTTCATCGCCGCCTTGGCCTGGCCCGTCATCTTGTGGATCTTTGACTTCCTCAACTTTGTCTTCACCTTTGCCGCCGCCACCGCCATCGCCGCCAACATCCACTGCCACTCGTGTGGTAACAAGGAATACCGTGACCACAACAACATCATCCAAGGGTCGACCCAACGGTGCAGAAAGGCGCAAGCCTCCGTCGCCTTCCTCTACATCTCCGCCTTTGTCTTCATTGCTTCGGGGGTGTTCTCGTTCATCTCGATGGTGAGAGGTGGTGCCTTTAGCTACGGCAGAAGACCCGCTGCTCCTAGAGTCGGTCTCCCCACCATGTCGCAAGTCTAAATAATCCATACCCATGCAACTGCCAGCTTTATGGGCTGGACCTCCTCCCTTAGCCTTAGACAAAGAGTGAGGTCTTAGTTAATGCTTAATAATACGTGTGAACGGAACCTAGTCACTTGTGGCCCCTTGTAGCAAACTTGCCCTTGATAGCAATAGCCAAGACTCCTTCTCCCTCAGAACACCAATTTCATCTCGGCGGGCCACGCAACGTCATTGTGCCGGCACGCATGCTTCAGTTTGTTTATATGACCCTGCCGACATCATGCGGCAATAGTGAGAGCCCCCGATAGCCACCTATCGCTCCATCTTCGTGTATTTACGGGTGGGATACTTATCTCGACGGCGCCAATTACCCACGGGCGCCGACACCGAGATCCCAAGAAAACAGGCCCACCCCCTGGTGTTTGTGGCCGTCACTCCTTTAAACTATCGTCATCGTATGCGCGGTGCCGCCTCAGGAATGTCTTGACGATGCACCAGTGACTCTGCACCATCCATCGGCGCGTTCTCCCGCTGTGCCAGAACCGCAGCGGCGCCCGCCTTTCCCCCTCGCTGCCTGTCACTTCACTGGCATACGAAGCGGGACACGGCCGCCCACGTTCGTCCACCAGGTCCCCGAAGCCACTGAAACGCCAGTTCCGACCTGTAAGCAACCACGCTCGTAGTTAGGTTTGCCGTGGTCGTGGCAGGGCAGCTAATTTTAGGCAATGCATAGTTTTTTCTCCCGTCTCTCATCCTCAGTCACCACCTGAGTCGACACCTACATACGGGGCCACATCCACTTTACCATTAGTAAAACCGATGGTGAAACCGCTACTGACACCACCACCGCGTTCGCTCAAGTAGTGACACAAATCTCAGCGTTTATCGTAAAAGTATTATCTATGGACACGCTAGTGGAATTCCTTATTGTCCACAACTTCCGACTTTTGGCGCCGCCGATCAATGGGCGTGTGTCGGTGATCCTGAGGGCTTATGAGGACTGGGGGGGACGCGACTTTAGCGACGAGCTTCGCCGTTTATTTGTTTGGTTCCCGCAGGCGGTGGTGGTGGAATACGACGTTATCGTGTGGCTTGACGTCCCCGCTCTCGTCCACGTTCATCGAAAAAACAAACACGTCGATTACACTCCACGGATAGCCGAGCCCATAATTCCAACTACGCTTTTGGGCCACTTCCAAAATGAACCAGCGCCGTACGATGTCACCCCCGAAACTGGTGGTGACGACCAGGTGATGGCCAGCGCGTTTGTCGTAGACTTTGCTAGCTTTCACTGCCAGCTCATGGTGCCGGTGGCGACGCTGCAGCTCCAAAAAATGGTAACGACGGGTGAAAGCCGTACCAAGCCGTTCTACGGCGTTTGCCAGGACCAATCTCACCAACACAAACTTGGCCAGGTGTTATTAGCCCTGTCGGCAAAGTCGGTGCTGCTGGTAGCTTTCCACAAACTAGTAGCTAAATCAAGCTTGATCTCAACTGACATAACCGAGTGTTTGCAAACTTACACTCATTATGTTCCCATTGTCAATCTGGCCACCGACCCTCTGTTAGGCGACTGCCTGTACTTGGATGGATGCCATAAAAAGGACACCTGTCGCTACATTCACTACTTGACGGTGGACCCCCTCTACCCGCCCCCGGATACGAAACAGTTCCCGCTACCCGATTACGACACTGGCACCTTGCTCCGTCATCACTCGCACAGGGTCCCTCCCCAATGGGTGTGTTGTGATCTTCGGTATATACCTTTCGACATTTTTGGGAAGTACGCCGCGATTATCGCCGATCCCGCATGGAAAATTCATGTTAATGCAACTAAAGATGCATCACTGGATGAAGAATTTGGCCACTTGGACATTCCTAAACTCCAGGATGAAGGCGTGCTTATGGTGTGGAGTACCGCCCGCACCCTCGAGCGGGCTCGAGATGTCATGCGCAAATGGGGCTACCAAGTGAATGATGAAGTGCTCTGGATTAAAGTGAATCAACTAAAGCGAACGATTGTTACTGGCCGCACTGGCCATTGGTTGAATCATTCGAAGGAGCACTTAGTGGTGGGGGTTAAAGGCCGTCCGCGATGGTTGAGACGACAGATCGACCTAGACTACGTGGTATCAAATTGTCGAGAAACCTCCCGCAAGCCCGACGAGATTTACGACATCGTTGAACGCATGGTGGGGCCCCACGCTCGTAAACTTGAGCTTTTTGGTCGAACTCATAACACTCGGCCGGGATGGATGACGTTGGGCGGGCAATTGCTGGGTCATCACATTGAAGAGCCCGAAGTGAAACACAAATACGACCAGTATGCCGCTCAGCGGAACCCTCGGGGCCTTAACGTCAGTGAGTTTGCCGACCAACGTCGTCCCTCCCGCAAAAAGAAAAATAACCGTTGAACATATGAGCAAACGTCTCTAATTACAAACAGAGTGACTTCATTTATTGAGCCTTCTTTCTAAGCTTAAACTCAGCAATTCTCTTACCGGCCTCGTTGTCCATCTGCTTCTTAAGATCTTTTCTCAACCCTAAGGCAAACGCAATCTCAAACGCCACAAAAAACGGCGCCAACACCAATGCCTGCAAAAGGTTGTCCAACAATGCTGGAGCCCGCTTCTCGTGGACGCCGTGACCATAGAATTGAGCTAACCACAGCACCACATGAGCAATGGCCGCCACCTGGATGGTGTGAGATTGACCGGCGGCATCTTGGCCGATATAGTACTGGCGAATGAAGTTGTAGAACGTCACAAGCACCGCCATCAGGGGGATACCACACTTCCAGTCAAGAAGCACGTAGTAGATGCCGTAACTCCAAGCGACAAGCCCGCCGAGAGTGACGTAGGGGTGAGCCGGGCCGACGACTTCATACCGCTGGAGTAAAGTGATTGCCAGTAACAAGATCACGGGGATGCATGCCAAGTGGATGGCAACATTGGTGTGGTTGAAGTGGTACAGCCGGTAGAACACCAAGTGGCCTTTCAAGTCGAACAAACCCGCCATGGTATTTTAGTGGTTGAAGGAGGCGTTTGCACGGACAGGAGGATTGCGAAATGCGGAGACCAACGATAATTACTGGAGTCGCGACAATTAGGGTCGCCCGAGCCGAAGAGTGCAATTGTAGCGAGGGGAGACCCGGAAACAACCCGAGTCACATGAAATTAAAGTCAGCGTCACAGGAGGATGAGGAGGGGAGGAGCAGAGACCCCCGATACATTTCTGCAGCTCATTTACACGCCCGCACGATCTTGGCGTGACCGGATTTAAATAAGCGCATTTCTGAGCAAACGTCAGGCAAATTAGACTTCCGAGGTTACAGCGTCCGAGGCATTTCTCAGGGGGTGAATGACGACACAATAGTGCCTGTGGCGAATGCCCACTGACGACAATGACGCTAGCGCTGACGCCAGGCGATGAGGTTGCCGTTTGCCTCATCCCGTAATTTTCGCAACCAGGTTCCCTAAGGGCGTAGCAACATTTAATTGACGAGCAAAATTTGTTATAAAAGTGAGCAAGGTAGCCGTCAGTTGCCATGGCCAGAATTAAGTTCATCGACTGATTAATTTCTAACTCAAAATCTTTTACCAATTGAATGAATTTGTGTATTCTCTCTATGTAGTTAAAATCGCAAAAAAAATTATTCCTCGATGCATCATCCTGTGCTTAATAATCCAAACGGATATCGAGATTGGGCCGCTTAACGCCGCGCTTCTTCGCCAGCTTCTTGCCCAGCTCAAACGCCGCCGCCTGCTTCAAGTCACGCCCGACGTTGTCCAAGTCCTTCACCTTGTAGATTCTCACGATCCAGTTTTGCGAGGTGAATGCCTCTTCCAAAGTCGACAATTCGGGGGCGTTCTTAGCGGGGATAGTTTGGCCCCGCACTCTATCGGTGCCGTCGCCGCCAAATAACTCATTGAAGCGGTAGTACGACATCTTGTACATAAGCGAATCCTTCATCGTCGGCGACGCCTCGCCGTCAACCTTATATTCCCCTCTTTGCGAGAAGAACGACCGCTCGCTCACTTCCTCAGGCCAGATACCCTCGGAGATTCTCACCATCCAGAGGAACTTGTTCATGTCGTCCCCTGAGTAGCCCAAAAGCCCGCCGAAAATCACCAACACGTAGTCGACGTCGTGCTGGCGCAAAATCTCGTAGGCCTTTTCTTCACTGGAGCACATTGCCTTACCCACGGTGGCAATGTGGGTGTTGTTCCAGGTGTTGTTGTCGACCAAAGTGGTACGGTCGGCCATCCCCCCGATCTGGTACCCGTAATCCCACCACGCCATCACTTTAGCGTCTTCAGGGGTGTTCATGCGGAGCCAGTAGTAGGCTTCACGGTAGTCATCGATGATTTGTTGAGAGCCATCGGGATTTCTCAGCGCAAGCACCACCGACGGCGACGAGTAGGCGTTGGAGGTGACCCAGGTGCAGTGCAACACGAAGTAGAACAAGTAAAAGCCAAACGACAAAAGCACCACCGCCTTAGCCAATAACAGGAACAATGGGAACCCACGTTGCTTAGTAGTTTTCTTTGACGACTTTTCTTCGACTTCCACTTCCTCAGTGAAAAGTTCGACCACGTTCAAGTACACGTCAAACAACTTGGAAAGAGCGATAGCAGCCGACACGCAGATCACGGGGGTCAACGTCAACATCAACCGCACCATCACCCCGGCGAAGTACGAGCACAACACCCCGTAGATGATGACAAACACGTGTTCGTCCTTAAGTTCCTGGAAGCACAAGTAGAGACCAGCGGGGAACAACCAGATGAGCATCGAGGTGTCAAAGAAGAACGCCGGCCACGCTGTGGGCTGGTGTTCCGACACCGACGCGATAATGGGGATGTGGATCTTGGCGTAGTTGGTGTCCCACAACGAGTAGAAACGACCGGTCCAGGGGGCGATGAGGCCAGCGGCGGTGAGGGCCACCAACCCTAAGATCCCCATCAAGACAACAGCCACTACCGATACCGTCAAGAACGTCTTGAACTGCTTGGTGTTGATGTTCGACCGCACGTAGTCGCCAAACGCCACTAATTGCACGAGGCCAAACACGCCGAATGCCGCCATGTGGTCGTTGGAGCGGATAGGCAAGAACCCGACGAAGGGGATCTGCATCGACGCCAACGTCCCGAGGGCGTACCAGGTGGTATAGGCCGAGTACACCTTCCACGTGTATCTGCCCATCAAGATGAGGACAAACACGTGTAAGGGAATGAGGTTAGTGATGAACACGTAACCACCCCATGCCGATACCATGTAGAAGTAGAATAACGCGGTGATCGTCCCGTAGAGGATGGAACCAAGCTTAAGCGCTTTGATCCAGAAGTAGAACGTCGCCATCAATAAAGTGATGGCGATGGCTTCGTTATCGTAGGAACCGGCTACCGACCGCGAAATGTAACCAGGGGCAATGCCCATAAAGATAGCGGCGAGCAAACCAGCGTTAGAGTCCTTCATCTCCTTAGTGAACAAGTAGGTGAAAATGGCAGTCAAACCGGAGAAAGCGGGGGCTAACATCACGCAGATGTTACGGATATCGATGGGGAGGGCAAACCAGTTGCGCAACGCGTGCCAGATGGCGCCCAGGGTCACCATGAGCCCCGGGTAGAGCGTCCCCCCAGTGACCCGCCCGAGCGGGTACCAGGTGCGGTCATCGAACCAATTGAGGAACTCGTAGAAGGAGTGGGTGACCAAGTACTTGGTGGCGCGGAAGTTGAACCAGGGGTCGAACTCGTGGATGATCAGCTCGAAGCGGATCACCGAGAACAACCGCAGCAGCACTGCCGCCCCGGCAATTGATATGAAGATGATCGCCCGGAGGAGGAGGCGGATGGTGTCGACCTTCACTCCGGCAATGGTGGCACTAGACTTCGCCATTGTTCACCGAGAGCTTATGTTGACGTGTGAAAAATGTGTCCCGGTGGTAGCGCTAATTAGCGCGCCTGCCTGAGCGCGTGGCATTGTCGGGAGTCGAACTTGAGGCTATGGTGCGCAAGGGATAGTCAGGGGTTTGAGGCAAGGAGGGGTGAAAAATGGGACAAATAAGGGGCGAGATGTGAGTCCTACGGTGAGTCACGGGGGCTGGCGGGGTTCCGACTCATACACGTATCCTAGAGTGATGATTGCTTGTCGACGACGTCGGTGAGTGGTTTTTTTCCTCGGATTTCGGTGGCGTTCGGCGATAGGTCTTTCGGAGTACCTCTCTGCACTTGGTAACAGTTTCCGCAAATTCAAGAAATTTATATGGGGGAGGAACAATGATGAGGAGAGTAGGAGTTCAAAACTTGGGGATTATAAAAAGTGTAAGCCTAAAGTCAAAGTCATTAACTCACTAATCAGGTTTTAACGTATTGTCAGTGTCATTCCCTGAAAGTCCGGAGTGAAAAAGTGTCATTCCTTTTTCCTGGGGTATGCAGAAGGGTGACAGCCAATACGCCGGAACCGGTGAGTCACATAAGGCCACCTATATAGCGCCGGTATTCTTCGCTCACTGACCGCTAAACTTCCACGATGGAGATTCCCACCAACCGGATTGGCACCGCTAAGATCATCAACGTCCCCAGATCAACCCAAAGGGAACGCAAAGTGCACTTCGCCGAGGAGCCAGAGTACCTCATCCAGTCGGTGGCTCCCAAGCTCCCCTACATCGACCTGGGGTGGCTCGAGCTGATCCCCACTGACCAGGACAATTTATATGGCCGGGGAGTGAGACAGCTTAAGTGTCTCTGGGCGGAGGCTGGAGTGAAGCTAGGGTTCAACGACGCCGAGATCAAGGCGCTCGTGTGCCTGATGATGAGTGTCGGCAACTTGAGTCAGGTGGCCCGGCTGTACCCCGAGTTGTTCGTCGGCAATGACGTCGAGCTCCACTACCAGCTCGTGCGCTACGTCGGCGCTGTGTGTGAGTGGTACTGTGAGTACTCGCCCGAGCTACTCGAGTGGTTCGACGAGACCTACACCTCCCTCTTACAAGACGGCACCGTCACTCGGGCTGAGTGTGCCGATAACGTCAACTACAACTGGCACTCGCGCCGCCAGCGCCACCACACCATCCGCGAGCTTAGCTACAGCTCCGACGACGACAGTTCGTGACTCAGGGCTGGTCCCCTGACTCACGTATACAATTTACGACTTATCAAGTGCGGTCGCGAGGCACGACCCAGATGAAAATTATAGAGTACATAGCATAGGAGAATTTTTAATGAGGAATACCATGGTTTATTTGGTTTGGGCTTACTTTTTCTGATCTTGGTTCGAGTTCGTAGTCAATGTTTTCGTCTCATCACTGGACGCGTCAAGGAGAGCGCGTTACGGGTGCACTGTTGTGTGATGCTGCTAAACACCCATCAGGCCCAGGCGGTGTATGCCCCCGCCCAAGGGCGGCTCCAGATTCTTGCTGGACCCGGTACCGGCAAAACCAAAGTCATCGTGGCCCGGGTTGCCCATCTCATCGATGAGGGGATCCGGCCTGAAGATATCATTGTGACCACGTTCACCCGCCGAGCCACCGACGAGATGAAGGAGCGACTAGCTCAAATCACGGGCCAGGCAGCAGTGGATCGGCTCCAGATCGGGACGTTCCACTCGCTTTGTTGGCGGTTTCTCCGCAAATGGCTGATGCGACACCGGGAGTATAGTGTGGTGCTGGAACGCAACCGGTCAGCTTTGATCAAGAGGGCGATGGCTGAGCTTGGTCTTGTCAAGAAGAAGCGGTCTAACGAAAGTGGAGATAGCGACGACCATGTATTTACCCCGCTGGAGTACAGTCGCTATATCTCCAAGATGAAGAGTTTTGGCCCTGAATCGCCCGAGTTTGACAGGGCGAAAGTACAAGATGACCAGGCGTTAGTTAATGTCTACGGACGGTACCAGTCGTTGATGGATGCCCACCGCTACTTAGACTATGATGACCTTTTAGTCGAATGTTATCGCATGTTGAAACAGAGAAATCATCTCAAAAACATCAAGCACGTGCTTGTGGACGAGTTCCAAGATACAAACGACATTCAGCTTGAACTCACATACTTATTCGCTCGAGGAGACGAGCTGGCACTGGGACACAACGTGTCCATTGTCGGTGACCCCGACCAACTGATCTATAAGTTCCGCAATGCCCGAGTCGAAAACTTTGAGCGGATGAAAGAGCACTACCAGCTGCTTGGCGTGTCTACGGTGTGGTTGACGGTAAACTACCGGTCGACCCAGGGCATTTTGAACTTCTCCGAGGAGGCGATGTGTGCTCACTGGTCGAACCGAGAGAAGCGAGTGCTCAAGTCGCTGACGAACTACCTGTACAAGCCTGTGTTTCAGTGTGCTCGAGATCGGTTTTGCGAAGCCAAATGGGTCGCCAGCAATATCGAAGCGTTGTGCTCTAAGCTCAAGTTATTCACTTACGGTCAGGTGGCCATCATCGTGCGCTTTAATTACATGGTGAGGGAGATTGAGAACCAGTTGCTGAAGCAGCGTATTCCGTATAAGATGGCCAACGGCAAGAAGTTATGGGAACGGCCAGAAGTGGTAGCCCTCATCGACTATTTCGTCCTCATATGTCGCGACGACCCGCTCCTGTTTTTGGCGTTGGCTGAGTTGAAACGTGGGATCGGCAAACAGCTGGTGGACCAGATAAAGCTGATGGTGGACCAGATGACCACCGCATCATCACAATCGCTGTTTTCGCTCGAGAAAATTGAACAGAGATTGCCGCATAAATTGAGTAAAAAGCTCCACTCGTTGTTTCGATTCATTGAGGAAGCTCGACGTATGCTTAAAGAAGAGAAGTTTGATCCTCATAAGTTCTTCACGTTTGTATTGGACAAGCTGGGAATCCGTCGTGATTTCAACGTTGACGAAGCTAACGACGACGACGATATCAAAATCACTTCAGTGGTAAAGCTTGAGCCCAGCGATACCGAAGAAGACGACGATAAGGAAGAGGAAGAGACTAAACGTCGCGACCGCATCAGCAGCCACTGGGACCAAGTGGCGCAGCAGTTCCTCGTTTTCGAGCCCGATCCCATCCTCTTGGAGGACTTTGACGATGATTTCCTCACCCAGTTCCTCGATAGCATTGGCCTCTACATGATGGCGGAGGAAGATGAAAAACAGCCTAAAGTTACCATTACCACCATCCACGGGGCCAAAGGATTGGAGTGGCCCGTGGTATTCATTCCGGGGATTGTTGACGGCAGTTTCCCTCGCCACAGCAACGCCGAAGAGCTAGACGAAGAGCAGCGGTGTTTCTACGTTGCGTTAACTCGTGCCAAGTCATTACTCTACCTTCTGGCCTATGGGGCCAAGCGCCAAGAGGGAGACCGCTACCCCAGTGGCCCGTCACAGTTCCTAGACCTGATGAGCGAGTTCTACTCAGAGACGATTGAGGCGTTGGATGACCCGCTGCAGTTGTGCACTGCGCTCGGGTGTCCTGTTCCCAAAAACGCCGACGAATTGGTCAAGTCCATCCACGAGTATAATCGCAGTCTCTGCTTGGATAAGGATATCGAGAACAACCGCTTCATCACCGCTGGCTCGTTAGTGGGGTCAAAACAAAGGGGAGGTAACCGCCAACAATGGTGGAACCGCAGCGGCTCATTCAAAGGGTCTAAAGCACCCCCGGGCAAAGCCAGCCGCAGTCTGTCGATGACGGAAAACACTAACATCGCCCCCGTGGCTCCAGGAAAGGCTCCCACCTACGTGTACCAGCGTCCGGTGCGGCCTAAGCTCGCCGGCCGGTCAATCTCTCGCGCCCCTCGCTAGAGTCATTACATGCATTTCGCCACAAGATTAAATACAAGAAATACCTTAGGATGACGCCTCCTTCTCTGCCAGTTGCTTCTCCCCATTCAGCTCCTTTTCTGCCTGCTCCTTTTCTGCGCGCTCCTTCTTTTGTTCATCCTCAAATTGGGCCACCACTTCCTTGGTTTCGTCAGCCAGCTTCAAGTAGTTTTCCCTGTACCACTTGAGCTGGTTGATCAGCTCGATAATGTCGGAACGAGCAGTGTGCAACGTCCGCTTGCGGGGAGTGCACTTCATCAACTCCGGGTTGTGTCTCTTGCCGAACTCCAGGATCAGCAGCACGTCGATGAGCCGGTAGTGCAAGTGGTCGACGACGGGCTTGAACTCGCGCATCATGAAGAACTTGTCCATGTGGATCGAGTTACCGGCCATCACCGCCGTTCTCGGTTCGGGCACGTACGTCTTCACGTACTCGAGGAGCTCCAGGTTGACCTTCTCCAAGGTTTGGTCGGGGTGGTCGAGGATCTTTTGCGTGAGCCCCAGCTGGCCGTGCTGTTTAACACACCACTCGTTCATCAGATCAAGCACCGACTTCGGGTAGTACACGGTCAGCTCGTACCCTTTCTCGTCGAGAAGGTCGAGATTGCCGTCGGTGATGAGGCAGCAGATCTCGATGATGTGGTCGTTGTAGACGTCCAATCCCGTCATTTCGCAGTCAATCCACACGATGGGGTGGCCCACCGGCTTCGTCCGCTTGGTTGCAGCCGCCGTCGCTTGCGTCGCCGAGGCGCTGAGTCGCCGTTTGGCCACATTGACGATCAGAGACATCTGGCCCACACTCCGAGCACCGCGTCGCACCGAAATTTGGACTACCAACACAAACGTCAACACAGACAGATAAACGAAATTTTCCTCAATTGTTTGGTACTATGACGTTGGTTAACCGCAGAGACCAGGTTTACTGGTGGTACTTTTTGGTCCACATCCCCATTACGATATTCATGGACCTGAACCTTGTGGTGCCGCGAGAGTACCAGTGGTCACAGTCGCTCAAATTACTCGACTTCCACATTGCCACCAACAACGATATCTTGTTGATCGACCGTCCCGACTGGCTCCAGGTGTTTGGGGCGTTTGAGCTTTTGTTCCAGCTCCCGTTGTTCTTCTATTTCGTGTACATGATGCCTCGCCCCACTCGCCAGCACTGGGTGTGGATGGTGGTGTACGGCTTCAACGCGGCGTTCACGACGTTGGTGTGTCTCTTCTACATCTACTGGGACCAAGGACGACTTAGCGACGTCGAAAAGTACAAGTTGATGGCGATCTACGTCCCGTACTTGGCGTTGCCGTTGGTGTTGATGCTAGACTACGCCCGCCGCATCTCCGCGGCCTTGGCGGTTAAACCCAAGCAGTTGTAATTTGTCGAATCAATGCATGCATTTTTCTGCTACATAAGTTTCGCCCTCAACTTAGGCGTACTTGGCGGTCAATTCGTCGACAAGGGCGATGTAGTCGGCCTCGGCCTGTTCTTGCGACACGCCCTTCTTGTCTTCCCACGCTTGCCACTTGGCCTTGCCCTTGAAGTCCATGATCCCGGGCTTGTCGGTGTTGTTGTCGCCGACGGTGGCTTGCTTGTACAACCCGTACAACTTGAGCAATTCGTCGTTGTTGGGGCGGGTGGGCAAGTTGTTGACGGCCTTAGCCTATACTGTTAGTTTCACCGGTTTGTTTCATGTGGTAATTGACTCGTGTACACGTACCTTAGCTTCGAATTCAGCGGACACCATTGATAGAGTTAGCTTAGTGGAGGAGCGGGTTAGCGACACCGCGGCTGGCAAAAGTGCCACCGCCCCAACAATTATATGCAGGACACCAACATCAAGGATCGTTCCTTAATGTGTGAGGCAGTGAGAGTGAGGGAAATTTGGGTGGCAGAGCAAAGTAGGTAAAACCAACACCAAAAATTTGAAGTAAGTGAAGTGTCAGGCCACCCCTATTTGGTGGTGGTAGAGGCAATAATAGGAGGCGGCGGACTTAGGCACCACCGTAGTCTAGGCACTACTCTAGTCTGGGCGGAGGATGGCCCGCGTGCCCGCCGCCGAGATCGGGGTTTGGTGCGAGCATCACCACGATAACCACCAGCGGGGGTGACGATCACGGATTCCTTTTTATGTTTGCCCCATTGCTATTATGTCATGGGCTAAACGACGAAGCCAGGGGAGACAGGTGGAGCCTAAAGTCGGCGAGGTGATTACAGGCCGAATGCACGCCCAATAAACGGCTGTGTCTGGGTCGTAGTGTCCCCAGAAGTATCTCAGTTTACGGGGGCCGATTACTGAGTCGGGCGTGGATACGGGATGTCGGCACCCCCAGTGGGCGCCGGGCCCGTGCCTAATGCGGTAGGTGCCGAGGTATGAGCGATTTGGGGGTGCTGGGCTGCTGAGCTAAGCGTCAAACCCGCGCGTCAAGCATCGCTAGCGGACCAGCATCTGAGTAATGCGTTCGGAACGGCTCCTGAATGGGAACCACGCCGAGACCATCACGCACGCGACATTTGCAGACGATATTGTAAGCAAATGTCAGCACCACCACCATCAACATACTCCCAAATACACTTCTAGTAAGGGTAGGCGGCCCTCCCAGGCGTTGTTGTTTCCCTAGATATCCGTGGCGTCTTTAGCGGGGCGCCTCCGCCGGGTTAACGCCGTCGGAACCATCGATTTCCGTCGGACTTTTTTTTTTTTTTTTCTTTATTTCTCATGACGCAGGCGAGTGCATGCGACATTAGTTGCAGGCCGTTATAAGTGATCGAAGCGGACATAGGCATATAAACACCGCTACATCCCCCAGAGAAATCTGGCCATCCCACCATCGAAAACACAATACCCCGATACCCGCGCCATGCCCAAGGAATGGGAGCTCCGCTACGACGCGCTGTTGAACTCGCACTACTACGTCAACCCCTATGACAACTCCATCCACTTCGACCTGCCGGAGGAAGTGAAGCGGCCCCGCACCAACTTGTTGGGGCTGATACGTCGCAATTCCACTGGTGGCCTCTTGGGCAAGATCAAGCGGCAGTTTACCCGCCTGCCTCAACGGTCCGGTGTCCCCTCGTCTAGCTCTACCAGACTGCTGACGGTGGAGTGGCTGGTGAAGACGGTGACCCCGCCGACCACCCAGATGCCCGTGGTCCTCCCGCCCCGACGCTCCCGCTCGTTGCTGACGTATAAGCTGCTGGTGTCCAAACCCCACTCGAAACTGGTATCAAAGCTGCCACAGAAGCTGCCCCTCCTGACGCCGCCGCGGGAGCTCTCCCCGGTGCCGCTGTTGTGCTCGTCTACCGTCTCAGGAACTGGCAATGGCGTCTACGATGACGTCCTCCTCATTGAGGCGACGCTCAATGACGACTGGAGCATCGACCTGGAGGACTTCGACATCACGTCCTACGACATCAGCCACGCCCACAGCTACTACCAGGCGGAACACGACGCGTCCAGCACCGTGCTGAAGCTCCCCGAAGACCGGTTGGAGTTGCGGATGCTGTTGTGGCTGGAAATCCATTAAATTTCCAACAATGATACCCTTCTAATATTTGTCATGACGTTTACGAAGCATTGTATATAGAGTTATACTGAGTAATTTTATTTGGGCCTGTTTGGCCGCCCATTTTCCTATGATTCTCCTGTAGGGTGTGGTCGGGTCGCCGTAGGTGCCGATCCGGCGCCTGTGCGACATGCAGCGGTATCATGCACAGAGCTGTAGATGACCCTGACAGTGCTGAGCGGGCTAACTTGCGGATATAACGCGCTGGCGGCTATTTGGGCGATGTTTGCGGTTAGTGGTAGGACTAGAGGGGACAGGGACTTGTTCCGGTTTCTTGCCGGTGCTTCCTCGTCGATTTACACCCTGTATTCGTTGAGTAATTATCACTAGTACATGCGGGACCATCGGACGCTTTGTCAGCGCCCTTGGCGTAGTTCCCTTACGCAAAAGAACGTAAAGTTAGCAGGGGCGTGTGCTCGTAACAGAAACAATACCCGGCTGGGGGTTTTCGGTGCCGTTTTCCCCCGGAGGTTATCCCCGGGCGAACGACATTTTTCCTCAATACCAACCCGTCGACAATGGCTCAATGTAAGATTGTTCTCAGGCTTCCCCACTTTGTTCGGAGCCAACAATCACCTGCCAATTGACGACGAATACGACGTGACGGGTCGCCTTAGGGGGCCAAAGCCCAGATTCATCCCCACAAAGCTTATCAAAATAGGGATTTAAACATACCGGAAAACGATCACAGACACAGCTACGTTTGTGGCACTGAACCGATAAACACCGCGGAGACATGTGGACTTGGATAATCGGCATTGGCCCCGATTGGGAAAAAATGCCAGAAAAGAGGCTTGCCATTGCTTGATCGGGTTGTGGCTTGTGATAAACGCGTACACGGGTACGCGTGGAATAGACGTGTACTATTCAGATAAGTATTATAGTCTAAGGAGTCATTGAAGGGTTGAAACCCGTGATAGCTTTTATCAGGCAATCGTAGCCTCTTTCCTTATTCCTTTGTTGGCATCATTCGAGTGATCATCACCCACTTTGTGATCGAGATAGAAATACAGACGTGTAGTTATTGTGAGAAACGTGTTCCCCATAAATGTGAGTGAATGTGAGTTTAATTCGAAATGTGGAGTGCAGTACAATGCCTAGGAAAGACTGTAATACCAATTACAGAAATGCTTTTATTCTTAGCCTGTGGAACTGTTTGAATTTTGCATGCTACCACCAGCTGGTTAAGTGAACGTGCGATTAAAGATAGACTAGCGATTTTGTGACTCCAACAAGGGGTTGTCAGCGGGGAAACAACAGGTGTGACCCATCATAGGAAAAGACACTTCAATTGTAGTTTTAATGTGACTGTACAGATGTCTATAAACGTGTAGTTTTTGGTCTAAACTGTGAGAGAAAGGCTTCAAGGGGCCAATCTCACCACTTCCCATTCGTCATCGACCTTTTCCCGTCTAAACGAAAGCCGGTCGTGGAGCCTCAGCTCGCCGCCTTGCCAGAACTCGATTTCTAGGGGCACAATTCTCATCCCGCCCCACTTCTCGGGACACGGCACTTGTTCGACGTCCTTAAACTTCTCCTCGAATTCGTGTTCGCGAGCCATCAATTCGTCTCTCAGCGCAATCACTTGCGACTGTGGCAGCGTCCAGGCACCGATCTTTGATCCCCGAGGGCGGGTGTTGAAGTACCGCTCGGTAGTAGCGCGATTGACCTTTTCCATTAAACCTTCCACTCTCACCTGTCTCTGAAGGTAGGGCCAGAAAAACGTTAAGGCAGCGTACTTATTAGTTTCGTAATCAGCGTTCTTCTTCAGTGTATCCCAGTTCAGGTACACGATAAACCCCTTAGGGTCCAATTCCTTGAAAAGTACCATTCTCAGCGATACCCTCCCCAGCGGGAGCCTAGCTGTAGAGAATGACACTGATTCAGGAATGAAATCAGAACCTTCAGGCTTCTGTTGCTGAGCATCGCCAAACCAGGCGTGGAACTGGGCAATGGGGTCGCCAGCAACGTCGGCCTCAGTTAAGTGGCCTTTGGTGTACTGGTAGGTTTTGGGAGCGAAAATGAGCGGGGTCTGGGCACGGGACATGGGACGGAGCGCTTGGATCAACCGGGACATAAACAGGAAAGCCTCCTGGTCGAGTTTTGTGGTAATAAACTGGGGGACGCTTGGGTGAGTCAGGTCACCTCCGCAATCGCGAGATCGAAGCGTGCTGTACGGGTGGGGCCAGAGTCGCATGGGTCACGTGACGAGATGACCTCACATACAGAGACGTACAGTGATCTTTATATCTAAAGCGCTAGCAGAGAGACATGACCAGTGGGGCGTACCCGGACAAGCCTCGGCATGTGCTGTGTTTCAGTGTCAGTGTGCCTCATCCGTTGAACGTCAAGCCTCAAGGGAATGCGCTTATGGCCGATACCGAGCGTCTAGAACAGTACCGCCGCCATGGACTTGGCCATCTATCTATCTGGCCCGATGAGCTTGTGATGACCCTATTGGGATACCTTGACCAGCAAGATTTGCTCCTGATGAGCCACACGCTGAAAATGATGTATGCTTTTGGCTACGATGAAGAATTATGGAAGAAAGTGGTGGTCGCTCAAACGGGAGAGAAGGAAGAGCCGCAGTGGAAGGGGCTGTGGCGACTCACGGCGCTTCAACTCGATCCTCAGTACCAGGCTAACATCTTATTAGAGGATAACCAGCTATGCAGCGACGTGGTGTACCGTCCGTTCCAGTGTTCGCAAATCGACTACCCTCGTTTATTTGCCAAAATCATCGCTGAAGAGGAAGTGTACCACCGAGACCTGCTCCAAGGGTGTCTTCGAGACCTTCCTCCAGGTAGAATTGCTCGATTCCTGGAGAATGACGTCGATAGTGCTCGGTTTAACTCAGAGCTTCACGATACCCCGTTCATCCTTACCAACAGTGATAGCAACCGCTGGCCGCGTTGGGACGCTACTGAGTTACTTAAACGGTTTGGTAGTGTCCAGTTCCGCCAGGAAATGGTCCAGTGGAGCCTTGCTACCTACTGTAAGTACATGGCCAACAACCGCGACGAGCTGCCATTATACCTCTTTGACTGCGCCCTGCCGGCGATGAAGACACTTATACACGAGTACAAGCCTCCCCAGATCTTCAGTGACGATATGTTTACTGTATTTAGTGGCGAACAGGGTAATTGTCGCCCTGACCACGCCTGGCTCATCGTGGGGCCGCAACGGCTGGGGCTGACGTTCCACAAGGATCCCAACTACACGCTGGCGTGGAACACAGCGCTAACAGGTCGCAAATTGTGGGTGATGCTTCCACCGGACGTGGTCCCGCCTGGGGTGGGCACTGACGGTGATGAGAGCGAAGTCACTAGTCCCGTGGGTATGGCCGAGTGGGTGCTTCTGGGGTTCTTTAACGATGCCCTCAAGATACCGCTGAGCCAGGTGGGGGTTACTTTCCCTGGGGAGTGCATGTACGTGCCGCTGGGGTGGTGGCACGCCGTCATCAATTTGGACGACCTGGTGGCGTTGACGCAAAACTTTGTGCCGCCGCTGAAATTGACCAATGCCCTCCGGTTTATGAAGGATAAGCCTCACCAGTTGCTGGGGTTCCGACCTAACCGGGTGGCGAAAGTGGTGGAGAAAGTGGTTGCAGAGAACGATGTGCCTGAGCTTAGGCAGTTCTTGGAGAAGATGGCTTCAGCTAACGTTGATGGCGATGAGGACTGCGCTGAGCTTGGCTGTGACCTCGATATTCCCGTGTACACGTTATTCTGCCAATTAATGGAGCTCCTGGGGAGGAAAGAAGTGCTTGATAAGGCGCTTGCCAGTGTTAAGAAGACGTCTGAGGCCCAACCCCTGAGGTGGCAGCAACTCACTGCCGTTGAAGGGACAGGGTTCTCGTTTGGCCTTGTCGTCGACTAAGCCCGTCTTTAACCTGAAATTAGCTCTACGATAATAATAATGGGGTAGTTGCCAGGCAGTGGGGTGACATCAAATCTGGAGATGCGTCGCGACAATGTGGCTAAGCCAGCGTTTAGTCAAAGTTCGACATTAGATATATTGCATTAGTAAGCGGTTACATAAAGAAACTACAGCATTTTACTCAAAAGTTTTGGATGCGCTTGTAGAACTCTTTACCCTGGATCTGGGCGATCTCAAGTTCAAGCTTAGTGGGCTGTCTCAGGCCATCGGCGCCAGCAAAAGTACCAGCACCCCACGGCGAACCCCCGTGGACTTGATCGAACGAGGTGATTTGCGGGAAGGCCTGAGCGTAGCCCAAGGGAATGTAGATGATCCCGTGGTGGACAAGACACAGCAACGCGTTCATCACCGTCGCCTCTTGACCACCACCAGGGGTGCCAGTGGACACGAAGATCCCCGCGGGCTTGCCGTACAAGTCACCTGACACCCAGAGCGCGCCGGTGGCATCCCAGAATGCCTTGAACTGGGCGGGGTAGTTACCGAATCTGGTGGGGATGCCAAACAAGAAGGCGTCGTATTGAGTCAACGTCTCCTTGGTGGCGACGGGGAAGTCGGGCTTGTCGGGGGCGTGCAACAAGTTGAGCACTTCCGGCAGCAACGTTTCCGGCACCTGGAAGATGGTCGCCTGGCCGCCCGCGGCCTCGACGCCGGCCTTGACGGCCTCGGCCATCTTGGCGATGTGGTGGTACATGGTGTAGACGATGATTGCGACCTTGGGAGCCATTTTTATGGGGTCAATTGGGTGGTGGAGTTGACTGGGGCTTTGGCGGGAGGGCAGTGGGCGTGGCTATATATACGAAGGGCGTGGGGGGTCTACATGAGCGCTCTTGAGGCGGCAGGGGGCGTAACCGTAACCCCTCGGAAGTCGCGGTGCCAGGCTGGGCTGAGTCAGGTGGAGTTCACGTGAGAAACAATGGCACCACCGTTTATGGCCCATGGTATATTTTCGGTCATTTTTTGTTGGTGCGCGGAAGGCTGGATAGCTGATTATTTTCTGGCGAGGCGGTGGCCGCAGCAAGCATCCCTTTGATGAAAATGAGTAAGGCTAAAGCGGGCACATAAGAGCCTGAGTAATATTAGAAACTGCTTACGCGACCAGCAAAAAAGTGGCGTCGGGTCAACAGCAAGCGGACCCGCAACCACCACAAACCACCGCCAGGCACCCTTTCTCCATGGCTAGGGGTGGTACGGACTCACTGCCGGCTGTCATGGCCGCCGTTGGCGTGCCCCAGGTGCCACTGGTACGTTGTCGTGTACCTAAACCTTTATTCCGTATTACATATTTTCCTGCACCCAGCCGCAAAAGTCGGCGCCCACCGCAGCTGGTGGTGGAGTACATATAACCCGGCCGTCGCCCCACCGGCAATCCCGAACCTCTCCTCTGTCCCCTAGCCACTGATGAAGGTCGCCATCATTGAGTATCTGACGTACGGCCACGTCGCCGAGGTCGCGCGCGCCGTCAAGCAGGGCGTGCTTGACCTGGGGGTCGCCTCCCAGGTCGACCTCTACCAGGTGCCCGAAACGCTCTCGCCGGAAGTGCTTGCTCTCTTGCACGCGCCGGAAAAGCCCAAGGACATCCCCGTCGCCCTGATGGACACGTTGACCCAATACGACGCCTTCTTGTTCGGTATCCCCACCAGATTCGGCAACTTGCCCGCGCAATGGATCGAGTTCTGGGGCCAGACCGGCGCCTTGTGGACGCAGGGCGCTCTCTACGGTAAGCCCGCGGGGATTTTCGTGTCCACCGGTACCCCCGGTGGCGGTCAGGAAGCCACTGTGCGCAACGCGTTGTCGTACTTGGCCCACCACGGTCTCCCCTATGTCCCCTTGGGTTACGCGAAGGCATTCCCGGAAATCACCTCGTTTGACGAGGTCCACGGGGGTTCGCCGTGGGGCGCCGGTACCTACGCCGGGCCCGACGGGCTGAGACAGCCTAACGCCACCGAATTGAAGATTGCCCGGATCCAGGGGGAGTCGTTTGCTCAATTGGCGGCGAAGCTTGTCGGCGCCACTTCCGGCGCTGCCGGCGCTGCCGGCGGCAAGAAGGGTGCCGCCGCGAACCAACAAAACAAGTCGGCCGCCGCCGGCGGCGCTGCTAACCAGCCCAACATCGAGCCCACTCGCCAACGTGGCGTGCTTGAGTCCACCGACGGCTCGGGCGCTGGTGCCGGTGCTGCTGGTGCTGCTGGTGCTGCTGGCGCCGGCGCTGCCGCCGCTGCCCACCACCAGGGTAAGGCTAAGTCTGCCGCCGCTACCGGCGGTCACGGCGTCGGAAGTGGCAATGCTGCTGGTGCCGCCCAAAAGGAAACCACCATCCCCGCCGACGGGCAGGCGGTGGCCAACGACCTGAAGGTGACTAAAAAGGTCGAAGACAAGGCCAACAAGGAGGCGTTGGAGAAGCGCGAAAAGCAGGCGGAGAAGAAGACCGCCGCCAAGACCGAGTCGAACTCTAAGTGCTCCAAGTGTATCATTATGTGATATTAATGTAATTGTAATCAACAAAATCGCCTGTTTTTTAACCAACTACAATTTATTTCATTTTTGAGCAATAGAGCCAGCAATAGCATGGCTGGTTGCCAAATAAAACCAAAGTAGTCTATGAATTAATTGTCATCTATATCAGCCGAGATGACCAGGATATTGACAGGTTTTTCAGACGTCGTTTCGTTGCTTTTTAACTTCGTATTAACCCCATTGTCCCGCCCAATTATGAAGATTTGGTAGATTAAAATTGTCAAATCGTCAAATCGTGATGATCATTTTAATACTCAAATCTCGACCTAGCAATGCATTGATTGCTTACTCGTGTGTTCATGACAGATACTGTCCGGTCTAGCCCTGGCACTTTTTGTGTCTGTCGTCAGGGCTGATGATATCAGATGATCAAGTCGGCCAGTATCGGGCCGTCCACTATCGGACCGTCACGAACTACTCGACTATACCTTCCCACTACAGTAACTGATCATGATCTCTACTGCAAGCAATCTGCCATTCGAATAATTGAGCGATTGACACGAGGCTTTACTCAAGTCACGCTACCTTAGTAGTTGTTAATCATCACTTTAACGTTATCTCCGTCTATACATCCTCCTCCGGTTAAGCCCAACAATAACGCCATGCTGTCCTGGAAGTTTAATACCGGGATGGCATAGCGATTAGTAATCACCCGCTGCCGCTGTCAATCAAGATCTTGATGTGGGCGGCGCGATTTTTCAATAGCTCGTCAAAGCCACCGCTGACAGTGTCTGGCAACGGCACCACTTTCGTGACCAACTGTCTCACCTCTTCCGGGTGGAACTTCTTCGCCTCAAACGCCGCCACCACCAGCTCAAAGTCGGCGCGGGTGTAGCACATCAGCCCCACGATGAACCGCTCGCGGAGCGTCAAGTCCATCACCATGAGCGGCACGGGGCGCGGAGGCCAGATGGCGACGTTGGTGCCGACGCCGCCCAGACGGAGACTCTGGACCATGCAATTGAAGGTGACGGGGATCCCCAGACAGTCGTAGGCCCGGTCGTAGCCTAACCCGCCGGCGCTCATCTGGCGCAACGCCTCGTCCAGTTCCGCCACCAGCGCCGCCAGCGTCGGGTCGTAGACGATAGCCCCAAACAGGTTAGCGAGCGCTCGGCGTGCTGGCGCTGGTTCCAGCACCACGATGTGGCGTAATCCTTGAGCCTTTAACGCCAACACCACACAGAGACCAATGGGCCCCGCTCCAAGCACCAAAGCCAGGTGGCTCGGCTTAACCTTAGCCACTTCAATCGCGTGCCACGCCACCAGCAACGGCTCGACGAGGGCGGCGATGTCGTTGGGGATCACGTCGGGGTCATACTTGACACAGTGGTACTGGTCGACGACACAGTACTCGGCGAAACCGCCGCCCATGAATCCTAAACCGACAAATGAGATCTGGTGGCAGGCGTTGGTTTTACCGTGGGCGCAGGCCTCACAGAGCTCGGAGCCTGGCTGTTCCAATAGAGCGCGGTCAATACACAGCGCCGTCGCCTCGACGACAACTTGGTCGCCGACAGCGATATCGGTGACCGCCGAACCCACGGCGACCACCTCGCCGCACATCTCGTGGCCCATACACTGCTGGTAAGGTTTATCGGAGATTGGGTTTCGGGGACACTGAAACAAGATAGGGCCTTCCTCATACTCGTGTAAGTCGCTACCACAAATGCCACAGAATCTCGGCTTGATCTTCACCTGAGTAGGGTGCTCGATCTGGGGCTCGGCGACATCGGTCTGGTAGCGCACATCGTGCTGGTTGTAGAACACCACCCCTTTCATAATTAAAATTATTGAGTGAATGAAGGATTGGTCGTCTAATGTTGTTTAAGGTGGGTTCGGGGGTTTATAATTGCGGTAGGAAGGTGGGTCGATTCAGGATGCTAGGCCACGAGCCTTAACGCCGGCGCCGCCTTTATAGCACAGAGCGCCGTAGCTGATACAAAGAGTGGTGTCACCCGGGCGTGTTCATCCGTCGGGATCACCGATACTAAGGGCTCTAAGTATGGGGGCAGTGTGGGGTAAAGGGGGATATCGGGTGGCCGTTCGGGGTTTGTGCCCCAGCAGGGTCACTCACTGTCTGGGGTAAACCCGAGAAAATGGGGGTCAATGGCGGGGAACACGCCACTGAGTGCGCAAAAAAACAACCAAAATTGCCTGCATACAGTCGCGGGTTCCTAAGTTAGGACATGTTTTTAATTATATTGTTTGATCATACTGTGTGCAGGATGCCCCCATTTAACTCATCGCGGCCATACCATTAAGTTTTTTTTCTTTAACAACTATTATTCAACCGGGACACCTTGCATTGAGCGGCCATGCCGGATACTACTCCCTAGTGTGGATCGTCCTCTCTAGCCCGGAAGAGCAACGCGGATCGTTTTTATCTGGACGGCCTTTCCTCATAGGGTCTTCCTCTACGAGCTTTCCCACATTTTAACCGCCCCCTCGTTCTTCTTTTCTCTGGTAACGTTTAGTGTTCAGTTTCGGGTATCAGACCCAGGGCTGCCTAACTGGGTAACACGCCACTCGCAATGATGTCATGGCGACTTGTCACCAACACAACCCCCAGCCCCCTTCACTGACTACAGTCACTACTACAGTCATGGTCAAAGGAAAAATCTCTACCTGTATNCGCACATTTTCTCCGGTGTCTCGGCGCCATTGAATAACGCGATTGTTTATAATGCTGCTCCGCCTAACCCCAAGCCGGCCAAGTGTGGGGTATGTACTCTGACCGTCGCGGCTCCTAAGCCGACCTCGTCTTCATCTACATCGACGAAACCAACTACCGCGCCCACTACCGCGCCTACTACCGCGCCCACTACCGCGCCTACTACCGCGCCCACTACCGCGCCTACTACCGCGCCCACCACAGAGCCCACCAGTGACTTGCCCACGGATGTTTCAACTGACTCTTTGACTGAATCTTCGACGGACTCTTCGACTGAGTCGTCCACCGAGTCTTCGACTGAATCCTCGACTGAGTCTTCGACTGAATCCTCGACTGAGTCTTCGACTGAATCCTCGACTGAATCTTCGACTGAATCCTCCACTGAATCCTCGACTGAGTCTTCTACTGCGTCGTCCACCGAGTCCTCGACTGA